GAGGAAGAGGAGGCCATGGAGGAGGAAGACGACAATCAGATAAATGGTACAGTTGTCGTCCCTTTCTAGACACATTAACGTTTCATTCAGGCTCATTTTGAGTAATTTTGGTCGAGTTCAACATGGTTTTAAATCAATGGTTCTCAACCAGGGGGGCCCCAATATGTCTTTTAAATGATTTAAATTGACTTATATTAAAGTCAACTGTCCATTGGAATTTACATCATATCTGTGAATAAAGGTCAGGCTAGTACTCTATGCGGTGGAAGTAACTTCAAGCCACAACTAAACTAAACCTTTAACTGCAAAACATTTGCAAGCATAAAGGGAAAGCCACATTTCATTATTGGGAGAGTTTTGAATCATTTCTTTGTTTTCTCGCTCTTTTTAGGCCATGACGCACCTAACGCTGTGAATGAAGCTGTTAACGGGGAAGGGAATGGTCACGAGCACACAAATGGTATAAACGGTCATGGGGTCAACGGAGAAAGCGCTAAACCCTCGCTGCGACTTTCGTTTGCCGAGTATAAGCGCATTTCAAACCTGTTGGTGCTACATCTGCGTCATGCCGAAGAAGGTGAGCACTCTGTACAAGTCTTGACAAAGCTGTCATTTTAGCAATTATTATGCACTTTTATCACAAACTACAACATGACAAGCTCAGACAAACACAGCACAGAGGGATCTAATTTGCATTGTGCCATTTCTCCTAGTCGAGGACGAGTCTGCACTTAAGAAGAGTGAAGTTGTGAACTGGTACCTGAAGGAAATCGAATCAGAGATCGATTCAGAAATGGAACTCATCAATAAGAAGACAATGATAGAGAAAGTTATCTACAGACTGGTTCATTATGTAAGGAAACATTTTCATGTGATATAAATCTTTTTAGTTACGTATGTGTGAATATATGGAAGCTTGTTTCCACCACAGAATAAAAAAGGTAATTGCAACCTTTTAACTCACAATTCTGACATTTTTCTCACCATTGTTTATATCTCACAATTTGGACTTTATAACTGGCAATGGCAAATTTGAGTCTCACAATTCTGAGAAAAAAAAAGCTAAAATTAGCAGATATAACCTCGTAATTCTGATTTAGTTCTGAGTTTGTAACTTGCAACTTTTTCTCACAAATTGTGAGATATAAATTTGAAATTGCGAGTTATAAAGTCAGAATCGTAAACATGCAAATGCAAGAGTCCGAATTGCAGGATAAAAAGTTGCACTTTGCTTTTTATTCTTTATTCTATGGTGGAAACAAGTGGGATGGAGACTACATGAAAAGTGTTTTAACAAAAAAATGTATTTACTTTTATTTTTTATCAGGATTATATTCTGATTGAGCTGACACAGTCTGGTCTGAAAGGGTCAGCTGAGTCCAGTGGAACAGAATCCCAGGAGGATGTTACTCTGGTGGTCAACCCCAACTACACATTCGATGACTAGACCTTCTGCTGTATTAACTCCAAATGAGGGATGTTTGATGAGATGGTGTTCAGGAAGCAGGCCTCTTCAGTCTCTTCTCTCTTTGTAAATTGGTTGTTTTCTGGTTTTAGGATGGATATATCCATCATCATTTTTAAGAGGATTTATGACCTTGCAAAAAGGGGGAAAAATTCATTTTGTAAATATGTTTCTTGTTTTGACTGTTATAGTGGTTTAGAATATTTTAGAATGTTAGTAATGGACATACAATGCATAAAATGTTTTGCATATACAGTTTATCATGTTTTGTTAAAAGTGCTGTCAAAGTATAACATCAAAATAACTTGTGTTCATTATGCAATGCATTTTTAAATTGTTTATTTTATGAAAAGTGAGTTTTGTGTTTAAAACAGAAATGTATAAATACCCTTTCAAATGTTATTGGCCAGTTGTTGGTAAAAACTGCTTGTTCAGTTACATCGAATCTTTAAATCAAACATTTTCATGTATGAATAAATATAAACTGGATTAAGAATTTAACTAAATACACAGCTAAGTTATGTTGGTGCATTTAATGCAAATACAAAACAACATTCAATATTTACAGAGACAAATCAAGGAAAGAATTAGGAGGTAACTTAATTTCTAAAAGAACTAACGCATAATAAATTAACTTCAGAAGAGTTGTGACTTGCAACTGACTTGTATTTCAGAATTCAAATATAGATTAACATCTTAAAATCAAACACTTTATTTACACTTAAGAATGTAAATGGATTTTTTTCAAGAAACAGATGCAAATATACAAACATTCAGGAGAACATAAGAGTTCAAAAGAAACATTCTTATGTAAAATCAGATATCTAAAGGAAGTAATAAGAATAAGAGTTACAAATAAATAAGAGGACAAATAAAGACTAAGGATAAGGAGAAAATAAAAGATTAAGTACCCTACATTTTTATAGGGAAACAATACTAACAAGAGTTGTTTTTTATTATAAAAAAATAAACAAAAACAATTTATGACAGAAAGCAGGTTAAACCTGAACATCAGAGCTATTACAAAAGAATTGTTTATATTGTTTCAGGAATCTATCACATTTTTTTATTGCTAGTTTAATCTAAAATATTTAAGCAGTGATTCTACCTCAATCAAAAAATATTTGAGTTGGAAGTGAGCCCATCAATTTCTGTTTATGGATGAAAAATTTGCCAAACAAAATAAAAAAGTTGAAAATATATTCTTATCTGGTGGAGTCAGTAGCCGCGTTTCCATTACCCTTCAAATTGCGCAAATTGAAATTGCGAATTGAAATTACGCTCAATGGAAACACGTCAATTTCGCAAAAACTCCCATTTATCGCAAAAAAGTTTTTACGCTCGCATGAGGAGGTTTTTCAGGCAATTCGAAAAAGGAATATTTCGCAAAACTGCAATGGAAACAGTTTTTGCGCATTTACAGTCACCTGACTTAGAAGACGCGGTGTGTTTGGGGTCCGTCCGTGGTATACGCAAATAATAATGGGCTAATAATTATCATCATTATTATAACATTTATTAGGCTACATATTTAGAAGATGCTTTTATCCAAAAAAAGGAACAAAGCAATTCGTCAAATGTCATTCATAATGGTTAGACAATAATAATACAGGGCTAAGATTATCACAAAGAAACACAAGATTTTGACGCATATCCAAGTGTTTGTGCAGAGTGTGGAGCGCGCGCTGCAGGCAGGGAGACGCGGGCGCGAACACTTGCGTTTTCCTATCAACAGTGAAAACAACTTAAAATACTCTATAATTTCTGGTCATACAGAAAATAATAATACATTATTCGCAACTATGCTTTTATTTGTGTAAACTCAAAATAACAAGAAAACGTTGTGCTTTTGTAAAATAAAATAAAACAATCATGCGCGCTTTCATGATCTCCGTGAAAAAAGCTAAAGCTTGAAATGTCCACTTTAAAACGAACAAATTCGAATCGAAAGCTAATACCTTCTGATTATGTAATCCGTATGAAAGGTGCATTTCTCTCTAAAGGTGCATTCGCGCGGCGCGCCTCAGCGGAGATGGAAATGTTTTTAGCCGACACTAATTTAGAAAACAAGTTTATTAATAAAATTAAAATGCCTCGTTATTCTTTCAGACACATTTATTATCATTAGCCTATAACTCACCTAAATCACCTTTCTGTAGGCTGTGGTTCCAGAGACATAGGCCTAAATATGGCTCTTCTCATTCAGCACTGCGGGAAAAATATAATTTTCAGGTTCTAATTTGGCCTTAGAAAACCATTAAAATCTAAAAAAAAATTGTATTAAGTTGGGAATATTTTAAATGTTTAGTAAAGGGGCAAAAAGTCATAAACAAACATCTGAAATTTAGTCGATTTTTTTTTTCCGCAGCATTTGTGTACAGTTTAAATTAAAAAAAAAAAATTGGTGTTCAACTTTGCATTTAAAAAAAAACAACCACCGTTCATTTTTCGTTTTGCAATACGGGTTAAATAAGGAAAAACGAATGGACACAAATGTACACTGACCGTTTGGACAGAGTTCTTTATTAAATTCATAAAAGAAACAATAGGCTACAGGAATACTGGATTCTAAACCTCAAAGAAATGCCACAATCAGACCTCGGAGCAGAAATGAGGGAGAAACACCCAGAAACTCCTTATGCCGTTCGCAGTATACGGGTCTTTCCCTGCCATTAATGCTTGGATAACACACCACGTCTCCTTCCATTAATAATAATGTCTAGTGTGGTGGTGCGGTGGCTGTGATATAGGGATATAGGCTATAAACCTACCCGTTGATGTTTAAATTACTTATCGCGAGAGGGGAAAAAGTCGCATAACATCAGTTAATGGAAACGCCGTCATTTCGCAATAGTTTTTTATCGACATTTAGAAAAAATCGCAAAAGTTTTGCGCAAATCTGTAATGGAAACGCGCCTAGTGTAATAGCAAATAATATCTTTCAGGGAGTGTGTATGAATGGGGGTTGTATTTAAATGATAAGTTAGATTAACAATAAAATATAAGTTAAACATTTCTGAACCAATTTACAAGAATAAAATAAGTGTATGTTGGATCTTCTTCACCACAAAACGTACAATTGTAGGCCTACTAGGAATATCAATATATTTGAACACCGTTGAATTCACAGGGTATATCTTATGTTGTTTTTAAAGTGGACTTCTTTGGTCTTGTTGGGAATAAAATATGTATGGGGTAACAACCACCTCTTCTCCATTTGATATGGTCAATTAAGGCAGCCCAATGGTATGGGATTGGGATCTGGCGGAAGAATAAATGGCTTAATGTGGAGTGGTGCAGGAATGATGTCAAAACCCCACCTCATCCTTCGAATTTTGAAGCAGTTATGTTCATCTTTGAAAATGTACGTTTATAATAAATAACTATAATATAGTTTGGGGTGTGAGTGTGTGCAGTTTATGTTGTAGAACAAAACGTCAAAGTATAGTCAAGTGATGTTTACTAGTACAGGCTTTTTAGGGAAATCTCGAGAGAACCACCATGAGAACATAGACGAGAACCACTGCCGAGACTTCCGCGTTCTTCCTTACACAACAAAGATGGCTGCGCCCTGTAGGAAACTGATGAGGTCGACTTTGCAAGGTAGATAAACAGGTTTACAAATAATGAAATTTCTAAATTATTATACGTACGAATGCATTGGCTGGACATTATTGTTTTACTAATAAAGAATGTTTTTAAACCACCGCTACGAATTTAAATTAAAGGTGCATTTGCAGCTTACCTTGATAATTTGACATTCATACAACAATAATCTACTAACGTTATCCACTGAATGAATGCAAAGAACAGGTTAAGCTACGAGAACTCTTAGAAGACGAACTATTGTGAGTTCATATCTGAAATCTGAAAAAAATCTGAATAGGAAGAATTGCGAGATACAACTACTGGCAATTGCAAACAATTACTGACTTTTTCCTCACTGAATTGTGAGATATAAACTCGCACTTGCATGCAAAAAGGCATAATTGTGAAATAAAGTCAGTTACTTTTATATTTATATATATATATATGAAAGCTAGTTTCGTAGTAGAAACTAGCTTCCACAGCTAACCCATAGTTCAACTGCTGACATCATCTGCACCCTTAACCCTCATTACTAACACCTATACACCTACTAACCTGATCAGATGCTTCCTCTGCATACAGATAACTCTTCTTTCTTAGTGGCTCAACATTCAGTTGTTATTTTGTTTTATGTTAAACGTTGGAGTTCACAAAACATGTGCTGTAGTAAAGTATGGTAAGAAAGCACCTGCCTATAGGCTCATTAAAATTATTTATTTAAGGGTTAGTTCACCCAAAAATGAAAAATCCGTCATTAATTGCTCACCCTCATGCAAACCCATAAGACTTTCATTCATCTTCGGAACACAAATGAAGATCTTTTTGATGAAATCTGAGCAATTTCTATCCCTCCATTGACAACGACAGTCTACGCATCTACCACTTTAACGCTTCAGAAAGTTCATAAAGAGATAAAACTAATCCATATGAATGGAGTGGTTTAGTCAAAATTTCCTTAGGAGACTTGATCGCTTTATATGATAAACAGATTGAATTTAGGCTTTTATTCACATATAACTCACACATCAGTTATGATAAATGGAAGCTCAAGCATGTTTGCTTGACATGCGAGATCCAATGTGGTTCATTCTTGTGTATCAAGCAGGTTCAGTTGAGCTTCTGGTTGATCAATGTTTATATGTGAATAAAAGCCTAAATCAAATCTGTTCATCATATAAAGCGATCGTGTCTCTTCAGACTAAACTGCTCAATTCATGGATTAGTTTTATGATTTCTTTATAAACTTTTTAAAGGGTTAAAGTGGTAGTTGCGTAGCTGTCAATGGAGGGACAGAAGAAACTCCTCAAATTTCATCAAAAAGATCTTCATTTGTGTTCCGAAGATGAACGCGAGTCTTAAGGTTCGGAACAACATGAGGGTGAGTAAATGATAACAGAATTAAAATGTTTCGGTATACTATCCCTTTAAAAATTCTTTAGCAACCTATATAAATGTGTTTTTCAGGTTTGTATCAGGTATCAAATAGGACCTTGTGGATAGGATCACACTTTGAGCAGATAGTCGCCCGTCCCAGACTGCAGGAGAATGTTTTGCACAGCAGAGCTCTACACTGTGGACATTATGCCTTACAAACCATCACCAAGATGGAATCTCCAAAAGTTCTGAAACCACAGAAAGGAGCTGAACCTGAAAAAAAGACCAACCAACAAAAGAAAGAAGAGGAGGACGATGAGGAGGAAGATAACAGCCCTGAGTACATCCCCAAAAGGCAAGCCAAAAATCCAATGATGAAGATTGGATACGCATGGTAAGTGCAGCTTAAATTGCATGTTTGAATTCTTTTAAACTAGTACTGAAAATCTATGAATTGAGTAGCAACTGACTTAAGTGTTTCTCTTAGGATGATTGGCTTGCCTACTGGAGTCATCGGCTTTATTCTGGCAAAGAGACAGGTGGATAAGAACCGACTGAAGCAGCTGAAAATCAGACAGAGAATGAAGAGATCTAATGAGGGAGATTACGAGAGTAACCGATATAAACCAGCCCCCAGGATGCAGTGAAAGCTCTCCTTCTGTGAAATGACTCTATTGTACTAAAGAATGGCTTCATTGAGCACTAATCATCAGGTTGCCATGGAGACCGTGAACCATGCAGAATATAACAAAGACATTGTAGACAGCAAGCATTTATTATGGTGGACCTTTTGATCTTATAAACAAGGATTTGATGAAGACTTTGCATTTCGGTTTGCAAAATATATATATATGAATTACATCATATATTTTGATGTAGTTGCAGTTATTACCATGCTTGATCAAACACAGAATACAACCGATATTATCAATAAAAAAAACAATGAAATAACTGAATAATATTCGTGTTCCTTTTAATCATGTCCATCCTCACGATAATGACTACCTATATAACACTTCAGCCACATTGTTCTGAGAACATTGTAACAGAAAATACACGTTTGCATTGATATCATTCTAATATGACAAATTTATTTAGATGTAGTTAACACTTTTTATAACAACTTATTTACAGTTTATTTTGGTGCTAAACAAAAATGGAAAAGGCACCACTGTACATCACAATCTGTGACATTTATTTAAGTGTATTATCAAATTCAAAGACATTTCCCGAAACTAAAGCAAAGAAATATTTTTAGAAATAGTTTTTTATTCTATATAAAATGTCTAATAAATACTCTAAATTCCTAAACTGAAATACAGTTAGATTGTATGTACACAGCAGAAAACCTATACCCTTGTCCAAAATGCACCACACCCATGTAACTTCAATAGTAAATACAGCAAATCTAAGTATATACAGTAGAAATTTGCATAATACAGACCCATTTCTAAAAGTGAGCATCCATTACCATGACATGGACCTCAGAACACAGGAATGGCAATGTAATCTCGCTAATATTTTATCAGAATGTATGCATATGGTTAGTTAATAGAAATAATTAGTCATGGAAATTATATTCATCCCTTTGTTTGATCAGTATAATGCTTGATATATTTTACAAGTTCAGTATTATTTGAATATATATTGTTTGGGAATTGACTGAGAAGACAATGCATAGTGAATAAACAGTAAAGCCATTATGAAAGTACAGAAAAGCTCCATCCGCCAGCTTGAAGCTTCTATCTCTCCGCAAATCCGATAATTTGCAGGAGGAAGATGAAGATCTGGACAATGTCAACATAAAGGGAGAGAGCAGCAAACACATACTCCTCTGGGCTGATGGAGAGCTTCCTGTTCCCAATGAGCAGCTGGGTATGATAGGCCAGAAACTAATATTTAAAAACACACAAACACAAATAAGTGATTTTAGGATGGAAAGAGGGAACAATGTTCCCATGCAGAACCAAAGTCTTCCAAAAAAGGTGGAACTGAATTTGTGAATTGACATACCAGAGTGAATGCAATGGCTCCTATAGCTGCATAGAGCATGTGAAGCCATGGGACCTGAAAAACAAACGAAGAGAACAAGTTAAATTTGTATCAAATTAAAATTTTTGTGCAAATACAAGACGCAAAGTCATGCTTACGTATTTGAATGACAGCACGATAACCGTAATGATGCCGGTCACGAACACCACGATTCCGAGTATGGTGAAAAAGCCTGCACATTTAGTGAAATCCACCTATAGAAGAATAGAAAAGCATGTTAACACACACTTTGACACAATGCCTAGATGTAAAATCATGCTGCTGTTGTTCATATTAAATATGCACCCCACCTTAGTCTGAAAGCAGAAGACTGTTACCGCAACGCACACGACAACAGTGATGCCCAGCGCCATGAACACTGCCTTAGTGCTGTAATAACTGCAAACACAAATTGGTATCACTTTATTTTAGTCCTGTTTCACATGTACATGCCCATGTACTTATTGTAGTAATGACACTAACTGGGTAACTAATAACTAGGTACTAACCCTAAGCCATGTTGTAACATATCTCTCTCTATATATATATATATATATATATACAGACCAGCCACTAAGTCGTAAGCCTATCTTTGAATACTGAGACCCACAAAGCATTTGATCACTGGATTTACAGAAATACTTTCAGTTTTAAGAAGTGTTTTCTCAATATTGCAACATTGCATATCTAACCAGCTCATGACAAATACATTAATCATTATTTTATTTATCACTCAGTGAGTCATTTAAACATGTATTCCTAACATTGGAAGTCTTTTTGTCTTTCAAACACATTAAAATGTACAAATTGATTTCATATTTACATGCAATGCAGGGATTCCCCAACTTTTTTGTTAGCTGATCCTCTTTGACCTAATATACTTGAAGTATTTAAGTTAATAAATGACGTCAATAATAATAAATTAATTTCAAGATTCTCTGATTTCGGTTGACGGTCACATGACATGCAGATAAACAATTTTTTTTATTTATTTATCTTTTAGAGTTTTATTTTAATTGTTTTTATTTCAAAATGATTTATTTTTAATTGAACTTTTTTATGATTCAATTAGCTTAATTAATAGAACCCCAGTCTGGGAAACCCATTAATAGGCAAGTATCGAATATTAAAAATACAGTGGCAACAAAGCATAAAAGGGGGGTGGAAACAAAACCTTTCTATCATTCCATGGACAAAGAAAGTGTAAACAGGGTTTACAGTATATCCATTGAAACACTCTTTTGACAGTCCTCATGCCATTGTCATGCTATTTTACTGTTTTCCCCACTCACTGCATGTTGTGTGAGACATGACTCACCTTGCAATATTTCCAGTCATGAATGATAAGGCCAATGTCTAAAACGAAACAAAATATGCAATGTTATTCAAAGACTTTATGTAACGTCCTTAAAGGGATAGTCCACCTTAGATCACTTGCTAGTCAACTGTTTGATTACCAACATTCTTTAAAATATCTTTTGTGTTAAGAATTTTTATTTGTGGGTGAACTATCCCTTTAATACTTTCTCTACACCATTACATGAAAAAACAATATTGGCCATTACAGGTTTGGCCACATTTCCACTTAATTCATTCAAAGTGAATTTTCCAACTCACAAAAATGGCCAACAGGATAAGGTTCCATGGGAAACGCCTCCTAAAAAGTGACAGAGCAAATGCTAAATCCATTGGTTCACATGACAACTTATGTTTGTAGTGGCTTTTTTTAATGAGGGCTTTAGTTTTTAGAATAAATCAGTTTTTTGTTTATACTGTGGGATGATTTTTGTGTTACTAAACTATGAGCAGTAGCTGCTATGAGGCTGATTCAGAAAAGGAGCGATCATCTCACCTTGGTCCCGTACAGCAAACCAGTACCATGTGTGTGACAAAATAGACAGCACTGGAAAAAAATATTGTTCAACATTTACATTTAATGTTTTAAATGTAAAGTCTTTGAAAATGTGAACAAACAAAATGTCTAAGTTCTTACTATGAAACCCAGTAAATGGCTGGGTTTTTCCTCACATACACTCCTACCGGTTCCCTGTATAAACAAAAACACACATCTGAGTTTAATCACAAAGCCTACCTAAACAAGCAGTGATAAAGTTTAACCTTTTTTTCTGTGAACACAAAGCACATGAAGTAACCACACCGAGAACAGAGACTCACACAAATGTGAAAATAGCCACGATGGCAGCTGTGACAAGAAGCTGAGCAGAAAGGATCAGGTACACCTGCAAAACACAATGGAACCATTATTATCCATTATAATATTCCCACACAATTTTAATTAAAGAGGACCTATTATGCCTTTTTACATGGTCACCTTTCATGTTTCTATTTGAGCATGAAAAAGGTCTGCAAAGTTACAAATCCCACTCCAAAGGGAGCTATTTTCTCCCTGAAACGTTTTGATTGTAGTCTTGAGTTTTCTTTCGGGAACTAACAATATTCCTCATTTAAATAACTGACGCCCAAGGCATAAGAAAGTGTGTTATGGCCATGTCCACGAGATGCTGTTTTTCCACCTGAATCTATCGAATTAATAAGGCAAAACTGACACCTTTGTTAGAAGCGGAGAAGATGAAACGTGTGAATATGGTAAAAGCGTGACATTTCCGAAATGAGTTCAAAGTGGTTGACCAATCACAACACATTGATTCCGTTGACCAAGAAGGAGGGGCTTCATAGAGAGAGGAACTAAACAGAGCGTTGATGACAGACTGGGAAGAGAGCTGCTACTACAATGCAAAATAAGGTGTTTTTGAACATTTAAGCATGAAAACCTATTCTAGTAGACCCCAAATACTATATCAAGACTTTGTAAAAGGGCATAATATGATCTCTTTAATCCTAAATAACAACATTCTCATAAAACTCTTTTACTTTGAAGATGTTGCCAATTATAGAAAAATGGTTCCTTACTTTCCGTATAAAACTGTGACGAACACTGGTACTCTCGAATCCATCTGTGGTGGTAAATCCTTCACCGTCACCTGTAACAATCATGTTTTCAGTGAAAACTACATTTTATGAAGCTCTAAAACCATGATCATCTAAACAAAGATTAAAATAGTAATATTTATTGTGTGACATTTTTAAATCCATATCAATTTTAAATGATGGTTGGGTGTCATTTCTAACAAGTTTTACCCAATATAGTTTGTTAAAGTTAGTGTACTTGTTTACAGTACACTAAACAAGGCAAAATTATCATGTGATGCATGTATGTCCACTGTGTTAGTGGACAAATTAAGGCCGTTTCTCAATACCAAGTACGCAAACTTCGGACTTGCGTCCTTGGTAGTTCGGACTTGCCAAGTTCGACTCAGGAGAACGAACTCCCGAGGACGAGAGGACACGAGTCCAGTTATTCTGAAAATGGAACAGTGCGTTCTTGATCGCGTCACTCAGCGCGCTCTGGCTACTCCGGTGATCTCTTTATGTATATTTTAGGCAACAATAAAACGAAATATGCTACAACTCTGCCTCTTTTCGTCAACAATAAAACAAAATATGTTATAAAGCACCACTCTGCCTCTTTTCATTTAAAAATCTTAAACATAGTAGCCTAATGGCCATGTGGTTCAGGCAATGCGTACATTATCTTCACTGCATATATTTATAACAACATGAACATGATCTTTTTGTTTTCATTTTAAAAATATGAAACATTATTGATTTTTATTGACATTTAACAAACAGAGACAGGGTTGTGTCATTTTATTTTATTGTACATATAGTGAAGAGAATGTTAAAATAAATATAAATATATTTTAAAGAATGTCTCTTTTTGTTAAATGTCAGTTTTAATGATCAATAATATCTACAATGATAAATAAGGCAAACAATTCAAACATAAGTAAGCTCTCTAATAGGCTACAAAGTTAAAGTTAAATAGCCTAAATATATAAAGTTATGAAACTTCACTTTGCCCTCAGCCAAAAAGGATTTTTTTTGCCATGGAACAAACAATAGTTTAATGAGACCAAAGATCGACTTATACACAAGACGAATTATACGTCAAGTTTATCCACTAGACTAGAGACATCAGAGCCAGCGGCAAACGTCAGAAGCACTAGCCGAGGAAAAGCTGTTCCAGTCGGGGTTGATGAGCGTTGAACACCCGGTGAACGCCTGGATGTCACAACTCCGAAAACGTCAGATACATTTTTCAAATAGGCGCTATCTTTATAAATAAACCACAGATTTGAGCTTTAAACAACCACATTCTCGCCTGAAACACTCTTAAAATTACATTTCATGACACAATAACAGTAGTATTTTGATATTACGCGGGTTTTCTCCTCTGCTATTGACGCTTGCTGGTTGGTGCGAGATGCATTCTGGGATACCTGGCTGTCTCAAGTCCGCACAAGTCACCTCTCGATGCATCCTCGGTAAACGGGGCGGATCAAGAACACATCCGGGGATTTGAACTGGACTTGGGTAGATGTGAACTTTGAATTGGAACAGTACTTGGGCAGTGACTGATGAAGTTTCACAAGTCCACAAGAACACAAGTACAGACAAGAACGCATATTGAGAAACAGCCAAGTAAACTAGTGACAGTATGAAAACTCTGTTAGGATTATTTGTGCCAATAGTTAAAGAAATGCCCAACTATGTAAGGGATAATGTGGTGTCAAAATAAATACTGCCGAGGACTTTAAAGTGATATGGTACAGCCAGCTAATATTATTGCAAAAGTTCTGACCAAATAAATAAATAAATGGACATTTAAATGATTTGATTAAATTGCAAGAAAGAGATCAGAGTGATATACAAGACGTGAAAATGCAAAATATAGGAAATCGGTTGCCAATTGACCTGTCAATTTTCCTTCATGATTTATTTTCAGACATCATGAGAATAACGTTATACTTGGCATTTTAACGTGACGTTATAAAACAAGAATATCTATGGCAAGAACTCTTTTCAGTCGCTGCTTTCTTTTCCTCATGATTATTTTCTTTTTTCCCTTTGCAATCCGCTGTAAAAGTATGAAAAAGGACAACATATACTGCACATTTGTGGTCTGTTCTCCCGAATTTAATTTACGATATTTTCCATTAATAATTCACTGGAATGCACGAAGAATCTCTCGTTATTCTCCTCAAATGTTTTCACAGGTAAATGCAATTTATAATCTGTCAAAATTACAGACATCACTTTGAAATAGTATCACGTAATGCTGAAGTTAATGAACATTTTTGATTAAGGCAACATAAGTTACATAATACAGATATATATTAGCCTACTACAGTGATATTTAACCAAAGACTCGCGCTTTTGGGTTTTTTTGGTCTGTTGAAAGTACCTTGTTGATGCTTTTACACTTTTCAATTTTCTTTTAATGTTCGATGGTTGAAGGGTGAGTAGATTAATGTCATCTCATTGTGACACTTTTTTAACGTTTTGCGTTAATAGAGCGAGCCTTTCACTGATTGTTTACAGCTTAATGGAAGTTACACCCATAATTCGCACAAAGCGTAGGAATAAGGTGGATAGTGTCATTAAAAATATATTTTACCACAGCTGCGACTGACCAATGAGAATCAAGTATTCAAGAGAGCCATAATTAAACACTATATTACTGGCCTAACAACACTAATCTGGTTAGAGCTAGAATACAGGGAACACATTATGAAAAATTGTGACTTCAGTGTAAATTCAATTCAATGCCCAGTATATGATCTACTAAAATTAAATTTCCTGAAATTTGATAATTTAAGTAACGAACCACATCCTAAACCACTTGAACTTTGCTACATAGTAAGCTGGCCTGGAGGACAAAACATATTGTTCTTAAATGTTTCAGGAGCATGAACACAGTGATAGTAAAAGCCTATAAAAGTGAAGATTTACTAGATACAAGAAATAATACAACTTGCCTATACCAGGAGGAATGACAGGGATGACTGGTAGACTTGGTGGCGGGTATCCCGCAGGCCGTCCTCGGTATGGATCATTGGGCTGTGGGGGCTGACCTCGGTATGGATCATTGGGCTGTGGGTAAGGCGGTTGTCCCCCGTATGGATCATTGGGCTGTGGGTAAGGCGGTTGTGCCCCGTATGGATCATTGGGCTGTGGGTAAGGCGGTTGTCCCCCGTACCCATTGAAGCCATATGCAGGGCCAGAAGCGGGGTAACCTCCCCCAGGCTGAGGGTTTGAGAGCAGCCGGGAATCATCGTAACCCGGAGGGAAATCTGACCTTGACATGCTGCTTTAACTCCTGCTGGGTAAATAAGATACCATAAGAAACCATTTGTGAAACTAAAGTGCAAGTGCTACAAAATTTAAAATCAGATTTGCACCAAAACAAAAATAAAAAAAATTTTTTTTCCTTCTTTACGAGTACTCAAGTGTTACCCATTTTAAGCAAGAAAACTTGTTTGCTGCCTTTTCAAAAAATTCTCCCATCCAGCCCTAAAATATATTAAAATAACTCTAAATCTATGATAAAGTGTTAAAATATGTAAAACAGCCCATTTATATTTAATGATATATCTGTTATAATGTTATTTGGTCTCCCTACATAATTTATCTCCGGAATACATAGATGCAATAATGTTTTTGTCTTCTTAAATGTAATATTTGTTTTTGTTTTTTTAATCTGCTGTAACGTCTAAATGTCCTCCTTGGGGATAAATAAGGTTATTATCTAAACACCTTAAAGGGGTGGTTGATTATGGTTTCACTTTTCAACTTTAGTTAGTGTGTAATGTTGCTGTTTGAGAATAAACAACATCTGCAAAGTTACAACGCCCAAAGTTAAAGGAAGATATTTGCTTTTAAAGAAAGGGCTACAACAAAAGACTGGAAGGGACTACATGACATTCTTCCCGGGTTAGTGACATCACTAACCCTAAAATTTACATAAACCCCGCCCCCGGGACCACACAGTCCATGTTAAGAAGAGGAAGAGTTGTTGTAGTAGAGCACATTTGTGAGTCTGCTCAAGCTGTCGCATCCTGTTTTTGCATGCTACGTAACACAAGATAGAAAAAAAAATAGAAAAAAATAGAAAAGAACCACCGCTCATCCGTCAAAAAAGTCTTGTAGAGAGGTGCTGCTACATTAAATCATCATGGAAAATTGTAAAAATACAGCAGCCGCACACTCAAACACTCTGCAAGATCAATTTATTAGCAAGCTTTCGGTCTTGCGACCTTCGAAAGCTTGCTAATAAATTGATCCTGTACAGTGTTTGAGTGTGCGGCTGCTGTATTTTTACAATTTTGCATGCTACGTAACACAAATGCAATAGCATGTCACTCTGTAATCATCTTACAACAGTTCCTAACTTGAAACATTTCAAAATTTACCTGAATTGCTTTGCAATTTGTGACTTTCAGTCAATTAAAATGCTTTTTTTCCAGTTATATATTTAGTCATTGAAGATTTCTTAAAAATAGTGTTAAAATATCATCTCGTGCTCAAATGTTTAACAATTGTTGGTAAATTATAATAATAATATTATTATATAGTTATATTATTAATGTCAGTGGTTTTAAAGCAATTTATAAACACCTTTATGAAAAACATAAATAGTAATTATATAGACTTGATATAGAACTAATTGTTTAATGTTAAGATCAACAGCCCTTTTTTGTAATACCTTTCCTAATCATGAAATTTGTCAGTGGTTTTACTGGTTCCCAATTGTTCTACAATTAAGTTATTGAAGTGAGAAAGCAGGGGAAATAATTAATAAAGCATTGCAGGTGTGAGAAGTTCAGTGAGTTTCATTTTTGAAAACAATTTAGACATAAATGTAAATTGACTAGTAGAACATTTCTGAGAGAGCACTAAACTTAGAATATCCTTCCTGCTTCAAGTTCAACGTCTTTTTCCATTAAGACTTCTGTGATAAAGATAGCAATGTAGCTGTGTGGGTTTTGGGAGGTCCAGATGCACAACACAGATAAGTAGACATAAATTCACTCTGCATGTCCGCCCCCACCCAGTGCAAGTCCACACCCAGTGTTTTGAAAGGGTTCTTTCCATTTTAATCCCTACAATGGCATGCATAAAAGACATGAACTGAAGAGTTTTGGAAATACATTATCTGGGAGTACAATCTCCTTGTTATTCAATTAGTTTATGCAAGCGCCACTATTATTATGTAGGCCTGTATAGTTATTATCTGTTGGTTGTAGGCCTGTCACGATCATACATTTTGTGCTGATGATAAATGATCATACGAATACAGTAGGCTCCACAAATATTGGCACCCTTGTTAAATATGAGTAATGCTGACTGTGAAAATTTGTTTTTGCAATTTCTCCTCCAAGCCTTTCATTCAAAATATTCACAAAAATCTAACCTGTAATTAAAGTCAAATAGTTGAAAGGAAAAAAAATCTTATAAAACTAATTTTAAAACTTTTTTTTCCTTAAATATATTAATCACCCCTTCATTTAATACTTTGTGCAACCTCCCTTGATCATTTATCATCAGCACAAAATGTATGATTGTGACAGGCCTACAACCAACAGATAATAACTAACTATACAGGCCTACATAATAATAGTGGCGCTTGCATAAACTAATTGAATAACAGCTTTGGATTTTCTCATATAATGTGTAATATTTAAAATATTCACAAAAATCTAACATTTAATTGAAGTTAATTTACACAAAACATAAATGTGGAATAAATTAAATAAGTGTTTTTCTCCAAAATATGTGTCTCAATTATTGGCACCCCTACAAATTCTAATGAGTAAAAATCTGAAAATATGAACTATATTCTGAAATATATTCCATATGGTATAAGTTCTCAGTAATCAGGAACACTTAAGTGATAAGTCATGACTTCCTGTTTCACTGGGCTATAAATATGAAGTGAAACACAGGCCAAATTCTAATAGTCATCCATCACTGTGGGAAAGACCTGAGGATACAGTCATACCTGTCAAGTATCCCGTTTTGGCCGGGAAAGTCCCGTATTTTACCTTTCTTTCCCGCCACCCTCCCGTATTAGGATTTTCCCGTAAATCTCCTGTATTTTAACCTCCGTTATTGAAAAATAATAATACCCCGGGCGGAGTAAAAAAAAAACATTCCCAATCTGAGCTCTAGCTGTCACTAGCCTCGCGATAACTACAGGTAGGCCTACTGTAGGTGGCAGTTGTCGCGAGGTTAGTGTGTGAGGTCAGATGATGAGTGACAACGCGGGGGAAACAAAAAACAAACAAAACAGAGACCGATGATGGACGCTATGACAGAGCAAGGCACTCCTGCCAAAAAACCAAAACCCTCATGTACTAAATACCGCGATCAATGGGATAGCGAATTTACTTTTCTGAAGAGGAGCAGGGTGGGGGACAGAATGATGTATGTCAGCACGAGAAAGGGTGTTTAGCATGGTACGAAAGATTGTTACAGAGAATAGGATGACGTTAGACAACAGAACTGTTTGCTCTACTCTCATGTAAAATTAACCACTGTGGCCCAGCCCACAAATACACTCCTTCCAAAACAGTTAATACAAAGTCTGCAACAAATGTTCAATAACTCACTAAAAGAGTAAAGAAAAGTTATGTGAAATGAAAAGAAAAACTGCAAATGAAAAGAAAAACTGTAAAAGAAAAGCAATATGAAATGAAAATACTGTGTGGAATGAAAATAAAATGTAAATGTAAGACAAGCAATGTTAAATGAACAGAAAATATGCAAATAAGCCTTTAAATAAATGCTCTTAATATATACCCTATATATACCATACACACATACACTCACCGGCCACTTTATTAGGTACACCTGTCCAACTGCTCGTTAACACTTAATTTCTAAGCAGCCAATCACATGGCGGCAACTCAGTGCATTTAGGCATGTAGACATGGTCAAGACAATCTCCTGCAGTTCAAACCGAGCATCAATATGGGGAAGAAAGGTGATTTGAGTGACTTTGAACGTGGCATGATTGTTGGTGCCAGAAGGGCTGGTCTGAGTATTTCAGAAACTGCTAATCTACTGGGATTTTCACGCACAACCATCTCTAGGGTTTACAGAGAATGGTCCGAAAAAGAAAAAACATCCAGTGAGCGGCAGTTCTGTGGGCGGAAATGCCTTGTTGATGCCAGAGGTCAGAGGAGAATGGCCAGACTGGTTCGAGCTGATAGAAGGGCAACAGTGACTGAAATAACCACTCGTTACAACCGAGGTATGCAGCAAAGCATTTGTGAAGCCACAACACGCACAACCTTGAGGCGGATGGGCTACAACAGCAGAAGACTCCACCGGGTACCACTCATCTCCACTACAAATAGGAAAAAGAGGCTACAATTTGCAAGAGCTCACCAAAATTGAACAGTTGAAGACTGGAAAAATGTTGCCTGGTCTGATGAGTCTCGATTTCTGTTGAGACATTCAGATGTTAGAGTCAGAATTTGGCGTAAACAGAATGAGAACATGGAACCATCATGCCTTGTTACCACTGTGCAGGCTGGTGGTGGTGGTGTAATGGTGTGGGGGATGTTTTCCTGGCACACTTTAGGCCCCTTAGTGCCAATTGGGCATCGTTTAAATGCCACGGCCTACCTGAGCATTGTTTCTGACCATGTCCATCCCTTTATGGCCACCATGTACCCATCCTCTGATGGCTACTTCCACCATGTCACAAAGCTCTAATCATTTCAAATTGGTTTCTTGAACATGACAATGAGTTCACTGTACTAAAATGGCCTCCACAGTCACCAGATCTCAACCCAATAGAGCATCTTTGGGATGTGGTGGAACGGGAGATTCGCATCATGGATGTGCAGCCGACAAATCTGCGGCAACTGTGTGATGCCATCATGTCAATATGGACCAAACTCCCTGAGGAATGCTTCCAGCACCTTGTTGAATCTATGCCACGAAGAATTGAGGCAGTTCTGAAGGCAAAAGGGGGTCCAACCCGTTACTAGCATGGGGTACCTAATAAAGTGGCCGGTGAGTGTATATATATATATATATATATATATATATATATATATATATATATGTGTGTGTGTGTGTGTTTTCATTTAGGCTATAACACCTGTCTTAAAATGTAAGGGATACTGGAGCTTGGTTGGGGTGGTGGGACTGCTCGCGGTGGGCGCCGGAAAATTTCCCTTATTTTCAAATCCAAAACTTGACAGGTGTGTACAGTAATGATGTGTGACAAAAGTTGTTGAGCTGCACAAATCAGGGTTAGGGTTAGAATGCCCTATTCCCCACTGTGAAGCATATGGTGGTGAAACTTTAATGCTGTGGAGCTAATTTTCTTCAAAGACCCTAGACAACTTTTTAGGATACATGGTATCATAAACTCCATCAAGTACCGGCAGATATTCTTTCTTTCAGCATGAAAATGATCTCAAAATAAAAACAGAGTAGTTCACTGACCACAGAATGAAGGTTTTGCCATGGAGATAGTACTCCCCTGACCCAAACCCCATAGAAAACATGTGGGATGAGCTGAAGAAAAGAGTCCACGAGGATGGATCTATGAATCTGAAGGATCTGGAGAAAATCTGTATGGAGGAATGGTCTCAGATCTATTGCCATATGTTCATCAACCCTATTAATTCAGAGCAGTTATCTTGGCAAAGCGAGTTTGTTAATTGTGGAATGTTTTTAAAAAAAAGTTTGTGAATATTTTGAATGAAAGACTAAGAGGAGAAATTGCAAACACTAATTCTCAGTCAGTTTTTCTCATATTTACCAAGGGTGCCAATATTTGTGGAGCCCACTGTTATTGCGATTAACGATTGAATCTAATTTTGTTCATGTTCCTACAGTGTAAGCCTAATATGTTATTTTGTGGCTAATACTAAATATTTGAACTGGAACTCCAACCCCCCTTGAAATTCACTCCCTGGACTCAGACCCCCGCATTTCCAGCCTCGAATATAACATAACATAACATAATTTATACGAAAGAAGACCTTTTGACTATATGTATTTAGCCAACATTCTTTTTCATATTATTTGGTAAATGTGATTGAAATTTAAACTGCACAATTATTGTGGTTATCTCAAAAATATTACAAGAAAGAAAGAATAATCGAATGTGTAATCGAATAGCCACGATCACATGATTAGTCAACAATCGTGACCCGCCTAGCTGGCTGCCACTTTCCCTCTCACAGTTGTGATCACAGCAAAAAAAACATTAACCACATTTTAAACAGTCTTCCTGGAAAGAAACAGCCGACAAGGCACAGCCCATGAAAGGCCTTATAGTAAGTGGTTTGAAAACAACTAGCATTCCCTCAGCAACTAAGTTTTCCTATGCTTAAGTTTAGGAAGTGAGATTTTTGGAATTTGAACGTTACTTGTTTTTTTACGCGTTAAAGCAGTACTTGTGCGCCAGGATCAGCACTTCCTCTTATCAAACAGATGTAAAGCAGCTCACACAGAACCACACAGTGAGGTCAGCATGAACATGTGACACACATCTGCTAAGGAAAATCTGATTCAAGCTAATTCAAAGTCTAACCATGAGTAAATCGGTTCATCATTTCCTGAAAGTATCCTGGGAAAAGGCGTTTCTACATTTCATGTGCGGGGAGGAGTGACTTGACAAATTCACAATCTTTAAAGCGCAAATAAACTGAGTCATAGGAAGTTACTAAAGGACCAAAACATTCCAGGATATGTGACAGAACTCTAAGAACAACATACAACCATGTTTAATGTCACCTTTTTACTTTCAGACCATGCACATTGAAGGACTTTCTTGTGTATCTACCTCTATGGTATGCAGGCTATTTATAATGTTTACAAAAACATGGAGGGTGCCGTGTAATTCAAGCCAGACTGGAAAAGAATGTCTTCTTTCTTGTTTCAGCTCAACACTGCCAGCATGAGTCAAGCAAGCCCTCCACACACTGTTACACCATTATGTACTCTGCTAAGCAACCTTTTAAATATAAAGTGGAAAATAAACTACACTTTCTTCACTCTCCGTACCGGTCCACCCTGGTGCATGAGATTTGCCAAAATGTTATGCAATCTGTCATGTTCAACTAAATATTACGCAGAGATAAAGTTAAAACTTTTACAAAAAAAAAATTCTGACAAAATTGATCAGGCACAGTGGAATTTACTAATACTATATCTGCATTGAATATAAAACATTATTAAAGGGATGGTTCACCCAAAAATTATAATTATGTCATTAATTACTCACCCTCATGTTGTTCCATAAGACTTCCGTTTATTTTCGAAACAAAAATGAAGCTCTTTTTGATGAAATCTGAGAGAACCAATGAGGTTTATTCTCGTGTGTTAAACAGCATTTTGAGCTTCCGCAAGAACCAATGAGGTTTGTTCTCGCGCATCAATCAGGTTCGGTTGAGCTTTTGTTTATGTTCGCTGATCAATGTTATGTGAACAAAAGCCTACATTTAATCAATTTATCATATAAAGTGATTGAGTCTCTTCAGAGAATTTGGACTAAACCGCTCAATTCATATGGATTAGTTTTAGGATATGAACTTTTTGAAGCGCCAGTGGTAGTTGCGTAGCTGTCAATGGAGGGACAGAAATCGCTCACATTTCATCAAAAAGATCTTCATTTGTGTTCCGAAGATGAACGAATGTCTTACAGGTTTGGATGGAAGGGAGTGTGTTAATTATTGACAATTTTCATTTTTGAGTTAACTAACCCTTTATAATCAATCTGAAACAACAACAAGAAAAACAGGCGGTTTCAATGCCTAGTAAGCTGCCTACTTAGCGTTTTCCATCATAATTGCATTCAATGCCCAAAAGTTGTTTAGCTACTAGCTAGGCAGCTCAGAGGTTTTGAAACAAGCCACAGAAGGTATCCCATTCCTATGGGGGCTGGAGTGCATTTTAGGGAAAGTGTTATTATCTTACTCCCATTTTCCTAGAATACAAGTTCATCTTTAAAAATACACTAGAAGTCAATTAAGTTATAAATACAAAACTTAAACAGACTAGAAGTCAATTAAGTTATGAAAACAGGCTAAGTCACGACTAAAAGATGTGATCGAGAGCTTTTTGACGTCATTGAACATGTTCACATATCTTGCCCTCACTCACCCTTGCAAATATTTACCATGGTAACCGTAGTTTTCGCCTAAATAGCAGCTGCTACATATATTTTACTACTGTAAAAGCTTAATAGATTAATCATTTGACGTAAAAAACCTTTTGAACAGTAATTTATGTTTTACAAGACCACGTGATTGTACAACATAGCAATAATATTCTTACCACGCGCTGTCGACAATCCAGAAAACTTTATACGATCGATGCCGAAGCTTGGAAAAAGAAATATCAGACGATATAATCCTTCAGACTGAGCCTATTGAAATAAAAACCCGGTAGTTGAAACCCTGATCCACCGTCTTCAGTGTCACTTCAACAAGCCAGCAGTCAGTCGATGACGTTCATTTTAATAGTGCTCATGATGCTTATACAAGCCAGCAGGTGGAGTCAAAAGAGTCTGAAATATTGCGTTTAACTAATCGACAAAATAGCCGTTGTACCAATAAAAGTATGCTTTGGCCCTGAATAAAATGACACCGACACCTAAATAGTCTTGTCTCTCTGTTCTCTTTATGTAACAACGCTTCTCCCCCAAAAAACTCTGTCGAGGTGTGGTGAAGTTGACACACCCAACCCAAGCTACACCATTATTTATATTAGAACAAGGCAGGCTGTCATGTGTGTGTGTTCTTTCGGTCGCTTCCGTTGTCTTACACCAGGTGGTGCTAAATTGCAGTTCCTACCTTTCAGCAATTTCTCATTTTAAAGGGATAGTTCACCCAAAAATGAAAATTCTGTCATCATTTACTCACCCTGAAGTTTTTCCAAAGTCATTTCTTTCATCTGCTGAACACAAAAGAAAAAAGATATTTAGAAAAATATGAGGAACCAAAGTTGACTGGCCCAATGACTTCCATAGTAAAAACAAAACAAAAAACATGGAAGTCAATTGAGCGAATAGATATAGATATATACAAAAATAAGATAAGAGCTAGAGGTTTTATAGGTAAAACACGCTGTGTAAAACATGCATGGAGTGTGCAATGCAATATTTGTTCAAAAACAGTCTATGAAATGTTATCGCCTAATAATAGCTGCCAGATACAAATAATGCACCTTATAAAAATGCATGAAGATATAGAAAAAATAAAATACGAGGCAAAGGAGTAACGTTACTTCTGGACACTCGTAGTTGTACCTTTTAATTGCGTCATCGTCGACACGCCCTCTAGAATGGCGCTTCCGGAATGGACAGTGTATTTACTTTGTATTGCTTCAGTATGTGGAGGGTTTTACATCTGTCGTTTCCCTAAATGCGCCAGAAGAAGTGCATGGAAAAACAGCCTGATCGGTAAACTGATGGCTCGCACAGAGAAACCACTGTTTTGGATAGCGTAAGTGGCTTATTTGGCCTGCTGCGGCAGTCTGTTTTTATGTTTACACAGTCTAACGTTACTGTTTTTATCCACTCTATCGTAAATGATGTTTACCTAAACAGTTTTGTACGTGATATTGAAATATAAACGATTTACTTATCGTTCCCCTCAGTGAATGTCACTGATTTGTCATTTTATCATGGTCAGTGATTAATGTAGCTATCTAATGAAAATCTACGTCCAGTAAAATGTAAAACGTCAACACCATGAAATTGAAATCGATCAATGAAATTATGCTTTCTTATTAAACAAACTAGGGTACTTGTAATTAAGTTCACTAGCCTAAACACTTAGAAACATTCATTCACTCCCCTAATTGATTATTTAGTTTTAATTTACAACATTTCTGCCCAAATATCATAATAACTAACTATTATAAGTATTAAAATGCCAGAGGGTGGGGGACAATTTCATAGGGGAACCTGCATAAAACACTCATCTTTAAAAACACTTCCAGGTACTCTCTGTATACGCGGACCAAACTTGGGTACATATTTCATAAAAGGCAGATGAGGAAAGCACGGGAGCGGTACCCCACTGGCCACTCCAGAACTCAACCTACTATAATAAACGGTGAGCAGAAACACCTTTTTCCATCATACACTCAACAGCTGATTACCAATAATTAACGTCACTATTATTTTCAACAGGCATCAAGATAATACCAGTACCCATCTTATCAGACAACTACAGCTATGTGGTTATTGACACTGCATCCAATACGGCTGTTGTGGTTGATCCTGCCGACCCTCAGCCTGTTCAGGTTGGATTTAAAACAAGGGGTTTCAGAAATAGTTTTCTGGATTATATATCTTACTGTAATGAAATTGCCAAACCCATGTGGTTTTGTGGAAATGACTCCCTCATCCTCACTGGTTTACCAAAATTGTGGAAGATGGAATCATTTTCAGTTATTTTTATTGGAAATCTGTCATTGTAATGGACAGATTCCAGTTTTTCATTCTCACAAATGCAAAAGTGCAGTAGTACTTTTAAGTACACTAGTAATATCAAAATATTTAGGACCCTTCATATACATGAAGAGATGCTTTCTGGGGATGTGTCATGTATAAAGTCACATGTGTCACTTATCTTTCACATGATATTAACCACAGCCCTAGATTTGTTTCTCATTTCTCATCTTATTTCATGGTCTGTCTTCTTCACACCCACACAGGCATGTCTAGAGGAAGAGGGGGCGGCATTACAAGCTGTTCTGTGCACGCACAAGCACTGGTAAGACCAAATTTGAAAATGCCAAAAATCTATACAGCCTGATATGCTGCATAATGTATTAGCAGAAATTGTATTGCTTTTATTTTTATTATGAAGATCCTTTTAGTGTTGTAAGATCATATTGCACCAGTTCTAAGACACATGAGGCATCTAACAATCTTTAAAGGGTTAGTTCACCCAAAAATAATAATATTGTTTCAAACCCATAAGACTTTGTTCATCTTCGGAACACACATGAAGATATCGTTAATATTCTCACAATTTCCCCCATCCATTGAAAGTAAACAACCAAAATTGACATGCTTCACAAATGACAAAAAGACAAGAAATCCATAGACACAATCACTTTATATGATGAAAATATCTAATTTAGGTTTTTATTAACATAAAAACTTTGACCAATGCACATGCATAGAGCACATCAAATATGGTAAAGTGAGTATCTCTCTTCAGAAGACTTGGATACTTTTACTATGTGTTTTTTTTTAAGCTTGAAAATGTTGGTTGCATGGATTTTCAATGGTTGGACAAAAATGATGTAAGAATATTAAAATATATTGTTACGGCCCCTGGTCTAGGTCAGGGTGTAACATAAACAACAAAACCAATTCCTCTAGTTAGCTTGAGTTTATTGCTATTTTCTTGCCCTCTGAGTTGTTTACAGGGTCGCATTGTTTTGACATTCTTAAAACAATATCTTGAAAATACAGAATCAAACAAGCAGGGGAAAAGATTAGAAGCAAGATATTCAGGGGTGAGCTAATGCCAAAACAATAAACCAAACAGAACTAACTTTCCCACGAAAACTACCTTTCCTGTGAATCAAATAAAAGAAACAAAACATACAATGAAATACCCTATCTCCTTAACTAGCACAATAACCAGGAGAAAAATAACGGCCTTTCGGCCTACAAAGAAAACAAGACACTCACCCCCTACGGCTTCTCAAATTAATCATAAACATACATATACGATCACAGGCACTGGTGTGCTAGGTACAGATCACACAGTATCAAAGTAGTTACACAATACTCTGCTAACACAAGCTAAGAGCACATAAATCACACGATTGGGCTACATTTTCACCGGCTGACAAACACACAGTACAACTCCGGGGCCATCAAAGAGGCAGAGAGCACCCTCTACAGGAATTCCGGGGAATTTATAGTCCAGGCCTCTTCTCTGATCCAACCACCCATAGCGTTGCATTAGATCCAGGACCAATCCTAAAGGAGAAGGAGACAACAATAAACAACAGCAGAAACAACATAGCTGCATTACGTCACAACCGTAACAATATCTTAATTTGTGTTCTGAAGATGAATGAAAGTCTTATGGGCTTAAAATGACATGAGAAAAGGATAAACTTTTAATTTCTGGGTGAACTTAACCACATCGAGATTGAATAGCTAAACACAAAAATTAAATCAAAGTATTTATATACATTTTTCCCTAACCAGGGACCACAGTGGAGGAAACAGGGCTCTAAAGAGGCGGTACAGTTCCTGTCGAGTGTATGGGAATGCTATGGACAACATTCCAGGCCTCACACAGTCAGTACCTTTGAATATATAATAATTTCAGATGACGTTGGGTATTACTTGTGAGCATGAGACGGACCACTTAAATTGATGTTTTGTGAATTTAGCCCCCTTTCAGACAAAGACACAATAGATTTTGGAACTCGCCTGCACTTCAGGGCCTTCTTTACACCTGGGCACACAGTGGGTCACATGATCTACCTGCTCGATGGCCGGGTGATCGGTGGCCCCAGCAGCTTGTTTTCAGGGGATCTGGTATTCCTCTCTGGATGTGGTGAGTGTGGCAATAAACATTGTTATCTCAGAGTGCTCTTAAAATGTCATTGTATCATTTTTGTTTAAAATAAAGTGTTATTGTTCCCTGCCTTCAATGTTTGACATTTAGTGTACAAATGCTTAAATTACGATTTACCCCACACCGATGCACAGCAAGGCATGTCAACTGCAAACAAGAATTCTTAAATCCAGCTAGGTCTATTTAAAGCTCTGACTCATTTCCAACCCTTGTAGGGAGAATGTTTGAAGGTAATGCCTCAACTATGTTGTCATCTCTGGATACTGTGGGATCGCTGAACGATGATACTCTGCTTTGGCCTGGTATGAAAACACAAGTTTGTTTTTTTATAGTCTTTTCACACTTGAAGTTGTTAACCAGAGTCAATTTTGTCCTTAGGGTATTTGTTTCATGTTTCAGACTGTTCATACTTTATCCTGGGATCATAATAAATACTGGATAGACAGTTATTTTGGGTTTATTGGACAGAACAGAACCTGTTTGCGTGTCTCTTCATGACTCCAATTAAAGCTTTTGGTGGCAATTTTGAACAGTTCCCTTAGGCGCTGAAACTAAGCACAATGCATGAGAGTGTCTGCAACTATATAAATTGTATTAATTATTTATGGCATTCTTGCACCACATTTAGGGCTTTTTGCACTTGAAATAGTTAACCCTGGGTCATTTTAAACCCTGGGTATTTTGCTTCATATTTCACAATGCTCATAATTTACCCGGGGTTAATTTATCCTGGGTAATCATAAGCTGACATTTTACACTGTACATTCCCTTAACCCTGGGTTAATTGTCATTGATTGGACAAGCCCAGCATGCAACCTGTTTACATAAAGGCATAATACATAAATCATTATACATAATGTAGCATTGCGCATCCTTATATTATATTGTCGACTTTTTTTTTTGTGAATGGGTTTTGCGGACTAGAGGCAAGAATTAAGCAGTGCTAACCCTACTCCGGAACAGGGTTTTATAACCCTGGGAAAAAAGCAGTGCTAACTCCGCTTCTAAATTACAAGTTTTGAAACGTTGCTTTACCTGGGGTTTGTTGGAAATTTCAGAAGTGAAGACCAGGAGTCATGGATGTATCTTCATTGAGAACACAAGCTGTTGGCAGCTGCAGTCATCAAGTCTAACTAAGGCAGTGTACATTGTAGTTAATTTAGATTTTAGGAGGCAGTGCTTAGAAAATGGAGACAAAGCACCTGGGTGATGACCTTAAACTAAGCATGCAAATGACGTATCCAGGTATAGGAACCAGCCCCAGAGTCTAGTGTTACCAGTCCTAATCTAATCATCATAACTATTCAAGGAATGGGACAGGGGCTCCAAGAGCCATTAAAGACAAAAGGTGAGAGTCTCAGCAATCTGACTCATATTTGTCTTACAATAAAGAGAACTGGACTGGCAGGAACCTCTTGCTAAAATCTTTGTCTTACAGAATCATTTATCTGATTTCATCATCTTGTACTTCCCCTTAATTGTTCATGTGATTATTGTGTTATGTAAGGATGTAGGATCAGCAGATCTTAAACAGATTCTTAAATTTGTAATCCCACAGGTTTAAAAGCTTTAAAAGGATTAAGTGTAGTGTGAAAAACCCTATTTTGAATCATATACTGGATTTAACCCAGGGTTAATTGTAATGTCACAAGCCTGATTGTAATTTTTAGTTTTTGTGCACAACTTTTTTTGGTTTTATGCTTTTGTAAACTAGCACTTGGGTGTGATTCTAAGGAAAAGCTACATGTTCTTGTTAATAAAGTTGGTCCTTTTTTCTCAGGACATGAGTATGCTGAAGATAACCTTCTGTTTGCTGCTGAAGTGGATCCTTGCAATGTTGTACGGGAGCAGAAGCTGCAGTGGGTGCAGCAACAGAGAAGTCAGAGATTGTGTACAGTAAGGAAGATGAGAATTCTATTAAAAATCCTCCTATCAAATAAGGCCAAGATGTCCAACATAATTGTTACCAAGCTTGATTTAAAGGAATAGTTCACCCAAAAATGAAAATTATGTCATCAATTACTCCCCCTTATATCGTTTAGTCTTTCATTCATCTTCAGAACACAAATTAATATATTTTTAATGAAATCTGAAAGATTTAATCATTTAGGCTTTTACTAAGCCATTGATCAGTGAATGTACATAGAGCACTCAAATTTGGTAAATGTAAGCTCAAGCATAATTTAGGTATGAAAACCGGAGGGGTAGAGGAGCGCTTCCTGGACTCCAAAGTTTGATTAAGATAGAGGTGCTCTTTGGATGGGAAACTAAATACCAAAAAAGCAACAAAAAAAAAAACTCTTGGAGCCCCCCTTTTTTGATTTTTGATAATTTAGGTATGGTTGAGCTATTTACCATATTTGAGTTCTGTTGGCTAATCAGTGTTTTTATTTGAATAAAAGCCTAAATTAAATCTGTTTGTCATGTAAATTGTAAAGCGATTGTTTCTCTTCACAAGACTTTGATTAAATAAATTGCACTTAATATGGATTTATTTTACAATCTCTTTATGAACATTTTGAACCATCACAGTTTTGGATTAACAGATTTTCAGCGACATAAAACTCTCAGATTTCATTAAAAATATCTTTTGTGTTTCGAAGAATAATGAAAGTCTTATGAGCGACATGAGAGTGGAAAATTAATAATAGAATTTTAATTTTTGGGTGAATTAACCCTTTTAATGTAATTATCTCTCCTCTTTATACAGTGTCCATCCACTCTAGCAGAGGAGAAGCAATACAATCCTTTCCTGCGGAGCCACTCCCAGGATCTCCAGGGGGCACTGGGCCTGCAGCAGAAGCAGGACGAGGACTGGACGTCATATCGCGCCCGTGTTTTAGAGGAGCTGCGTAGACGGAAGGACATTTTTAAGGACCGATAAGGCTTTTATCCTCTTACATTTGGAGGTTGCAACCACTGAAACCATTCCAAGCTAAACGTACTGCTCCGTACATATAAGTGAGCTGGATTAAAACTATGGATTAAAAGCATTAACTTAATGTGAATTTACACAGTGACCTGAAAAGTGAAGGTTTTGTGCAGAGAGTGAAGTTGACTTGGGCATTATTTTGTATACAAAAATAGGTTTCTTTGAACTTTTAAGTATTTGGTACGCTGAAAGGCATTGTTTGAACTGAAAAATATTTCAATTTGTCTTGATTTGTTTGTTAATTTTTTTTTTTTTTTTTTTTTTTTTTTTTTTTTTTTTACCCTTGACTGTGTTGGAGCTGCTCCCAGCGTTTTGAATAACTATGGTACCACCACAAGCACTGATATTTATGTACTGGTTGTCATAATAAACCCATGAATTGACTAACTAATATGTCTATATTACATGTGTTCTATATTCCATGTGTTGCACTGTGGAAATCATAGATATATGTGGAAATAGTGTGGCGCGATTACAAGAAGGTTTACGACGACAGTTGTTAACAACATCGTTACCAAGGAAACCAAAGATGCTAATAAGTTGGAGGCATGAACGAAAAACACAAATAGACCCTAAATAAAAAGGTTTAAATGCCTAGCGCTAATATAGATGCCGTTAGTAGTTTGGGCTGTTTCCTGTCGTGTTAAAGCTATATGTGTCAGTTTGTTGTTGATTCTGATTTTTAATAGCATTAGCAAAGTAGCTCGTTTGATCATTAGCTGAAGCACCGTATGATCCAGGTATAGCAGTAAAGAAACAAAGACGCGAGTAGTTTTAAAATTCTCAATATTATTGAGAATAACGATATTAAATATATATATAGGTCACAGTTAGGCAGTTATTTTGAACTAATGTTGTGATAATCTCTGGTTTTATCTGGACTCTAAGACATGGAGGAGAATGAAACCGTAGAACTGAAAGCTTCAGTTAATGCAGTGGAGTTTATTCACGGCATTGGTAAGTAATTTTTTGTGGTTTTTTTTTTCCATTGGTAAGTAAGTTAATTTAAACATGATTATGATTCAATAAATGACGTCACTTTTAAAGTTTGCCTGTCAGAGACGCTATTTTAGGGTTAGGGACCATCTGTTAATGACATCAATGTCCTTCACGTTCATAAAGTTGCACTGTCTGTCTGTAGCTATTCCTGCTAAAAAAAAAATCTTATTTTTTATGTATAATTTGAACAGAATATATATATACACTCACCGGCCACTTTATTAGGTACACCTGTCCAACTGCTCGTTAACACTTAATTTCTAAGCAGCCAATCACATGGCGGCAACTCAGTGCATTTAGGCATGTAGACATGGTCAAGACAATCTCCTGCAGTTCAAACCGAGCATCAGTATGGGGAAGAAAGTTGATTTGAGTGACTTTGAACGTGGCATGATTGTTGGTGCCAGAAGGGCTGGTCTGAGTATTTCAGAAACTGCTAATCTACTGGGATTTTCACGCACAACCATCTCTAGGGTTTACAGAGAATGGTCCGAAAAAGAAAAAACATCCAGTGAGCGGCAGTTCTGTGGGCGGAAATGCCTTGTTGATGCCAGAGGTCAGAGGAGAATGGCCAGACTGGTTCGAGCTGATAGAAGGGCAACAGTGACTGAAATAACCACTCGTTACAACCGAGGTATGCAGCAAAGCATTTGTGAAGCCACAACACGCACAACCTTGAGGCGGATGGGCTACAACAGCAGAAGACTCCACCGGGTACCACTCATCTCCACTACAAATAGGAAAAAGAGGCTACAATTTGCAAGACCTCACCAAAATTGAACAGTTGAAGACTGGAAAAATGTTGCCTGGTCTGATGAGTCTCGATTTCTGTTGAGACATTCAGATGTTAGAGTCAGAATTTGGCGTAAACAGAATGAGAACATGGAACCATCATGCCTTGTTACCACTGTGCAGGCTGGTGGTGGTGGTGTAATGGTGTGGGGGATGTTTTCCTGGCACACTTTAGGCCCCTTAGTGCCAATTGGGCATCGTTTAAATGCCACGGCCTACCTGAGCATTGTTTCTGACCATGTCCATCCCTTTATGGCCACCATGTACCCATCCTCTGATGGCTACTTCCACCATGTCACAAAGCTCTAATCATTTCAAATTGGTTTCTTGAACATGACAATGAGTTCACTGTACTAAAATGGCCTCCACAGTCACCAGATCTCAACCCAATAGAGCATCTTTGGGTTGTGGTGGAACGGGAGATTCGCATCATGGATGTGCAGCCGACAAATCTGCGGCAACTGTGTGATGCCATCATGTCAATATGGACCAAACTCCCTGAGGAATGCTTCCAGCACCTTGTTGAATCTATGCCACGAAGAATTGAGGCAGTTCTGAAGGCAAAAGGGGGTCCAACCCGTTACTAGCATGGGGTACCTAATAAAGTGGCCGCTGAGTGTATATATATAATTTGATTTACTATTATAACTTTGCAGGATGGAGGGTTTGTGCCAGTTATTGTGATAAATCATGAAGCACTGACATCTACATAAATGTGTCTTAAATGAATGCACTGACTGTTTCTGCAAGTATTTTCAGACCCACTAACTGTGATCATCATAAATTAATCTTCAGTCAAGAGACTAACAGTACGTGATTGCAACGGTCTTCTAATTGAAAGCCATTTTGCTGTCACTTATAGGATCCAGGGATCTGGACGATTGTTTGTTTGCGGATTCACTTGTGACTGTGTCAGATTCGGGCAGGGAGCTGGGAGACTTCTCTGTGAGAGTCACCAAGGCGAGTTACAATGAGGAGCTTTGCTATCTGCTCCATGCCAACAGTCATGGAACGATCGATGACATTCCTTGTGGCACATCCATTGAAGGTGTGAATTATTTCTTCTCTTTATTATTTGTTAGTGAGAACACACATGGCATTTGTATATTTTTTTTAATCTTTTCTTAAAGTTAAACTCTGTGTTTGTTCCCTTGTGTTGTTGCCAGCCTACATATCCAGAAAGCTTGATATACTGGAAGAGAATCATCATGAATATGTAAAGGTATCTTTTCTATCGACTTAAAGCAAAGTTTATGAAAAACGTAGGGTAGGTTCCGTTTAATTCAGTTTAATTTGATGCAATAAATGAAATAATCGAAATCGAAATGTAAAGCCACCCAAATCTGAGCTGTTGTAAACATTCCAGCTGGAAAAGCAGACGGTGGACCGGAAGGTACATATTGTTAGACAGGATGATCAACTAGTGGTAAACAGGATCATCTCAGAGAAAGAGGTGAGTGCTATGCTGCACAACATATGTTGAATACGTTGACTTAAATATGTGCAAAAAAAAAAGTATAATGAAATTTCTCATCTTTTAACTCATTCTTTAGGGAGTGAAGACTCAAACCCACACATTTCCATTGAGTTCTCTAAAAGGCTTTGTCTCTGAGGCGTCCAACTTCCTGATCCTGCGCATTCTGGCTCGGCAGAAGACTGTTCCAGAATACATGACGTTCCTGTCATTTGATGCAGATACAGTGCTTTCTAAATCAGTTTATGTAAGTCCATGGAGATTATTGCTTATAGTTCAACCCTTGGATGTTTTTTATAGGCCAAATTTATATGAACAGTACATGTATGATTGAAGGTGGTGGGCTTTTTATCATTTTTGCGTGATCCACTTGTTTGCTTCAGAGAGCACTTGGGTGGAAGAAGCAGATGATTGGTGAAGAGCTAGTCGAAATCTTTGGGATTGAAAGGACTGTCTCCTCTGCAAAGGACTCCTCAGCAACTTGGCATTGCTTCTTCATACCTGATGGGTAGAATACTCTCTTCGTTTTTTGCTAAAAAGAAACATTTGAGTGGATGATAGCTGTTGATTAGCATCCTTCAAACAAAACCAAAGCTGCCATACATAGTTGTTTACAAACTCAAAGCTTTTTTCAGCAGCTACAGAAGTTTTAAAGATTTGACCTTTGTTTGAACATTAATGTTTCCTAAAATATTTTACATTTAGGCATCTGGCAAGCAGAGTGCAGTTGGGCTCACCTGCCATTATGAAGCTACTGCATTTGCCATTCTTGCTCGATGGAGGTTTGAAGACCTTAACACTTGGCAGTCTGCTCCTTTGTGATCAGAAGTAATCTTTAAGCTTTAAAGTTAAAAAAATATGAATAAAACAAAGCTTTTTTTTTTTAGAGGAGAAAGACCAAATTCCTGTGTTTGAGAAGAAGCCACTCATCTGGGAGGAAGATATGGAGCTTTACTCAAAGTTTCTTGACAGAAAGGTGCCTATAACTGTTCATAAGCATTTAACTGATGCCATATATCACTCAAGAATATCAGAAGCAAATTTTATATAAGCAAATTTGTGACTCACTTGTTTATGACATAGGAGGAACTCAAAGCGGACTACTCCTCCTACATCAGACAACACCCTGAGCTAAAGGCTTTAATGGCAGACTTCCTGCAGTTCCTGCTGTTGAGGAAACCTCAAGACGTCTTCTCCTTTGCTCGTGACTTTTTTGCACCCTTTGCCTCTCAAAATCCTTCAGGAAAATCCCATAATGACTCCCAATAATTTCCATAGGGATAATAAACACTAACAAATTGTGTGATGTAGCAGAGATTGAAAATAAAGGTTTTCTTCTAATAATGCCTTGGTATAATGACTATGCTTTTTTGAATGTACTGTAATAGCATTTGATTCATATGGATGAACAGATCCTGATGTGAGAGACACTGTAGATTGGTAGTGCAGTAATAAAGAAATATTGCACAGAATGTTAACAATATGCCCATATAAAACAATACCTAAAACAGTAAACATTCTAGCGTGTAAAACATTCTAGCTTGTCTCGTCATATAACAGAAATATTTTTAATTCAATTGTATATAGAAAATAGCTGAAGCAGTATTTATACTGATACATAAACTCTTTATTTGTTTTTCTTCAAGACAAACGGTCTGTAAACTAAGTATTTCTTTAGAATTCCATGACTCAACCCCCAGAATTATTCAACACATTTGTGAACACACCCTTTTGTCACTTCCTGAGTTCCTGTTTAAATCAAATAGAGGTCTCTGCGGAACAACAAGAAGGTGTTTCCCAATTAATGGGCGTTTTCAAACCGGTCTAGGCATTTTCCAACCATCCAATCATAACCGTACGGATTCGGAAGCCCTTTCAGAAGCGGACATTTTATTATAGCACTTTCAGAAGCGGAAATGCGTTATTATTATTTCTCGGGTTTTTTCTTGATTTTTACTATTATGTCTATATCGCGACAACATTTGATTTATGTAAAAAATAAAATACAGGCTACAACTACCTATTTTCTTTAAAAAGGAATTCTTTCATAGGATATAAAAAGGAATTCTTTCATAAGATAGTTATACAAGATCTGTATCTTATAACATAACGGGAAATTTGGTTTATGAAAGAATTCCTTTTTAAAGAAAATAGGTAGCTGGATTTTATTTTGACATAAATGTTGTCGCAATGTATATGTAAATGTTGTTATAGCCTGTGAGTGTGTATTATATTTTATAATATTCTCTCCTACCTACATGCAATTTTTCTCTAAATGTAAACCTTAAAAGGTAAAAGTATTAAAAATTACTTTATTACTCAACTATTTATAATTACATTAGTTTTATTTTCGTTTTGTGTGTGTGTGAACAACACAACATAAATCAAGTTGTAACGGTGATTAACAAGGAAAAATTCAATTTCCAATAAAGTTACCAAATCCTACTGTAAAGCAATGGTGAAAATTATTGTATTGGTCTTTCTCACCTGTATTTTTCAAAATATATTTATATGTAATGACTGATATTTAAGTGATATTTGTAGCTTACATTAAATGATATATAAAGTAAAACGTATTGACCTTTAAATTAAGGTAAAATGTGTTTACTTAGAATAATGACTCTGAAAACTTTAAACATTAGCATCACTTTATTGACCGTATAGATACTGTAACCAATATGATGAAAAACTGTATTGATAAATGCAGCATTCTCTATTTAATGTAATAGTAAAAAAGAGAGCATCCAATCCAATCAAATAAAATAAGCAATAAATGTGGCAAGTTCAAACATGAGGAACACATTGCATGAAACATTAGATGCTTCCTCCACAGCCACATAGAAACAGTCTCCGCAGTATCCTGGGGAGTCATCAGAGCCATAGAACCCCTGCAACACACCTCTTTGCCCTCTCCCTCTGTAGCCTTCGCCACAGTCTTTGTATGTAGTATCAAAATGGAGACATCTGGATAGACTGTATGGAACCCTGTACAGGTTTCTGACATTTTCACTGAATGCCTTCCAGTTCACGACACCTAAAAAAAAAGTTGTCAGCTGACCTCATCATTGTCTTAATATTCAACCATACATAACTGAGAAAAACAGAGAGAGCTGTGATTAACCAAACAGTGACACTAATAAAACTTACTGTCCAACCACCGAAAGTGAGCCTCTCGGCGGAAACTTTCCATGCTCACAATGCTGTTGAAGCACCTGCAGGTGAGAGCAAGGGAGCCAATTGCAACATCACCATCTTGAAGCACAACCTCCAGTAAGATTTCACGAAGGACCAGCGGAGGAAGCTATACATGAACAAAACATAATCTGAACTTCTTGTGGTTATAATGATTCCCTTGCATTTTATAAATTGAGTAATAACAAATACATGCCTCCTGTATGTTCAGGGGTTGGTCAACAGTTGCCACTATGAAGGGACAAATGAAGAACATCAGTAAATAACAGTCAACATTTACTATAAATAATAGAGCACCTCAAACAAAATAAATCATACCAGTTTTGTGTGGCTTGTCAGTCCGCCTTCTCTTTCTTTGCTGGATTTCCATGACCGATCTTGATAAATTTATGACATAAAAACACATTAATAATACAGTATATCAAGTTTCATTGATCAGGTGCTGCTGGGGCCAGCGAAGGAGTTTGTTGTGGTGGATCAGGTGCTGCTGGGGGCCTTATTTTATGCCCAGCTATATGGGCCACTATTTGATGATAATGTCTGGGTTTACATATTTGAGATGTGCAGAAGGGGCATGTGAATAAATTAGTATCTGCAAGGTAGCGCTGTGGTTGAGGCTCTTGTCCTCTCCGCTGAATTGTGATGTGGTGAATAGACAACAATTTCATCCATTTTAATTTAACAAGTTTCCTCCACTGTACATAATTATGTTAGTCTATAGGTTTGACTACACATGTGAGGTATTAATGCCTGCACTGATATAATGAAGAGTGTTGAACATTGACTAGTGAGCTGATCTCACAGCTAAAAAAGGTCAAATCATGTTTCTATTTAAATCTAGGTGTCTGCAGAGGTTTTTGTTAGGGTTATGAGATATAATATAAATAACAGAAAAATTATAAATATTACATTAAAATTGATATTAAAAATAATAAACTTAACAAGCAATGCTTTTTCAGCTTTTCTTGTTTTCTTACAGCGCACCTCACACTCAAACACCATTTCTTATATGAAGGGAGTGGGTTCTGGACTGAATGAAAACGTAATTTATCCACAAAAAAAATTTAAATCGTTTTTAATCATTTTTAATTAGACAGAATTTGCAGTTAGATTAATGTGCACAACACTTTCCTTAAAATGTATTAATAGTTATTTATTTTTTTATTATTGTATTTATAGAACATATTAGTAGGCTACCTATATCCCCTGGTTTCACTAACAATTTTAAAGCCTAGTCCTAGACCAAATAAGTCTGAGCTGTTCCAACTGAAATACACTTGCACTGACTAATCTTAAAATATATCAGTGTCTTTGTTTTGTCTCAAGATGAACACCAGTAATGTTTTTTTTTTTTAAGCATGTTTATGAAAATTATTTAAATGTCCTAATTGAACTATGGACTAATCCTGGTTTAGGCTAAACCCTGTCCCTGTCTGTGAAACCGGGCCATAATTCGGTGGAATAGCCCACTAATATTTGTTTACAATTATTGTTTTCTAGTCTGACAAGCTAACGTTAACTATTTTTTTATATTACAATACGCCGACAGTAAGCAAACTACCACTATCAACACTAAAGTAACAAACGCATGCACCAAAAAGTTAGCGAATGTTTGCTAATAGTGGTTAGCGATAGATTGTAAGTGGCAGACCTCTTGGAGCTTTTCTTAATCGTGTTGCAAGCAAGTTTACACAAACTAATTAGCGTTAACTGACGTAAAATGAGAATTTACACAAATCCACTTACATCCATATGCAGGACAGGTGACCTCTCTCCTCATTTCACCCATAGACTGTACCGTTTTCTCGCTTTATCACTAATATCTGAATATCTGATGGGGAAAGCGTATTCAAGTATCACCCACTCAAGTTTTAGCAAACCAGGCAGAGAGATTGTAAAACGCCTACCTGGTTGTAAAACGCCCCCAAATTGAGGCACGCCCCTTGTTGCTCTGCAGAGACCTCCTTCTCGTTTAAATAGAAGAGGATGAAACTGAAAGTAAAAACGCGTTGGAAAACAGCTTTAGCATGTAGATCAGACTACCGGTATATTGTTTTTGGTTCCTCGAGTGTTTACGTTGATATTATTTCAGTTGGATGTTGTAAATGTAAAGGTAAGAGGATTTTTGAGTATTTTCGTTGATTGTTCGTTCGAGTTCAATTTCATGGACGTGTTTGTCAAAACTTAGTTTAGGGTTCGTATGATTTTAGCTGTAGCATTGTAGCTCTCGACTCGGCGAACAAGTTTTTTTGGGGGTAACATTAGTTGACAAGAAATTACAAACAGTGGCAGCAGTGTCGTTGTCGTAAATTGTGACATTATACACTTGATCTAAACAATTGTTTTATACTTGTATAAATGTTATACATTTCGTGCTACACTTGTTATTGCTAGTTTAAAAAAATCTTATCACACCGCAGAACTATCTGACGAAAAATTCACTCTTAACCCGAGGTTAATTGTCCGAAGGCAGTATGTTTGTCACAAAAGTCCTAGCAGCTATGTGTGTTTCTCAGTAGTTTTGTATGATACGATCGGATACGATCAAATACCGAGTTCAAAACTTTGTGTTCTAGTATTATGAAATTAGTATTCTGTTTTCCAAACAAAAATTCTATTATCATATTTTATATCTGCGAACACAACAAAAACACCGGAAATACATTAAACTATCATGGTTCTTGACGCTCGCTGCTTTAGGACAAGGTATTTTCATAAATGTTGGGTTGGGCAGGTTGAGACATGTTTTTGAACTTGATATCAGAGTAAAGGTTCACAAATTGGTATTTTTATTTAAATTAATTATTACTTATTACTATAATTCTTTGTAATTAAATAATTGAATTGGATTTAGAGAAGATGTAGTTGTTAAGTAATCAATTAAACTATTTGCAAATAATACTTTATTTAAATAATATGTCTTTGTCAAAAACCTACAACCTTTCTTGTCTGTCACATTAAGTTTTGAATCCCATGAATCATGTAAATCATGCATATTTTCAATTCAAAACAGCAAAATTTGATAAAAAAAAAAAAGATTAGCAATTGGCATCACTGTATAGTATGCATTAACATTTTTTGAGATATTTACAAATGATCAAAGTCCCTTTTAAGTCTTTGATTTTTTATGCATTCTTTCACTCATAAAGCTTAAACAAAGCATCATGTTGGAATTCAATTTTAGCACTCGTTTTATGTTAACAGTATGTCCCGTCTTCTTTGATTTGATTGGTCATCATGATGATTTTGACATTGACGAGCACTGTTAGACCGCTGAGGCAGACTGGCCTAAAAAGTGTTTAATAGAGTGCATCAGAGCAGCATCAAGAATATCAAATATTTGAGGGGACGATTTGGTCACGTCTAATTATTGGAGTTGAATTGTCTCCCTCAGTGTCTATCGTGGTTACAGTCCTGTCACAAAATATGGGCTTTCCAAGGTTGTTTAAAATGTTTTTCCTTTATATCATTGACTTGCTATTTTACATTATGCAGCAGAATATGGATCTTCAGAAGTTTCACAAGATTGACGAGAACCTGCCAAGTACTGATGTGGCCAAGCTGAAGTTTCTGTGCATAAACCTGATTCCCACGAAGCGTTTGGAGACCGTGAAAGATGCCAAAGACCTGTTCCTGCGACTGGGCGAGCAAGCACTGCTTGATGACGAGCTACTTGTCCCTGAGCTTCTGATCACAATTGGGCGCCTTGACTTGCTTGCCATCCTGAACACTTCGAAAGAGGAAGTGGATAGAAAACTACCAGAACGTGAATCTTCTAGTAAAGGTGTCTCACCCTACAGGTATGAAGAAAATTCCCAATGATCCATAAATGTAGATTACTACAATAAAAAAAAACTCCTCTTAAAGTTATTGTCTGATAGAGATTAGCACACTGACGTGCTAAACAAGATCCATAGAAGTCAAGAACACTATCAATAACAAAATAGTTTTCTTGGAAAATGCAGCTTGTTCTTACTCTACTTTTAATATTTGATGTCACAATGTGTGTGTCTTGTTTTGTTTTCCTCTTCTCATCAGAAAGATGCTTTTTGAAATATTCGAGGACATGACAGAAGAAAACCTTCGCTCTGTAAAGTTCCTTTTGGAACTTCCAAAGGCAAAACTAGGACCGTCGGCTGTGAGTTTTATCTTAAGCACTGAAGTTATAATGTTAGTGCAGATTGCACACAAATAATAAATTAATGTGAAAGTGGAATATGCAATTGCTGATGAAGAACTACTTTGACTGCAAAATCTAGCTTTGTAAATGAACATTATTTTTTCCATTTTATTTCATTAAAAAATGGTTGTTGTTTTTTTTTTGTCTACTATTTACAGTATTTATGGTTTGCTCTTTAACCTATTGTTTTATTTGAACCCTACAGTCACTTCTAGATATTATGATTGAGATGGAAAAGCAACAGAAGCTCGGGGAAGACAACCTCGATGAACTTCACAGTATTCTTGAGCAATGTGACAAACCGCTGGCCTGTAGGATAGAGGAGTTCCAGAATATGGGCAGAGACCCAGAACAAGGTTACTGATTAAATCAAATGAATTAACTATATCTGCTCTTCTCATTTATCCAAACATTTACAACAGTGTTTTGTTTTGTTTTGTTCATTTTTTGAAGATGCTCACAGACTCCCTCTAAATGTAAGTAAGCCAAATCTTTGCCTCAATTTTCACACAGTATGACACAAATCATTCTCATGATGTGGTTATTTTAAATTGTAGCGGTCGGGGGATCCCCTGCCAAGCATTTATGTATTTATTTATTTTGCTTAACTGCTTTAAAATGGTTAATTTGTTCAATTTTAGACAGAATATGTAAAGAAAATTTTACTAACACTTAATCGTCCATCTCCCATTTTCACCTCAAAATTTTGGGTAGGCTGTGCCTCCTTTGCCTCCCCCAATGAGCCGCCACTGATCTGGGTGATCTTAGAAAATTTGTAATTCTTTGTGTAACATTTACACCCACAAAATCTAAAGCAGTGTTTCTCAACCAGACTTTATATTGACCTTCAAGTGGTGAGCCAACAGAGAACCAAATTATTAGTAAAAATGTAAAAACTATTATTAGATTCTTCTCAGACAACCATGTTTATCATTGTTCCATGTGAACCTGTTTTAACCTGTTTAATGTAGTCTTAAGTCATATTTCATTGCGTTGCTGAAATGATTTTAGGATTAGGGAATGTTACACAACCTGTCAATATTGGCTTAATATGCACCAAGTGTCAGATGTATTTGAGCCAAAATTCCGAGTTTGACTGGATACACCGCCTTTATATGCGAAGCACTGTTTCCTCTCTTTTAAGTTTAGTCAAGACAAACTTAACAAAATACAGTTACACTAGTGTAGTTTTTACCCTGCTGTACATGACCCTATCACAATAGAATGGCGGTCCTTTATTTGGGTTGTTGAGAACCACACATCTACAGCTTATATCAGCAATCAATATTTTCACATTAATTAACAATCTCGAAATAAAGAGCCTTTGAAAAATACCAGTTAATAATAGTTGTAGTCACATTCTAATACAGAGTGCAATGATAAATATACTGCAATTTAATGCATAATAATTGTTTCTCTTTCCTCCACATCTTGCCGTCAACACAACAGGTGGACATAGAGAACATAGAGAGAAAGGAAGGACGTGAGTTATTTATGTTATACATTGTTGAACATTAATGGTCTTTTTAAATGTATCTGTCTTTAACCTTATACGCTTTTCCTTAGGGAGAAGAGGCTCTTCTTTTGGCTCTGTTGGCTCGGTTTACACCGATTCAGACCCTCCACCCACGGTAAAAAAGACAATTAATTTTTATTCTTTATTGTTTCATTGTTAAATTATGGTTGAATGACAATCTATCCGATGCACCATTAGTCCCACATCTGATAGATTGGAACTTTTTCATCAAGGCATAGCACATACTAGTAACAAAAGGCTGTTTTTAATTTCCATAGTTCCACTGCTGAGACAAATCGGATTTAACAATGATCTTCTATGAAAAAGATGTGTGGTTGTTGTGTACTGGCTATTTGTGTAATATGTAAATAAATGTCATTTTAATGTTATTTGCTTTGCATTCATGTAGTCAGATGAATATTATATCATGACTCAGCGGCCTCTTGGATACTGTCTAATCATCAACAACTACAACTTTGAAAAAAAGTCCAAATTTTCCAACCGTGAAGGCACTTGGAAGGACAAAGGTATTATGGGTATTAACCCTTTTTTATCTCATTTGTATAATTCCTTACAATTGTGACTTCTAAATGAACACTTTCTCTATTTCTGTAGATGATCTTTTTAGCTTGTTTCATAGAATGCATTTCAAAGTTGAGGTGCGGGACGATCTGGAAGCCTCAGATATAAGAGATGCGATAAAGGAGTTTGCAAATAAGGATCATGCTCAAATGGGCGCTTTTGTCTGCTGTGTCCTCTCGCATGGAGAGAAAGGCACTGTGTTGGGCGTAGATGGTAAACCGGTTGAAATCCGTGAACTCACACAGCCTTTTGCTGAATGCCGCACACTAGCTAGCAAGCCCAAGCTTTTCTTCATTCAGGCCTGTCAGGGTAAAGTGGCCCAGGACGGTGTATGGACAGCAGATGGACAAGTGAACAATACAGAAGAAGGAACATTTGAGGAGGATGCTTATAATCCTGCTTTGCGCATGGTTCCCATTGAAGCTGATTTCCTAATCGGAATGGCCACAGTAGAGTACTACCAGTCGTTTCGCCACACTAGAAAAGGGTCTATCTATATCCAGGAGCTCTGTAGACAGCTGGAGATCTGCCGCGGGTGAGTTAAAAACATAGAGGACTCATTCATGCCTTGAATGAAAGATATACCGTGACTTTTTAGATGTGCCTTTGCTGGGTCTGTATAAAGTCATGTTCCAGTTCTGTGATGTTTACTTTGCAGTCTTTAGTTTCCACCAGTCATCCCATCTATTTCCACCAGTTTGACCCATTTATGCAGATTAAGAAATGCTATTCGTACACGCACTTCCATTCAAAAGTTTGGTGTCAGTCTTTGTTTTGTTTTAAAAGGAACTCATATTTTTATTCAGAAAGGACATTATGAAAGACACAAGGAATTATGTTCTTTGTGAGGCGAGGAAAAATTATTCGGCAATGCTTTTGCGGGGTGCGGGGTGCGGGGGGGGGGGGGGGGGGGGGGATTTTTCCTCGCCTCACAAAGAACATAATTCCTTGTGTCTTTCATAATGCCCTTTATGAATAAAAATATGAGTTCCTTTTAAAACAAAACAAAAACTGACAGGGGGGTTCCCCTTCAGTAGAAATCAAGCTCCAGGCCCCCCAATGCCTCTGGGCCCCCCTACACACTGTGCCCCTTTTCCGCCCTAAGCGACAGCCTGGTTTACTCTACACTTCAGAGAAAGTGCAGTGAGCACCTGGAAGGCAATAGAGATCCTGTCTCTTTCTAAACCTTACTGCATTTAGAACATTGTTACTTTAGAAAAATGTTAGTCTACACAGTGTTTGATCACCTTTTTTGTCAAATACCTTCTTATTTGTATGCCTTTAAAGAGACACTGCCTCCCTTGCCTCTTTGGAGAAAATGCTCCTGTTGAATATTCATGATGGTTTAATTTAGATGGATCCATATTAAAGTCTGCTTATCTGCTTTTTCTGATAGAAACGATGATATCTTGTCCATCCTGACAAAGGTAAACCGTGAAGTGAGCACCAGAGTTTTGAAAGGCTACAAGCAGATGCCTGAACCTCGATATACCCTCACCAAGAAGCTGGTTCTTCCCATGGACTGAAGCTACTTATTGACTCTGGTATTACTGGATTTACGCTGGACAAGTTTACATTATTCCGTTACTCAGAATCTATATTAATCTTTCAGGGAGGATCGAGGCTCTTTGGTACTATAGAGTCATATTGATCTTGCTATCTCTTAGAGTCTGGTCTTAATTATTAAATAAGGTTATGAGATTCAGTTTACTGCACAGAGTTATGGAAATTTAGTTATATGTTTAAACAATGCAATTTAAGAGTACATCAAATATGTAATGTGATTTCTATAGCAGCAGTCTAAATGATTTAGTTTTGAATACTGTTGTAAGATCTATTGATATTTCGGAAAGAACTAAAAACCCAGAGTTTAAAGTTGTTTAAGACTTTAAAATGGTAAGAAATAACTGATGTATAGAAAATTATAAACGAATTAGACATTCTTAAAAAGTGTCATTTTTTAAAATTATTAAATTTTCTCCTGCAAATTTAAGCTTGTCATTTCTTTTTCTTCGATTTATAAAGGAGAATTATTTTGTTAAATATTACATTTATTATTTTTTAAATTGTATTAAATGTATTGACTGTTTCCTCAAACGACATGATTATTAATGTATTAAGACTTCAAATACTTTGGGGGTGGCTTGGTGTCTGTCTGAAACTGGTTTCCCCAGGAGGATACTTCATTTAAAATTGCTTGACTTCCAGCCTTTGGTTTCTCTGAAAGCTACTGTCATTCTATACCTGAACCAGGTCACCTGTTGCATACACATTACTGAAGAGCCACTGCTGGGTTTTGGCCGGTTTCACAGACAAGGCTTACTCCCAGACTAAAATGCATGTTTGAGCCGTTTTATCTGAAAGCAACTTGCACTGACAAATCTTAAAATATGTCAGTGCCATTGTTTTGTCTCAAGATGCACACCAGTAATGTTTTTTTCTAACGCACATTTATAAAAGCTACTTAAATGTCCTAATTAAACTAAAGCCTTAATCTAAACCCTGTCTGTGAAACCGGGTCTTTGTTCATCCCACAACATCTTGACCTGGGATTTTCAAACTCGAGCTCTGAGACCCTCTGGTGGCTTCAAGGGGGTGTTAGGAGTTCCATGAAAAACTTCAGAGAAAAATGTTGTAGAGATTATTAATAAAAGGTATTATAACAAAATAACTGCAGTTTTATTCTGATTTCTGGTCTTTAATGATGAGATTAATGGCTCTTTAGTTTGTTTGTTTTTTGCTTCTTTTGAAATGTATAAATCTATCTATAGTGTCTATAATTAATCTATAATAAGTAGTCTATATTCCAGACATATATATTTTTATGAATATATATTTCTAGAATTTCTGGATTTTTATTTATTTTTTATTAAATGCTTGAAGAAAAGAAATGGAAAAAAACATTAACAACAATTATCTTCATTGTCATAACACAACAATACTCCTTCAGTCTTTCAGTCCAGATTAAGTTCCAAGTCCTTAAACACAGCCACTGTTCTTGTAGATTTTAAGTTTTTAGAGAACTCAATAGATTCAAAATACATTTTCATTTCAAGTTTAAATCTTAAAAAAATTGCATTTAGAAAATGTACATTTGTGAATGTGATATTTAGCTAACGGAAAAATAAGGTTTATAAGATAAATATCACTTTTCTTTTCATGAATGAAAATTACATTTTTTATATGTAACTCAGAGTTAGGATTCACATAACATTTGATAAAATCACAAATGTCACACCCCAAAAAAACAGGGTATTAATATCATTCTTTTCTAATTCTAATATCAGTCTTTTGAGAGAGCACTTATCTGGGTGAAACCTATGAATAAACTTAAACTTAAAGGTAATTTCTCTAATTGTGTTAGTTATCAGGTATTTGGGAGGTAATGTCCAAACTTTTTTCCAGGGAATGTCACTACAAAACCATTCCAGTAAGTAAGGCCTAATTAGAAACAGACTCCTCCTGAAACAAGACTCAACATTTCTATTTACCTACAAATGTCTTACACAGATCCACTGAGTGACAGAGATGAAAAAGAAAATCCTTTAAAACGCATGAGAACTCCTTGTGCCACTGCATCAGCCACAATTGCAAACTCTTTTGGAGTAACAGGAATTCCATGCTTTACTAAGAAACTCAGAATAATTACAAACTGAACCATTTTGATTGAAAAGTTGAGATACAAAAATAATTCCATTTTTAAACCAACTATCAAAGAAAAGAGATTCATGTCTATACAGTAGCCTAGGTCCTTATTATTCCAAATTATATAAGATTGAGGTGTAAAATTGTGTTTAAAGATGAGGAACCAAGCAACTAACATTTGCCTATGAAAAGGGATAATTTGACAGGGATTTTCATTATAATAAGAATTTTAAACCCACTAATTTAGAAAAAAATAATATTAGGGATCAGATTCCAGATAGATGCGGGCTTATTAATAACGGTCTTTATCCAATTTATTTTAAAGGTGTTGTTTAAAGTGGTAAAATCAAGAAAGTTTAGACCCCCCTTCTCAACAGTGTTCAAGTACAGATTTTCTGACAAAGTCTTTTTAAGAATGGACAATGGAGGTGTCGACACTCAAAGAAAGAGCTTAAAGGGGTCATATAATGGTACATGCACTTTTACAAGTTGATTGTACTGAAATGTGTGTTGGCAGTGCCTGTACACAACCATCATATAATGATAAAAATCCATCCAGTGTTTTTGTTTTAATCTCCTTATATGTTTTCCCCTGCCTCAAATTGAGCCGTTCGTTTTTGTGACGTCAATAAAACGGACGCCCCTCCCACGATTGTTGATTGACAGCTTGTGATTCAACACAGACCCGCCCTCGCTCGCTCGTCCTGTCAATCATAGTCTGCGCGAACTAGTGATGGGCGATACTGCAAATTTCTGTATCGATCCGATACCAAGTAAATACAGGGCCAGTATCGCCGATATCGATACCGATACCGATACTTTTTCATTTTAAAAGCATGCATTTGAACTTGTATGCACTTTCCTGTGCTAGAGCAGTGTGTCATGATTTATGAGGTGAATGCATCATTAATATGCTAAATCTGAACACGTTTTCATGACTACTAGTCCTATTTTGTGATTTGTGCTCTCAACTCCCCTTTAATTAGTCAGTGACTTTTACAAAACTACCCTAATTATAATACTAGCCTACTAGTACTAGCCTACTGTTCAAAAGTTTGGGGTCTGTAAGATTTTTATTTCTCTTAGGAAAAACTGTAATATTACAATTTAACAATTTAACATAGGCTATCTGTTTTCTATGCCATAGTAAACTGTAATTTATTCATGTGATCAAGGCTGAATTTTCGGCATCATTACTCCAGTCATGATGATAATTCATTTTAATATGCTGATTTGCTGCTCAGGAAACATTTCTTATTATTATCAATGTTAAAAACAGTTTCATATTTTGTCGGAAACTATGAAACATTTTATGCAGAATTATTTGATGAACAAAGTTGAAAGAACAGCATTTATGTGAAGTAGATTTTTTTTAACAGTGTAAAACCCTTGACTGTCACTTTTGATCAATTTAATGCATCGATCCTTGTTGAATAAAAATATTAATTTCATAAAAAAGATCTTACTGACGTCAACATTTTAAATCGTTATGTACAGTTTTGGTTTATTTATTGCGAAATAACGCCTGATTGTTTCTCTGACATCTAAGCAAGGCTTCGTTTCCCAAATGCACTGGACATGTGAGCTCAGCGAAGCACGAGCATCGAACGCTCTCTGTGATTGATTGGTTTCGTCTTGTATACAGATGACTAGGAGAAAAGGTTCTATCCTACACAATTACCCGCTAACATTCGCTTATTTTTCGCACTGAATTGCGTGCTAAATTAATAAAAAATTACTGGTAAAAAAAATACACATTTGGATCGATATTTTTATGTGAGGATCGATCCTTTTCGATACCACGTCAGTATCGAAGTATCGATACTTTAGGATCGATCCGCCCATCACTAGCGCGAACCGGCGCGGTCATTGTTGATATGCTGGAGCACTGTCTATGAGCAGAATGGCGTCTAAGCGATTGTGGTGTTCTGTTCTTGGGTGCAATAATGAACACAGCAGTCATTTTAATGTTCCTAAATCCGAACCGCTGAAGACGCAGTGGCTGAGTTTGTTTTCGAAGGGAATATTCCCCACGAGCAACGTCGAATCATTTCTCAGCAGACTGCTTTATAAACGAGGATCAGTGTAAAGCTGGTTTTGCTGAGAAGCTGCACCTGAATAAAGGATCGGAACCTGTTCGTCTTCCTGCTGAACCTTCAGAAGAACTAAAGTGAGTGTAACGTTTTATTAATCTTTATATTAATATTTATATAATCTTTGCAAATCGCCAGCTGCACGCTTCACGATGAATGCGTCGGTTTACACTCAGTGTACATTACAGCATGTTTTCTATGTACAACGTTCTCAATAAAATTCATAATCCCACGTTTATAATGAACAACGCGTGGTTATTGTGTTACAAACGGTGTATGCGCAGAACAGAGAGGCGGAGTCAGCAAAGCTCATGATCATTTAAATGCATATGCACTAAAACGGCGTGCTGAAAACAGAGCTGTTTTTGACCAGGTAAAATAAGTGTTTTCTTACAATACTAATGAGAATTTTTAATTAAAGTATATTACAAAGTTTTAATTTAGACCCTAAAGAATCATATTAGCTTGTACAAAAATTGCATTATATGACCCCTTTAAAGTTTTAAATATGGATATTTTAAGGATATTTTACAGACAAGGCTTACTCCTAGACTAAAATGCATGTTTGAGCTGTTTTATCTGGAGTGTCTGAGGCTCAAGGCAAAGGACAATCTAGAACAGGGACTGGACCAGGGATGGAAATTAACTTTTTTGTCCACCGGCCACTGTGGCTGGTGGATTTCAAAATCTACCAGCCACTCAATGTTTTTACCAGCCACTTTCTTGTTTTTAACCGACAATGTGTAACTGCATGTGAAAATTAATACTACAAGAATACTTAAGCAGTTCATTTAATCTCAAGTCTCAATGAAATACTGACATTTTCTCTTTCTCTCACCCTCGGCCTCATCCACCTAATCTGTCATTTATTTTTGTTTTGATGATAAATTGAGCCAGCCTCCAAAAGTAAATAACCTGTCCTGTGATTTTTTTTCTCTCTCACACAACACTCTCCAGACACGGATTTATGAGCTATAGTATGTTGGTTGCCTTTACATTAGAATAATATTTAATATAATCTAGATATGAAATGGAATAAATAGCATTCAATGCAAAATGAATATGTCTCATATATTGAAATCAAGTTTTATGTGATAAAATATTTGCTTTGTTGTGCATTAGAACCACATCAGGCATTTAGTACAAAATAATTTATTGAAGCATCCAGATACTTCACCACGTGACAGCAGCTAGGCTCCTGATTGGTTAACGCGGCGCGAATTGACGCTAAAGTTCAGATTTTTCAACTCGGGCGGCAGACGCGAATTCGCGTCAAACGCGTGAATGCACAAAAGCACTCAATAAAATCATGCGCGCGGAACGCGTCAGACGCTCGAACTTGCCGCGCGAATGAGGCGTATTCGCATCTACCACGGCGCGCTCTAACGTTACATCTCATTCGCGCCGTAGGAATTTTTTACGCGCGTAACGCGTCTTTGCATTGACTTAACAATGAAATCACTCGCGCCAGACGCTCTATTCTCGTCTGGTGTGAACGCACCATGATGTTTTCTCTGCAGACCTCTACGCCTGCGATGTAACGCCACATTTTGTTTGAAGGTGTGCGTCCTCTAAAAGTGTCCGCCGTCCGGGTGAAACAGTATGCTATTTTTATTTACCCGCCACGGTGGCCGGTAGGTGAAGCGAGTTTACCCGCCACAACACAAAATCACCCGCATTTGGCTGGTGGCGGGTGCTAATTTCCATCCCTGGACTGGACCCACCTGGATTAGAACATCAGCCTACTGTCATACTCTACAACTAGGCCTACATTCCAGTCCTGAAGGTTACAGGGAAACATAAAGAGTTGCTCTCTCCCTTGTTCCTCCCAAGGGGGAATTTTATTCCATTTGACAGCGAATAACTTTACATCGGAGGTGTTTAAAGACTCAATTTGTCCATTGTTTATTTCTAAAGAAACACGACAATGTATAACAGGCTCCATTACCTTGTATCTTACGTTATGGCACCGTAGAAGCAGTTTTTGTAAAAATAGGCTAACGATTGCGTATTAACACGCGACTCTCAGTTGCACAGTAGAGAAATTACTGTATAGACAGGAGGAGAAGTTCGCAGGCAATCGGTGGGACGTGGAGGCATAAAGTCAAGGGAGAAGCCCATAGAGAATCATAAAGTTGATCCCGCTGCTAGCTCATGGACAGCTCCTACTCACGCTCTCTGGCTCTGCAAGATTCGGAAGCGAATGATTCAGATTCCTCTTGCACAGCTACTAGAAGACTTACAACTGTCAGACAGGTTGCTCACGTCACATCTACGTGTTCAAGCTCAGTTTGAGCCTGCGCAGTGTGCGCTCAGCCGTCAGGAAGAGAGTGCTTCTAATTCACTTCACTGGTCTCCGTTGAAGTCTATGGGGTCGCTGTGTCCATTTCTTTTACTGTCTATGGTTCCTCCAGGCCTTTTAGGTTGAGGCAGTTTCTTCAGCACATCACTCTTAGGAACATGCCCATCACTACAGCCAGATTGTCAAATAACTCCCCTACTGTAGTTTTATTGAAGGCTGTAGCCCTTCCCAGGGATGTTGCCTCTGGAGTTCATACAGAGAGATGACGACGTGCTAGGAAGCCCCAGGTTGTCTTCCTGGTGTATTGCCTTGGTATGATGGCTTTTCTACAATGTTTATGACATTAAAAATTTTAAAAGATATGTAATGTAGGCTAATATTACATTAAAATATTTTAAGACTAAACTTAACTTGTTCCTCATGTCTCACTTTAACCCACAGCATTTGTCTCACTTTACCCCAAAGCCATATTTTAGAAAAATCAATCTCTCTTAGCAATTCAGGATAATCTTCAGCTAGCATCATCACATGGTTTTATATGTTGGTAGTTCATCAACATGTATGATATAATTTTTTCTACCTGAATCAATTTGCTTTGGCACAACAGTAAGTTGACAGCAAGAAAATGTACTTTTACATGCAAAAACATTTTTTTGTGTGAAATAAACATGCTTACCACAGCACTTCTCTCCTTCATGGCCAAGGGGAAATTTGAGGGGCTTGAAAACATAGTGGTCACATGACCGCAAATGTGTTCCGTTGCCTAGATACAGGGGGTGTCTCACATTACCCCGTTCTCCCACCTGACCGGGGAGCTGCAAAAGTTGCAAAACGTTGTTGTTTTTTTCACAGCCTACTCTCAAACCTTCAGTTCCACTAATGCTCATAAATCTGTTTTTATAACAGTAAAACCTCTTTTCATAAAGTCGCTATGTTATTGTATCATGTTTATCAAAATAAAATGTATTTTAAAAAAACACCACTTCATTGGTATTTAAGTAGGCTAGGCTAGTATGGGCAAATGTTGAACTTTATTCTTGTACAAACAGACGCTGTATTAAGCAGTAACAGTTACTACATAAAGTATTAAATAGAAAAGTAACTGAAACGTCTGTGTATCTGACAAATATTGCATTTATTTCACTTCCGCTGTGGTAAGTCTACAAATACAGCACAAGCGTCACTACGGGAATCAGAAAGTGTCCGATTTCACGTCTCCGTTTGCAGCTCCTCCCGCCAGCATGCGTCAACTCGCAATATGAAATATTCTTTAAGGCGGCCATTTAACTTTCTTCCGAAGGGCAGAGAGATTGTGTCCATATCCTCTCTCTCTCCGCAATCCACTCGTAAACTAAGTCTCATTGTCCACAGAACACCTGCAAAATCTAAATATATCCGACTGATCTGCATTGTTTCATAAGCCAATCTAGCACTTTTCCTCGAGTTAACGGTAAGTACTGTTGTGTTTACTCATTCATTTGTTTGCGTTTATATTTTTGTATCTGCACAAAAGCGCGCGAAAACTTCCTGCTTCACTGACTCCACGCACTGGCACTGCGCAGTGTTTTTTTTAATATGTTGCATGTTTTGTTTTTAAAACCGTGTATTGGATAATATTATATTATTTGTTGATATACAAACATCTAATGATTCTGTTGACATTACGGTTTTTCTGGACATTACTCTCAGATGGATGAAACTTGCCATGTCAGCAACAATGATCAGAAAAGTCAGGCTACCAAGAAAGAGCAAAATAAGGGCAAAGCATCAGATAAATCACAAAGAAAGAAGGCTGTAAGGAGGAAATCACAAGTAAGATAGCCATTTAATTAAGATTAGAAATGCCCTGTTATTTTTTATAGATATGTTATTTGAGACAATTATATTTCTGAACCATTGTGATATATTATTATGCTAGTATTTCTCTATTTATTTAATTTTACCATATAGGAAGCCAAAGAAAACCAATGTGTTCAAAAGACTATTTTACTTAAAAGAAAGCGGGAGCCCCTTCAACCCACCGGCAATATTTCTGACCATTACCCTAAAAAGAAGCATGCAGGTAAGTCATTTACAATCTGTGTTATGTTAGTAAACTAGAATATATGCCAAGCCTAGCCTTCTCCTAAACTGTCCTTATTTCCACAGTGACAAAGCACAATGAATTTTATTCCATGTCAAATAAACCTTGTGGATATTGTTTGATCATCAACAACTATAACTTTGAGGGTCCGTCACTTACAAACCGGGAAGGGACAGACAAAGATAAAGGTATTTTGGGGAGTTTAATCCCTACTTTAAAGTCAACATTTATGATGAAGACCTAACTATACATTTGACTTTTTCTCCTAGATAATCTTACCAGAGTGTTTGAGAACATGTTTTTCGAAGTTGAGGTGCGGGCCGATTTGCGAGCCTCGGATATGCAAAATGTGATAAAGGAGTTTGCAGAGAGGGATCACTCTCGCATGGATGCCTTTGTCTGCTGCATCCTCTCCCATGGAGAGAAAGGCTCTGTTCTGGGAATAGATGGAAAAGAAGTTCCGATTCGTGAACTCACACAGCCTTTTGCTGAATGCCGCACACTAGTCAGCAAGCCCAAGCTTTTCTTCATTCAGGCCTGTCAGGGTAATGAGGCCCAGCAAGGTGTGTGGATGCCAGATGGACAGGAGAGCACCACAGAAGATGAAACATTTGAGGAGGATGCTTATGTTCCTTTAAAAGCTGATTTCCTAATCGGAATGGCCACAGTAGAACAATACCAGTCGTTTCGCAACACTAAAGACGGCTCTATCTATATCCAGGAGCTCTGCAAGCAGCTTGAAATTGGCTGTCCACGGTGAGTTGTCTTTATTTTGATCATTTTTGCATTTGGTGTTAACATCCATTTTGGGTGAGTTTATCATCTTGGAAACACATTGTGGTCTGATCATTCAAAGCACCATCAAATGATGCATATGGCTATTTTGCATTTGTAAACACTAATATGTATTGATGTGTCCACAACTCACTCATGTAACTTGTTTGTATCTCTTTCTTTTTTTGACAGGAAAGAGGACATGCACTCAATTTTGACAAGGGTGAATCGAGAAGTGAGCTTGAAAAACATTCAGCGTTCCAAGCAGATGCCTGAGGTTCGCTACACTCTAACCAAAATACTGGTCCTTCCCATGAAGCAAACCTCCTTTTAATAGCTAAAAAATTTTTTTTTAATAATTTATGATAGGTTGAACAAAGCCCTACTGTTCCTTATTATGCTGGGTTCATAGAAGATCAAGTCATAATGGTTGATAACCATTAGTTAATAATTTACCTCATTTACAATTCCACTGCTGTATTTAAATAACTAGGCCTAGCTGACAAATCAGAGGCATAGAACAGCTCTGAGACGAGAGGTTAAATCAATTGGAGATCAGGAGATATGATTTTTCTGTATTTATACGGACTTCTGTATTTTTCAACCTGGGACCCACGTGAACTGCGACCCACACAAACTGCTGTTTTAGCTATTATAGTGTATTTACAGTATAATTACCATGTCAATTCTTGTCCCTGCCTGTGGAAATGTGCTTTGTGATGCCTACATTTGACATACGGTATACTTTTCTGTTGGTCTTACCCAATGGCATGTTTCTGTGTTGATGTATTTTATTTTAACTTGATAATGTCATGTGCATTTCATTGAGTTTTTAACCAGGCTTTTGTATTTAACATTTTTAAAGACTTTTTACATGCAGTTTGCATGCACGGTTTGGGTAATAAAATGCACATATCTGGAAAAACCCTGTGCTTTAAACACGAGTTTGTCATTAAAAAGTGAAAAACAAATTGGTTTCAAATGATTCATGATTCTCTTCACTTTTACTATGTGGCAAATATATGTAAATAAAATGTAATTCCTGTGGGTGGTAGACATTAGCTAATAACTGTTTCTGTGAAAAATTTGGGCGGTCAGAAAACCACTGTGTATATACATATAATCTTATATGTTTCTGACAGAACTGCTCAGAAAAACCCATATTTATGACCACTGATTTGAATATTGGGTGGGGGGACGTGCCCCCTCAACGTCAATTCTGTCATTCTGGTGTGTGTTCAAGTGACTGGGTGTCTTTGTATATGGGTGTGTTATTGTACCCGAGATGCAAGTCTTATGTTACTGAAATAAGTGCAACAAATGAAATAAGAATGGACTGTTAGCAAATTAATCATGTGGAAGAGCTTTAAAAATAGGTAATTTAACATAATAAATGTATTATTCAGGTTCCGTCTTATTCAGGGTCCCCACATCTTATAACAAAAGAATTTCAATGACTTTTCCAGTTGTTAATGATTACCAAATAAAGACCGTACATGAGTTTTGATACATTTTTGTTATACTATAAACAAAAGTCAATTCAAAACTAATTTGAAGTCACTAGCCAAGTTTAAATTTATTTTTTATAGCACTTTATAAAATACTGATTGTTTCATAGCAACTTACAGGGATTTAATTATGGATATCTCGATCTGATTTTTGACTTGGACGATCTGTTTTGGAGATATCTGCATTTAACTTTGTTACTGGGAAAAATGTCAATGAAGATACTACATTAAACTACAACTACTGTGTGTATTAGCAATTAATCATTGGATACAATGCACTTATTGTGTACATTCATTTTACATTGTACTTATACTTAAAAAATATCGGAATGTAATTAAAGATATAATTAATTTCTGTAATTATATTTATTATTACACTGTTGACTCTTCCTAACAATTGTACCTAATGATTTTTTTGATGTAGGTATAGTTATTAAAAGACACCTACCGTAATATAAAACCCCTACATTTGACACATACCACTCCTGTCATCCTACCTGATCCAATGTTTCTGACTTAATGTGTATTGCAGGTATACATTAAATTGCCTTCCAATTTTGCATGCAGTAATACACCATTTTAAAATATTTATTATAAAATAATTAAATGAGTGTATTTATACAGTATAGGGTACAGAAATTAGTGTATATAGAAAAGTAGAAACATTTTGTATAAAAGAAATGTGTAAAAAAAAAACATATCTGCAAAAATACAACAATTAACCACTGTTTATATATATATATATAAAAAAAAAAATATTACACCTGGAAAAACAAATTGATCTCAAATGGCTGTTGATTCCCTTTAAGTAAACAGTTTTGGCCCTGATTTTTTATAAGTCCTTTAAGAACATGGAAGAGTAAAGTAAACATGCTGTATATTTTTGGGGGGGATTCTCATAAATTATCCCATATTAATATATAAAAAAGACATATTCAGCCATCTTGGCATGACATATGTAGGAGCTTTCAGTGGTTCAGTGGTTCACTGGCTGCAGGATCAGTTTCTTCCTCATGGCGACTTCATGGACAGGCATTTGTTTGCATTTGATCCCCTGACTGCTAACGTCATTATTCACACAAAGCAGGATCGTCTGGATGTCTGTACCCCTGGGGACAAAAAAAAATCAATAAATATGTATATATATTTTGATAGTATATATAGTTCTGATTTTGTGAATGTTATCGATTTCAGTACACATTATTTTCCTTTATCATTTTCTCTACTTTGTATACTCAAATGTTCATAATGAACATAAAACTGCTGCATGAAATCTTTGTTAAACTTACAGTGGACAATGATTCTCTAGGTTTCGGCAGAGTGACTGAATAAACCAGGAGCCCTCTTCTGATTTTCTATAAGAATAGTGACCGTCAGTGGTTGACCTGGCAATGAGGAAATCCGTGTCAGCTGGGATTGTGATATCAAAATCATCACCATCCACATCCATCTCTGACTCTCCATCTTCTGGAGCATCCGCTTGGACTTTCACACCATGTTGATTTTGTCCCCCACGACATGCCTGTATAAAAAACAGTTTGGGCTTGCCGGCTAGGCTTCGGCAGTAAATGCCATTGAAAGGCTCCCGTATTTCATCAACAGAAACAACACCACCATCGGTTCCACAGACTCCTTCTTTTTTGCCATGGGAGAGGACACAGCATACAAAGCAGTCTCCATCTACTGTTTTACCCAGGTCTGTGAGGAGATTCTTCATTTCATCTGCAGTTTTATTTCTGTGCACCACCACCTTAAACCCCAGCCAGCGGAAAACTTTGTCAAGATACTCTGGAGAGAGAAAATAAGCAACTCAATACATTCATCGATATAAAACATTATAAATAAATAATATTTATAAAAATGGTCAAATAAATATTATAATTTAATGAAAATAAAAAAAAATATTTATAAATGTATAAGTCTATAAATATTTAGAATTATTAAAACAAATTAAATAATTATTTTCCGAATTATTTTCTTATAGTTTCCTTTACACAATAAGTGTAGATAATCCTGCTCATACCATGGTCTTTTCCTGGCATTGACAATTTAAAGCTGTTATTGATATTTGCGGCATCAAAAACGTTTTACTGCACACCTTTCAGCCAATCAGAATCAAGTATTTAGACAGACCACCATGGTATAACTTAAAATAGTGGTTACACTTTATACATTTAAGTACTGAGTAATATTAATTAACAACAGATACTTGTAGGTTTACGATAAAGGTTTGGTATATGGTTAGTTGCATGTAATCATGCATAATGTATAGTTAGTACGATAGTAACGACATGTAACGTGTAACAAGGACACTGTAAAATAAATTGTTACCAAAATATCTAATGCTAAATACCTAAATAGAATGCAAAAATGTTTAAAAGACAAACTTTGGTCCTCATCTGATCCGCTTCTTCCATTCATGGTTGTAAAATTTACATTATTGATGATTACGCAGATACCACGTGGAATTTGTGATATTTTGTATTGAGAGACCTGAAATAAAAGCACATATATACACATCAGTGGTACAGAACATATTGAGTGCAGCATTTACATTAATTTGAATATAGCATCACCTGTATTGACGTCACCTGTACTGGAGCATCAAAAATGGCATGATCCTTTAATGTTGGACAATTTTCCAAAATACTATCCTGTCTTAAAAGGTCTATGAACTTGCGACAAGTTTCCTCCCCCTTTCCCATGAGTTTGTCAAGTAGGTTGATGACTCTCTTCTGTCTTTCATGAATATCAGTGAGGTTCATGTATTCACGTCGAGTAATAAGATTTTCCTGTTGCACATTCTGCAAGATGAATTCGGCCTCTGCAGATAAAGTCTCTATGAGGAAGACTTTATGTTTGACAATTCTCTGAAGAGATTTTTTGTCCATTTTACAAAATCAACACTGATGAACTGGAGAGAAGAACATAGATGTTAGTTTATGATCTTGAATAAGCCTACAGTAAATTGTTCATATTCACTTCAAAGCAAAGAAACATGCTATACAAAAATACAAAATTAAGAGTCAATAACCTAATAATGGCCAATAGCTCAGACATGGACAAAGTGAAATAAAACCTCTGTTCATACATTATTAACAATAAGTAACACAAACCAGGCAAGTGGCAGCTTGTGCATGCAAGTTTAAAAAGGACTTGTTGTTCACAAGGAAACAATTTCATGTTACAGCGTAGCTACAGGTGAGCAAAAAGTTCACTATTATATGTTTTAAATAGATTAATCTATAGTTCGATATAAATATGCTAAATATAATACTTATTTGACAATTGCTATAATAACGTGTTTATAACTTTAATATTAAATCGTTCGGTTGAAGATTATATGACGAGCCGAATAAAATAAATGTGCTTCCTATTTGCTTTGCTTTCATTTTCCCTTTATTACAACAGGGTAGGCTAATACTGTAGCTTCAGGTATTTATTTGCACTACTTAGCTACATCACATAAATACAAAACGTACAAATCCAAACATCGATCTATCTAATTTGCAATATGATATATTAGCATAGACGTTTGAAGGTATTTGTTATAAAACACCGACCTTCCTGTCAGATGAGAGTTTCCCTCGCAGAACTCGAAGGCGCGAAAGGATGAATGAGGGTGAGGTTGCCAGATATTCTGGGTTGCCTAGTCTTCTGTTGGGTCGACCTATGTGAATAATCAATAAAAATGTACTACCCTTTAACTAACCTTTGACTAAATATTGATAGCCAGCCACAGGAAGTCAAGCTACATTTTGTATGAGAAGTTGTATTTTGTATTCAGTTTTTGTGGGGCACAGGTTACTTTTTTGTGCTGAAACTAGTTAGCCTGCTAGCCTACTTTCCATGCTAGGTAATCTATTAATTTCTAAAAAAATTCTCTCAAAGAAAATAAAAAGGAATATGGTATAGATGGTCATTGACATTTTAATTTGTTTGTCTCCATAACCAGGGTTTTATTGAAGAGTGAACTGTTATGGATGTGGATAGCATTGGTAAGTTTGGTCCCTGTTTACGTTAATTCAGGATGAAAATGGCAGAAAATGTCTGTGTATTAAGAATAATAAATAACGCTGAATAGGACCTGTACATAATAATGTATTTATTTATTAATTATTATAGGCTATATATATATATTGTGCGTGTTTACAATCGAATCTCATTCTCTGGGTATCCAGGCCGATGCAATAATATATTGAACATTGCCTACATTTATTGATAAAAATACCATCAATTTGTAAAAAAAAAAAAAAAAAAAAAAAAAAAATGAATAATGTATTTCTCCCACAAAAGGTCTGAATGAGGTTCGTCCGGCAGTATATCGAGCTGCTCTAAAGCTTCGCTCATTACAAAAACTATGTCAGAGTAAGTTTTTCAATTTTCTTTGTGAATGCAGTAGAATGCTTTTATATAACAATATATAATCTCACACACTTAATATATCTTTTTCAAACACCAGTGCACCTCGTGTCACTGCAGGATTTGCGCCCAGTTTTACGTACTTTATGTTCTGGGGAATCAATGATAAGTCTTGCTCAAGAAGATGTACAGCAGCTTCTAGAAGAGCTATTCCAGAGCCTTTCACATGAACTTCCTGGTCAGGCAGTACCTGAAGCCACAGATCAAACCACCAGACTTCTCTTTAAACTGTTTGACAGGTGAGGGGTGACTACTGATTCAACATTATATAGTCTATTTTTGTATTTATGCATGTGTGATTTAACCTTGTTTTCTTTTAGAGAGCAAACCGGGGTTATTCTGCTCAGGTCTGTGGAGGCCGCGCTGATCGCCCTCTGTGGAGACACTCTCTCAGCTAAACAGAAGGGTCTGTTCTACATTCACTTGATTTTTATCACTTATTATGATTCTGTCTAGCTTTCAGAATGTATTCATGTTTAGGATCTTAGTTAAGTGTTCAGGGTCTGTGCTTGTGTCTCTGCAGCTCTGTTCCGACTTGCTGAGAGCTACAGTGGGAATCAGGAGAGCAACAGGGGCTCCATCAGTCGAAGTGCACTCAGAGTCCTGCTGGAAGACCTCAGCCAGGTGAGAAAAGCAATAGTTTGATCCAATTAATAAGAGCCACTTCTAACAAATACAACAAATTTCTAAATTAAAACGTCTGGTTAAGGTTCCAGCAGTGGTTCAAGAAAACCATGTGTTTGGCCATGCTGAAACTGCAGTGTCCTCCTGCTTCAAAGGGGTATTGTACATTCTCCTAACATATAACACACACACACACACACACACACACACATATATATATATATATATGTATATATATAACATTTCATGTTCCTTGTCAGCCTGGTGTGCTAAAAAAAAGGTAAATATTAATGGGAATATACTTTAGAGATATTTTACTCATAAAAAATTCCAGGGCTGCCAATATTTGTGGTATTGTGTTTTGGAGAAAACATTTATTTCATAATGTGATTTCCCCCGCACTTTCAATTATTTTACTTCAATGAAAGGTTCGATTTTTGCTATTTTTTTTTAATGAAAGATCAAAAGGATAAACAATGCAGATTTATTTTTTACAGCCATTTTTTAATCATATTTACCAGGGGTGCCATTAATTCTGACCACAATATATATATATATATATATATATATATATATATGTGTGTGTGTGTGTGTGTGTGTATCAAACCAAAAATTATTAAGACACCAGATATAATTTTTGATATTTTTTTGACACTTTGACCTGAACATGTTTTGCTTGTTTTTTGTTTGTTTTGTTTTTTACTTTAATTTCTAATGCAACCTTTTTACATCACAGACTGAACAAAATTTTGCATTGATTGGTAATTGGTTGACCTAAATTGGTATTGTGTACTTAAATTTAACAGCTGACAGCTATTCAACCTAATTCATTTGTGAGACAGTCTAACAAAAGGATGGCCAAAACCAGTGAAATATCCACTGATTTGATAACTCTGAGTTCTTCTTGTCATATTGTATTACCATTTCCTAAACTATAGTGAATAAACTGTGATGATGTGAGAAATGTTGAAGGTGTCTGAATAAATTTTGGTTTGACTGTATACACAGAATATATGTAAATATATAATGCCTTTATTTTAGAAAGGTGGTCCCTCACAAGAGGACCATCCTATTTGCTAAGCTGTGGCAACAAAAACCTGTTGAGCAGATTTCTTTCATTCAAAGCAACTTACAATAGGCTATACATGTTCCCTTGTATGTACAAGTATTTTAAGGTAGCCCTTAGTTGCCAGCCCAGATTTGTAACCACTAAGCTATACCAGCTACATTGTATGTCACTCACACTCATGTAAACAGCCTCCAGTTTTAGATTTTCAGAAAATCAGATTTTTTTCTCTTTCTCTCAGGTAATCAGAGCAGAAGTGACTGAAGAGCATTTTATTGGCTGGCTACAGTCAGAACCCCGTCTGCTGTTATGGCTGTCCACTCTCTACAGGATTTCAGTGAGTGAGGCCGTACAACACAGAGTCCACTGCCATGTCTGTAAAGCCTTTCCTATCACTGGCCTCAGGTGGGTTTTATAATATTAGTGCTATACATCCTTGCAAGGTTTGAAACTGGTTTACTGGCCCACAGCTCTGGTTGCAATGTTTATGTTTCAGGGTTATTATCCTTTACTAAAACAAAAAATTAAACAAAATAAATGAAACCTAAATAGTAATACTAAAAAAAAAAGACAAAATGACAAAAAATGCAACTCAAATTAAAACTGAAAATATAAAAATAAAATTAAAACAAATTCCAGATAAAATACCACACCTGGTGACCTGGTATGACCGTCTCATAGGTATCGCTGTCTGAAATGCCTGAATGTACACCTCTGCCAAAGCTGCTTTCTGACTGAGAGACGCACCCGGAAACACAAGCCATCCCATCCTGTACTGGAATATTGCACTCAGGTGTACTACCAAGCATAATGTTTTACATACTGTGCATGTATTAACTAGGGATGTCCGTTTAATGCCTTAATTTACTGTGAGTAATTCAAATAATTGATTTTAGTTTTTATTGTTTTATTTTTCATTTATTTAGACAAAATATTTTAGAATTTTTAGGCATTTATCAATTATATCAGAATCGACCAAAATATAGTTTAAATAACACATACTCTTTTAATTATGCCTTATATAATGTGTTATGGTTTGTTCAGCCATCATGGAAGGAGTCAATAGCATCACTGGCCTCCAGCGCTCGACATGCTTTGGTGCCTCGACACACCCGGAGAGAAGCAGAGATGAAGAGAGCCCTGAGAACAGGGTCCAGGTATAGATGTTCTGTGTTTTTTGTGTTGGAAAGAAATCAAACCTTTAAACTGTGAATGATACATGTTTAACAGAATATGTAAATGGTTGTTGTCTGCGATGTGTGTTTTCTCTGGATTGAATAAACAGATGGACGGCAACTGGTTCATCTCTTAGTTCACTCTCTGATAAAGAGATAAAACAGTTTTATACAGTCGTATAACCTTCGCCCTCAACATTTCTCTCCCATGCAAACACAATGCAGAAAGGAGAAGAGGGGAACAGGAGTAAATCAATAAAATAAAAACTTAACAACATGAATGACAAAAATACACTCCTGATAAAGAGTCAAGAGATAACATTTTATCTTTAAGATAAAAGTCTTATACTATGTTTGGCTTCACCCTCAACATTTCTATGAAATGAATGTCAAGTGCACTGCAATTACGTGCTTCGAATTCACAGATTACAGCAAATTAATCAAACTTAAAGCGGAAACATGAAAATATACAAACATACATGGAAAATAATCTCTTAAATATGATTTAGAAGAGGAATGTAAGTATAAAAGTGATTTTTAAGGAAAAAATGTAATTAGATTAATCAGAGCTTATTAGAAACCTACCTCTCGCATGCATGCAAACTCAATGCTGAAAGATAAGGAGGTCCAAAGACGGAAATTAAGAAATTTAAAGGGGAAGATGCACACATATACAGACAGTCACTACAGGTACATTTGTACTTTTTTGTGTAATTCTGTATATTAAACGTATAGAATACTTTCTATACCTGTAACACGCGTGTGTGTGTGTGTGTCTGCAGTGCCCCCTCTCCAGTGCTGCAGTTTGTGGAAGACCCAGACATGCATAATGCTCCTGAAACAAGTCTGACTGCCAGTGCCACCCCTGCTGCGGTTACAGCAGAGTCTAAAGCCCTGCAGACGGAAGAGATAGAGATTCCTCAGGTAACTTACCTGCAACGAGTGACCTCCCATTCCAATAAAGCATTGCAAAAATACACATAATATATAAATAAAATATTTAGGCTTTTATAAAATCTTTTTTTCTTGTGATTTCAACAAAAGTTGTATTCAGTGGCCAAAAGGGATTTCCGGCCTAGGAAAATTGACCACCATTTATTTAAATATGTTAAAAATTATTATTACATTTAATTAATTATTATTGAAATTAAATAAAAAACAAAATATTAAGGATTTTGTAAGCATATTGCATAGTTGTGCTTGGAGTCCTTTTTTTTTATTTGTGATAATGCAATGAAACATACCAAATTGTGTGGACGCAGTTCAGACCCTTCGTTTGACTGATTTCCATTACACGAGAGTAGATGTTAAAACTTCATGCTGATTTGTACTCGGCTTTCACCAAGATAAGCAACACTAAGACGTAGCTTTACAGTAAACTATGCTTCTCCATCCATTTACGCTTCTTTCCATATGGTGGTGTGACTCCCCTTCTGTCCGGCGTTAACAGCTGTAGTCAGAGGCGGACAGAGTACAGAGCTTTGTTACTTGAGTAAAAGTACAGATACCCCTTGCTAAATTTTACTCAAGTACAAGTAAAAGTACTACAGTCAGATGTCTACTTAAGTAAAAGTACTAAAGTACTTGTTTTTAAAAGTACTTGAGTATCAAGAGTACGAGAGTAGATTTTCTAAATATTGCATTAGTAATCTACTGCCACAGTGCTTACATTTATGCACAGAAACGTCCTACATGGAGTTATGAAAAATGTTAATGTTAATACCTTGGAGAATGTAAAAGGAATTGAAAGTAAAATCAAGTCATTTTCATCTTTTTACCATGTTGCTTTATTTAATTTAATTTAATTTTTGGGGGGTCCCATCTTTAAATGCGGGGACAACACACACACACCACATGTAAGGGTGGCGCTGCCAATAAAACACCTAAAAACTGTCACAAAGAACCGGCAAAAGGAATGATTATGAATATGTAAAATATAGCAAGGAGATATTTTAATTGTTTATTAATAAACACTTGTTAATAAACAAGTGTTTTCTTTGACGAAAGAAAGTTGACGATGCTGACTCGCGATCTTCAATAGTGAACGCGCCAGAGAGAAATTTACATTTCATACAGATTACATAAGCAGAGAACAGTCTGTAGTCTGTTTCTTTCGTTTTGAATTTTTCTGTTTAAAAGTAGACATATCTGTGAGAGGCAAGTAGGCTACCTTATACACTGAGTTTCGGTTCATTTATGAGACGAGATCCAGTTCACGTGCCGGCGCCTCCATTTCTTATCTATCGTCTGCTATTTACTTCTTATTTTTTAAACCCAGGCAATTGGTTGATGAAACATTGATTAAAATTAAGATACAATTAATGCAAAACGAAATTCAGGTTAAAGAAAGGTTTTGTATTTTCTGTTTGATGTCTCTGTGAAAGTTTTAAAGCATTTTTTATGCCGCTTTCAGAGCGATCACGTCCGTAACGGAGAACACGTCCATAACATTGTTTTTTCCTCATAAATGCAAACCTGAAAAATAAAATAAAACAAAATTAATATTTTATGTACTGTGGAGACTGAGCGCCAACCCTTCTTCATTCGCTGGGTAGTAGCCTACTTTGGTTTGCGCAGTGTAATTCACATAATCAGTAAAAATATATTTTGCCTCCTAAAGTTTTTTTTTTTAAGAAATCAGAAATCCCTCGTGGCTACGCCACTGCCACATTTGAACCTGACTGTGTTAAACACACCACATACTCAAGAACATCAAACCAAATGCTTGGCTTACATTAATGTGTAATATAAAATCTGACCATGGAGTTGACTTTGGCGGAAAGCTGAAAGTGATTGCTGATAGGCTGTCCCAATCAGTGGCACCTGCACAATCCAATCACGTTTGAGAGGGAAACAACAAATTGAAGGTTTCCGAGATTTTCCTTTTTTTTTTACTCTGGTACTCACGGTTATGGATAGAAATGTATTGGAGTAAAGAGTACAATATTTGCCTCTCAAATGTACTTGAGTAAAGTCATGAGTACTCCCCAAAAATGATACTCGAGTAAAGTACAGATCCCTCAAAATTGTACTTAAATACTGTACTCAAGTAAATGTACTCCGTTACTGTCCGGCTCTGGCTGTAGTGTACTTGGCGCGTCAGCACACGCGACGGCTGCAACTACAGGACCAGCACGACAACCGTCTGGATTGAGCCGAGTAGGGGACATCTCTAGGGTCTTTAAGTGGGCACCTTCCGTCCTCAGTGTTTCGTCGACTAGCCCACGACACCTCAAGAGGGCTCGACGGTGACTCTGGCATCCCAGAGTCACCCCCCTCCGTCCCCCACTCAACTCAGCCCAGCTTACTGACCTCTACATCCCTCCTGCTGCTGAGACCTATCCACAATCTCACAATCTCGCCGCAACCCGACCATACGCGCCAACCCGTTTGACTAAGGCTGTCGAGCCCCATTGGTGCGTTAATGCAGTTTCAGTGGACAACGGTTCCGTATGGCATACCACCTACCGCAAAACACAATATCTGCCCAACCACCCGTCATTCACGCAATATCCACAGGAACGTAATGACTGTAAATACTATACAACCTATACAAATAAACCAACAGACTCTTCAAGTTTTTCAAGAATTTTACGAAACCGTAGCGTGGCGGCCTGCACACAGCCAGCTAGAATCTTTCCGTCTCAACCACAGCCAGTTGCTGCTCCTTTCTGCTGCTTCAGATAAGTTCTTTACTGTGCGACGCAACTCTTGGCCGCTGAATCCGACGTCTCTGAGGAACCGGGTTGTAAAGTGTGCCACAAAACCTCGACAACCCACTTCCACTGGATAAACCTGGACTCTCCATCCTCGCTGTTCTGCTTCAGTGGCCAGATGAGCATACCGCAGTTTCTTCCTCTCATATGCCTCATCTACCGCATCCTCCCATGGCACTGTTAACTCTATCAGTTGAACAATGCGTGCAGATCCAGACCACAAAACAATATCTGGTCGTAGGTTAGTGGTGGCAATCTCAGGTGGAAAAATAAGCCGTTGATCAAGATCAGCCAAGTAGGCCTACAAAGAAATTATGAACACATGCAAAAACAAGAGAGATCCAACGAAATATTAAAAACGGATTATGTTGTAGTTAGTGTATGCTTTTTCCTGTGAGTTTTTTCTTTTTCTTTTTTGCATAGCAAAAATAAAAAATGTACCTGCCTTTTTTGCCAAATAAATTGTCAGATAAATACCTTAATCAAGTTTAGTATTTTGTTCTACCCTCATATTTAAATTTTGTAAAAATATTTTCCTCATATTTTGAAGTTAATCGAACATAAAAAAAAAAAAAAAAACTCCATACCAATACTGTATTATCACTTTGAAATAGTCTTTGTTACCTGAGAAAAAGCAAGAAGAAACCACTCAAGTCGAGATCTTGAAAAAACAACAACATTAACAACATCATGAACAACATATTCACTGATCAATGTTTACATGTGAATTAAAGCCTAAATTCAATCCGTTCATTATATAAATTGATCGTGTCTCTGTAAAACGTTTCAATTCATATGGATTAGTTTTACGATTTCTTTATAAACTTTTTGAAGCGTCAAAGTGTCAGTTGCGTAGCTGTCTTTGGAGGGATAGAAAGTTCTCAGATTTCATCAAAAAGATCTTCATTTGTGTTCCGAAGATGAACGAAAGTCTTATGGGTTTGGAATGACATGAGGGTGAGTAATTAATGACAGAATTTCTGGGTAATCTATCCAGCTTTAATAGAATTCAGAAAGCCTTGTTATTAGAGACACTGGTGGCCATAAAGTGAACTGCAGCCAGCAACTTACTGCTTGTGAACACAATTTATAGTGAAGCGAGTGAACACCAATAGTAGTACACACCAATAGTAAACGACAACATTAAACGACAAAATCAAAATCCCGCTCTACATTTTTTTTTCTCGTTCTAGAAGCTGTTTCACTCATCCATCACAATAGGGAAGAAAATGCTCGTTGCACTTTGGAGATCGTCATAATGCTAAATGACTACCCTGTGAATAACTTTTTATGTTTATGATGTTATAGAGAGACACAACTGATCTCCAAAAAGACCTCAGTGTTACCCAGAAGGCCATGAGGGATCTGCAGAGAGATAAATGGTGGGCCTTTTTTCAAAGTAAATCTTTGAGTATAGAAAAGAAAAGACAGTCTTGTGTGCCGTGTGTGCATGTGTTTGAACGTGTGTATGTTCATGTTAAATAACTGCATTTTTGTGTTCAGGCTCCTGGAGAAAGAGTTTCAGGTGTGGAGAGTTGCAGCCCAGTCAGAGCATGATTCACTGGAGGACAAATGCACTGAGCTGAAGACCATGATGGAGACGCTCAACCAAAATAATCAGCATCTGGAGGACGAACTGGACAGAGTCAGACATGTGAGAAGCGGCATAAGGAGGGCATTTAGGCCTAAATATAAGATATATGTATTTGAATTGCATATAAAATTTCCATCCATTTGAATTGCACAGGTTTAACTAATAAACTTGAAAGTCATCATGAAATCAATATTAGCGATTATTATTTTGATGGAATATTGCAGTATTTATTATAAATGATGTATCCGTGCACATCATTTGTTTTAAATATCTCTTCTTTTCTGATGACGTTTTTCAGCATGAGGGTGGAACAACCTTTCACTCAAATAAGATTCTAATATCTAAAAAAAATATGATCAATAAGTTATGAAATGGTTTTGCATTGCTCAACTCATCAAAATAAGTTAAGCAACGTTCAACTTTTTTTTAATAAGTTATACAAAATTCAACACATTTTTTAAGTCAGTTTAATGTAATTTGACATCCAAGTTGATTGTACTTAAAAAGTTAAGGCAACTTTTTTTTTTTTACAGTGTAATAGCCAATGATAATGATCAAATCAATGCCGATGGACAAAATCATGTCCCACCCTAAATTTTTTTCTTGTTCAAGAAGCAGTTTCACTTGGATATACCTCACGATAGGGAAGGAAATATGAACGCATCTTCCATTTCTTGCCGACTTTAATGTGATGCATATTTGTTAGTCATAGATGAAACAGATAAGACAAAGGTGGGATTTCTAAAAACGGAATGTGTTTTAAATACACAATAACCTGTTTATATACAGTATTTATCATCAATAATTCCAATGTTAATCTCATACATTTTAACATTGAATATTGCTTTTTTAACAGCCTGCCATATTTTAACCATGTTCATACTTTTTAACTGAATACATTTAGTTGTTTTCACAATGATAAACAGATAAATGCTTATTCTAATATAATATTTTAAAAAAATGCATTTGACAATACGATTTTATGATTTAAATCAAATTAAATAGAGGCAAACGGTTAATAACAAACTATGCCATGATCTTTTGAGTGCAGAACCTTACCCGTTTCATTTATGTATGACTGACAAATATCACATTAAGTTTATTAGTTGTGCAATCCAAATGGACTTCAGTAGGGGGCAATATTTTTATTTAAAACATGAATGTAAAACAAGTTCTTTAAATGTGGTTTGTTGTCATTGTCACAGGTGTTGAGTCGTAGGGACAGAGATGAACCGAGAATTGACTTTCATTCCCATTCAGACCTTCAACCAGAACATGATGACATCATTAGTGAGAAAGACTGGACACAACCACCTCATGACAGCTCCAGTGGAGAAGAGGAGATTGAGAAGGGGAGAGAAGGAGGAATAGAAGTGGAGGAGGAGACTCTTTATGAGGTATCAGAAGACATCTCTACGAATCTGGATGACACAGATAGTGTTTTGAACCAGGACGTCCAGACAGCTTCGGGGCAGCAAGAGGACTTTGAGGAGGAGGGGCTACAGGAGGAACAGGAGGAGGAACTACCTGAAAGACAGGATCTTTCTTTATTCCATCAGTCCATGTCTGATTTAGCACTGGAAGAGCATTCAGGCTCAGACGACTCACAGATGGATGACGAGGAGGAACTTTGTGAGCTTGTACAGCAACTTAGAAATGAGCTTTCTCTATATACAACCACAGGTTTGTGCAGTCATTTTTATTATGCTTGCAACTTTGTTGTCCTATGATCCTAGAAATGATTCTAATATGCTGGTTTTGTGCTCAAAAAACATGAATTATTGTCAAAACTGTTGTGCTGCTTAATATGTTAGTGGAAACCATGGATACACTGCCATTTAAAATTTTTGAGGTAAGAAAAAAAATATTTCAAAAATATATAAATTAATACTTTTATTAAGCAAGGGCGCATTAAATTGATTCTAGTCACAGTAAAGACATTTATAATATTTTTATTTAAAATAAATCCTGTTCTTTTGAACTTTCTTTTCATCAAAGAATCCTGAAGAAAATGTATCAAAGTTTCCATACAAATATTTAGCAGCAAACCCTGTTTTCAACATTGATAATAAGAACCATTATTAATAATTGCACAAATAAGTAAAAGTATATGTTCAGTATCATTTATCCAGTCTTCAGTGTCACATGATCCTTCAGAAATCATCTAATATGCTGATCTGCTGCTCAAGAAACATTTTTAAATTATTATTATCAATGTTGAAAACAGTTTTTGCTGCTTACCATTTTTGACGAAACAATGAGACCATTCAAACATTTGCGGTAAGATTTAAAAAAAGAAAAGAAAAGAGAGAAATGAATACTTTCATTCATCAAGGATGCATTAATTGTGTTACAATTATAATGTAATTATAATTACATTACATTATTAACAATTACATTTATAATGTTACAAAAGATTTCTATTTTATAAATCTTTTAATTCATTGATTTAATAATGCAAATAAATGCTGTTCATTGAAGTTTCTATGAACTGATTGCAACATTGCTAATAATAATAATAAATGTTTCTTGAGCACCAAATCAGTATTAGAATGATTTTTCTGAAGGATCATGTGACACTGAAGGCTGTTGTTATGATGCTGAAAATTCATCACAGGAATAAATTATATTTTAATATATATATTCAAATAGAAAACAGTTTTTTTAATTTGTAAAAATATTTTACAATAGTACTATTTTCACTGTATTTTTGATTAAATAAATGGAGCCTTGGTGAGCAGAATAGATTAAGTAGTAAATATAAATGTGTTTGTGCTGTTTTTTGTTTTCTCTCCATCAGGGTCTGTCTTTCTACAGAAGGAAATGCTAATGACGGCAGCAGAGGGAGTCCGAGACACCGTTTCTCATTTAGTCACTTCCGTGAGGACCACCGGTTTGGCATGATGGCAGCCAATCATGGGTTGCAAATAAACTTTCCCTCATTTCCAACCAGTACAAGCCAATTTTGTAAGTCTCATCCCATCACAAGGCTCATGATACATTCAAATTTACCAGCTCAATTCACAATTTAATGCAATATAAATAGAGGTTGCAACTCTTTTTCAAAATTTACTTCACTATTTATATTGGTAATCTAAATGAGACATTGAGAGGCACCAGTATTGACATTCTGGATGATACTGATAAGGCTATTATATTCTTGTTCCTACATGAATATTTGATTTTGACTGGTCCATTGCAATTCAGTGGTCAAATTATTGGCATAACATCTGTTGTCAAGGGCAACAGTGTATAACGTCTAATACAGAAGCGTTCACTTTGCATTTGGGTCTGTCTGGGTTTCTTTAAGATAATGGCTGGCTGACCCTTAATTATAGCCCATGTCAATAAATTATCATTCATATCTAGTTAATGTGTGATTTATATATGCTGTTTTTTAATTGACTTTTAATACTAGACATTTTGGATCTTTTTTATTTATTTAAATAATGTCTTCATAATATGTTTAGTTTGTTGGACAACACATAAACATTATCCATTTTAATATTGTGCATTTAATACACAGTAAATTTTTTATATTCTTATGTTATGCAATACACAATCTCTGTGTGTTTTTTATTTATTTTAAAGGTCATGAACTGCATTGTTTTTGTTTTGGTTCCTGGGGTGTACTTATAATGTTACTATATGATTTTTACATCAAACACAGTCATAATTTAAAAATAAAGGGAATTTTCCAAGTCCTCTGATTTGGCTCTGTTTTAAGGGGCGTGTCTGCTGTGAGACTGCAGTGGTAACGCCCACTGTTGTGATTGGCTAACATCTTTGCATATGAAATAGCCAAGTATATGTGGAACCTCTTTTAGCTCATTTTTACTATTACAGCTCTCAAGGTTAACTAATCAAGAAAAGTGTCGATTATAGCATTATATTTAGATCTATGGCATTATATTTAGATTGTGGCATGAAAGGTTGCACTGATGACCATTGTAGCCGATCAGACATGTCGAGAGCATGAATACAGTGATCTCGTCATTGTAACTCGATTTCAGCACACACTAACAAAAGCATTTCAACATAACTAACAGTACAAACACAATGTAAATAAGAGATTCGTTGATTATAACTGGAGTTTTGTCAAGAGTCCAGTCACTGATAAATTCGTGCTGATTGATTGACAGCTCCAGGGATTGTAGAGGGTCAATTTCTATATTTAATCACAGTTTAATAACAGATTATTTTCATCCTACTAAGAGAAACAATGTGAAGTTGACCATTTAGTAACTGGTTTGATTTACTGACACATAGACAAAGAATATTACACTTAACATGAATCATTACATATATTAGAAATCACACATCACATATCAGGCATTAGAATTAAAGGGGTCATGAATTGAGAAATCAACTTTTCCTTGAGCTTTTGATATATAAAAGGTCATTGTAATAAAAGAATATCCTGTAAGTTTCGGAGCTGGAAACTATCTTGTTTCCAGGGGAAAAAAACCAAGAACTTTTATTGACAGCTGGCTCATCAAAAAAGGGATCTGTGATATGGCAGATCTGTGACGTCAGAGAGCAGCGGAACGCCGCCTCAACAGAAGAAGACCAACGCCTAATTATTTTGCCCCGCCCACCGATTCGGGCATGACGGGGTTTTTTTTTTTGCGCATGACATGTAATAGGTAAATAACATAGGCCTACGTGGCGCTAAACTGGATCGAGCTACCAAACAATAAAAATGCCGCCGAAGATCACAAAATATTGTGCAGTGCCTGGTTGTGGGAGAAGTTCCAGCTCGCTTGGGTAAGACATTGCACGTTTGTTCGCTTCATTTCATCGCAGATTCTTTTATAAACAAGACACAGAGTCAAGGCTGGATTTGCAGACAGAATGATATTAAAAATTGGATTCTATATTGGATCCGACAGGAGTGGTGCAACATACTTATGTTGAGTAAAATGTATTTTATTTGTGCTAGTATTGCATTGTTTCAGATCGTTTGATGTCTACTGTGATATCTACATGATTAACGATAACTTACCACGGTGTCACAGGCTGGAGTATCCTTAGTATTTGAGATGTTGTTGGTTCATTGTCCTGTGATTCGTGATCAGACTCTGGCTCGAATTTGTATGGGCAAATCATTGCGTTTGCCATTTTTCCACATTGGGGGTCGAAACTCATTATAAAATGCAAAACTGTTACCCAATCATAGCAGTGGGTGTTTACTTCCAAGTCTTCAATGCGCCAAACCAGGGTATTGAATAGCTTATTACTTATTCATTATGTTGTTTTTGAATGTAAAACCACACAAACATCATAAGTTGACCTCAGACAACAGTATAAAAAATGACCCCTTTAACATGGTTACTTATATACTTATATATATGTTGTCGCATTACTGTCGAGTCCATATCGTAAAAGTCTGTTTGCAAAGCCTGCGCCGAAATTGCGACTGATTTACCAAAGAATCCACAGTGAAATGTACCGAATACAAACAAATAATGCTCAACTAAGACATTCACATTGTTGAAAAGAAATAACCACATTCCTAGCATTAGGATCCTTTGGAAGGTAATGTTATTTTTAGTCCAGTGATCCCTACTCTTCTCTTCTCTTCATCTCACTAACAAGCCAGTGGGCGGGGCCAAAGTTGCAATGATGAAGTAGGCGTTGATTTTCTTCCATTACCTATCGATGACGTCATAAATAGGCACATTCCACAAGTCGTTCTCTGGGCTTGGTTACAATAAAAACGTCTCGGTTACGGATGTAACCCTCGTTCCCTGAGTAGGGAACGGAGACGTTACGTCGGATGACGGAGAATGGGGGGTTTCGCCAGAAAGCCAATCCTCTTCGAGTAGTAAAAAACGAGCCTATGGCAATGAAATGCCATGGGTCTGCGGAATTTGCATAATGTATCTCCGCCTCACCGCGTGAGTATTTAAGGAGAGACACCTGCAACAGCAGATCATGTCTTCGCTGAGGAGCCGAGACTGAACTCAGGCGTCGACCCAGCGGTACAGCGGAAGTGGCACGGAGAAGTAACGTCTCCGTTCCCTACTCAGGGAACGAGGGTTACATCCGTAACCGAGACGTTCCCTTTCGTAGTCACTCCGAGTTATGTCGGATGACGGAGAATGGGGGTCCCCGTGTAATCACGCCACCTTCACAGCTGTCTTCCAGTGCCCTGCGAAGTCTGACCTCCCTGTCGTGATATAGGCACGGACGAAGGAGTCCTACTTAACACAGGAATACCAAGGTACACTGGGAAGCATATCTCAGGGGAGATATGCCGCAGCATGCCTACCCGTAGGGAGGACTTAAGAATACACATATGGCCCGAGGGGGCTTCATATGGAGGAACACTGGAGTGACCAGCCCGTAGGGTGGCATCTACTTTCAACTCCAGGAGTGGCAAGGTGGCTTGCCGAGGGAAAGACACATGCTCAAGGAGGCTTACAGTGGAAAATACACATGTGGGGGTTACTCAGAGGAGGAACCATGCACACGGAGGCACCTAGCCGACGCACAGGCAATAGACACTGGCGCCAGCGTCAACAGTGCTGGAGGAACTCAGGGCTTCAGAGGGGAAGGCTCACCTGAGGAAATATCGCACGTATCCAGTCAGTGGAGTGGAATGGCGAGCAAGCGAGACACTTAACAGCTCCCATGTTAGCTTGAAAAAGACAGTACATGGGCGGAGACTGGCTCCACTCGGAGATTGTAGAATCTGGCGAATGTGTTAGGTGTCGCCCAGCCTGCAGCTCTGCAGATGTCTGTTAGCGAGGCGCCACGCGCTAAAGCCCAAGAGGACGCCACACTCCGGGTGGAGTGGGGGGTCACACCAAGGGGGCATGGTCGACCTTGCTGCTGGTATGCCAAAGTAATGGCGTCCACTATCCAGTGAGACAACCTTTGTTTGGAGAGAGCCTTTCCCTTCAGCTTCCCACCATAACAGACAAAGAGCTGGTCTGAGGTCCTGAAACACTGCGTCCTGTCTATGTAAGCACGGAGTGCGCGTACTGGACAGAGCAGTGCCAAGGCTGGGTCTGCCTCCTCCCGGGGCAGCGCTTGCAGGTTCACCACCTGGTCCCGGAAGGGAGTGGTGGGAACCTTGGGCACATATCCGGGCCGGGGTCTCAGGATCACGTGAGAGAGGCCGGGCCCGAACTCCAGGCACGCTTCGTCAACGGAGAATGCGTGCAGGTCCCCTACCCTCTTGATGGAGGCCAATGCAACCAGGAGCGCTGTCTTCATTGACAGGATCTTAAGCTCAGCTGATTGCAGAGGCTCAAAGGGAGCCCTCTGCAGGGCACTTAAGACCACTGAGAGGTCCCAAGAGGGAACGAGAGGAGGGCGAGGAGGATTCAGTCTCCTCGCTCCTCTCAGGAACCTGAGGATCAGGTCGTGTTTTCCAAGAGACTTACCTTCAACTGCTTCGTGATATGCGGCGATAGCGGCCACATACGCCTTCAGGGTGAAGGGAGACAGCCTTCGCTCCAACCCGTCTTGCAGGAAGGAAAGCACAACGCTGATCGAGCATCTCCTGGGGTCTTCTCGGCGAGAAGAGCACCAGTTAACGAAGAGGTTCCACTTCAACGCATAGACATGTCTCGTGGACGATGCTCTAGCGGAAGTGATGGTAGCCGCCACCGCTGGTGGTCTGGGTACTCAAACCTGCCTCGTCCCGTCCAGGAGCCACACGTGGAGTCTCCAAAGATCGGGACGAGGGTGCCATAGGGTGCCCCGTCTCTGAGAAAGGAGGTCCTTCCTCAGAGGAATTGGCCAAGGAGGTGCTGTCGCGAGGAGTACCAGTTCGGAGAACCAGGTCTTGGTGGGCCAGTATGGGGCGACCAATATGACCTGCTCCTCGTCCTCCTTGATCTTGCACAGAGTACGTGCGAGAAGGCTCACTGGGGGAAACGCATACTTGCGTAGGCCCTGCGGCCAGCTGTGCGCCAGTGCATCCGTGCCGAGCGTGCCCTCGGTCAGGGAGTAATACAGGGCGCAATGGGATGAGTCGTGGGAGGCAAACAGATCTATCTGTGCGTCCCCGAACTGGTCCCATATCAGCTGGACCGACTGGGGATGGAGTCTCCATTCGCCAGAGGTTGGCCGGAGCCGTGACAGCTCGTCGGCTGCAAGGTTCCGCACTCCTGGAATGTAAATAGCACGAAGGGACCTCAGGTGCTTCTGACTCCATAAGAGGAGGTGGCGTGCGAGTTGCGACATACGGCGAGAGCGTAGACCACCCTGACGGTTGATGTACGCTACAGTCGCGGTATTGTCCGAGCGGACAAGTACGTGTTGACCCAGGAGCAACGCATGGAAGCGGTGCAGGGCAAGGCGTACTGCCAGCAACTCGAGGCAATTGACATGCATGAGGCGCTGGGGTCCTGTCCAGGAGCCCGCGGCTGCATGTCCATTGCACATGGCGCCCCAGCCCGTGGCAGAGGCATCTGTGGAGACGACAACATGCCTGGAAACTCGTTCTAGGGGAACTCCGGCCCCATAGAAAGCTGAGGTTCCGCCACGGGGTGAAGGTCTGACGGCAGGTCGGAGTTATTGGAACTCTGAGCGTACCGCAATGCCATGCCCACCTCGGGACCCGATCGCGAAGCCACAGCTGAAGCGGTCTCATATGAAGCAATCCGAGTGCCGTTGCCGCGGCTGCGGATGCCATATGCCCCAGGAGCCTCTGAAAAAGTTTCAGTGGGACCGCACTCTTGCCCTCGAACTGTCGAAGACAAGTCAGCAGTGAGTGTGCGCGCTCGCTCGTAAGCTGCGCGGACATGGCGACCGAGTCTATCTCCATACCGAGAAAAGAGATCCTCTGCACGGGGCAAAGTTTGCTCTTCTCCCAGTTGACCCGAAGGCCCAGACGGGCTAGGTGCCGGAGCACAAGGTCTCTGTGTTCGCAAACCTGATCTCGAGAGTGAGCTAATATTAGCCAGTCGTCGAGATAATTCAGGATGAGAACCCCGTGTTCGCGTAGGGGAACAAGGGCTGCCTCGACGACCTTCGTAAAGACGCGAGGAGACAGAGCCAACCCGAATGGGAGAACCGCGTACTGGTATGCCTGCCCCTCGAAAGCAAACCGAAGAAACGGTCTGTGTCGAGGTAAAATGGAGACATGAAAGTAGGCGTCCTTCAGGTCTATCGCTGCAAACCAATCCTGTGGCCGCACGCATTCGAAAATGCGTTTGGCCGTGAGCATCTTGAACGGCAGCCTGTGAAGGGAGCGGTTCAGGACGCGCAAGTCCAGGATTGGCCGTAACCCACCGGTTTTCTTGGGGACAATGAAGTAGGGGCTGTAGAACCCTGACCTCATCTCGGCTGGAGGGACAGCCTCGATTGCACCCTTCGCCAGCAGGGTAGCAACCTCCGCTCTCATGATCGGGGCATTGCCACCGACCATAGTAAAGCGGACTCCCCTGAAGCGGGGAGGAGACCGTGCGAACTGAATCGCATAGCCGAGCCTGATAGTTCGGGCGACCCAACGGGACAGATTGGGGAGCTCTAACCAAGCCCCCAAAAACTGATCCAGCGGAATCATCCGAGCCACAGGCGTCCCCCCGGAGGGGCAGCGAGGCGGAGTGACCGGCACAGGCAAGGGTGGCATAGCGGCCCTGAGCGTGTGCACAGCCAAGCTCCGCGCCCTGACAGAGGAGACCAGGGAAGGACCAGCGTTCCACGGGGGTCTGCTCTGCCAGGGGTCTGGCGATAGAGGGGGATGAGAGTGGTGTGGTCCGGGGACGGCACGCACTGTCATCCTCGCCCTCAGAGACAGAGGAGGACGAGAGTGGCGAGGCACGGGGGCGTCGCGCACTGTCATCCGGCTCTGTGTGCTCAGTGATGGACATTTCGGTTCTTTCTTTAACCACATTAGGGTGCTGCCCACCCGTGGGTGAGCAGCGGGGAGTGGAGAACAAAAGATTCTCCCCCGGCCCTCCACCGGGGGAAGGAGGGGGCCTGCAACCGCCTCCTGGGAAAAAACCGACACCATCACTGAGGAGCCCGTCTCAGGAGCGCCGCTTGGCCTGGCGTTTAGCGGGGCGCGGGGCCTGAGGGGGCTGGGGCGCCTTCCTGCGGCTTCCTCCACGACGCGGCCCGGGTGAAGGCTGCTGCTGGGGCCGTGCGGGAGGGGCGGGAGCCACAGGAGGGCGCCCTCGGCGGCGAGCAGGCTGAGGCGTCTGTGCCGACGGCTGGGTGGAGGCAGCAGCTGGCCGTCGGGGCAGAATGTGTTTAATCGCCTCAGACTGCTTCTGTGCGGTTGAAAACTGCTGGGCGAAGTCTTCAACCGTTCCGCCGAAGAGGCCGGCCTGGGATATGGGGGCGTCGAGCAGACGAGTCCGCTCAACGTCCCGCATATCGGCCAGGTTCAGCCAAAGGTGACGCTCCTGGACCACATTAGTGGCCATCACCTGACCCAGGGAGCGTGAGGCCACTTTCGTCGCCCGGAGAGCGAGGTCAGTGGCGGCACGCAGTTCGTCAAACGTCCCTGGGTCAGTCCTGCCCTCGTGCATGTCTCTGAGCAGCTGGGCCTGGTAGACCTGCAAGGTGCTCATCGCATGCAGGGCAGCAGCCGCCTGTCCTGCAGCTCTGTGAGACCTCGCCACCATAGATGACGAGAATCTACAGGCCTTGGACGGGTGCTTAGGATTGCCACGAGAGGAGGCGCTCTGAGGACACAGTTGCATCGCAACAGAGCGCTCCACCGGGGGAATCCCAGTGTACCCATGGACAGCTGCGCCATCGAGGGGAGGAAAGGCGGAGAAAGCTGACGAGCGTTCACGGGAGGTCAAAGGAGCCTTCCATGATCTCGACAGCTCCTCATGCAGCTCCGGGAAGAAAGGAATTGGGGTTGGCTGAGGCCGTGAGGCGGCAGCCGCACCCAAAACCCAATCGTCCAGCCGCGAGCGCTCGGGGCAGGGCGGAGGGTTCCACTCTAGCCCGATGCTCACGGCTGCCCGGGACAGCATGGCTGTCATCTCGGGATCCGACACGGGCAACGCTGGGACTCCCAAAGGAGGCAACGCAGCCGCATCCTCACTTCCCGAAGACTCGAGCCCACCTTGTGATGCCGCGATCGACATCGTGTCATCCTCTGGAGCGCCGAATGAAACACGCGGGGCTTCCGAAGAAGGACCCGCCTGAGTCACCGCGGCACTCGCGGGTTGCAACACAGCGGAGGGGGGCGTGGTCCGAGGACGCATCGTCGGATTGCTCCACACCGTCACCCTCAGATCACCCTGTCCCCCAGCCGAAGTACCACCTCTCGTGGAGGAAGCAGAAAGTGTTGCGATGGTCATGTTCCCACAGAAGGAACATGAGTCATCCACGAGCGCTGCTTTAGCGTGTTCAAAGCCCAGACACACAAAGCAGCGCTCGTGCCCATCAGAAGATGACAGATAACGACCGCAACCAGAAGAACACGGGCGAGACATCTTTAAAAAGACGTGCCACGTGCAGCTCTTTTAGGAGAGGAAAAACTCTGCAATGCTGAGGCGACCAGGGAGAAAACACAAAGTCAGGCAGACCACTGCACAGATCGCAGGCAATGTGAAGACTCGCTGGGTACCGCCATCACAACAACACTGGAGAGTTCGCTCGTCTCGAAGAGGTGAGTCACTTGTAAACTCAGTTGTGGCTGTGGAGTGAAGAGATTCTCTTGGCTCCGAAGCGAAAACATGATCTGCTGTTGCAGGTGTCACTCCTTAAATACTCACGCGGTGAGGCGGAGATACATTATGCAAATTCCGCAGACCCATGGCATTTCATTGCCATAGGCTCGTTTTTTAATACTCGAAGAGGATTGGCTTTCTGGCGAAACCCCCCATTCTCCGTCATCCGACGTAACTCGGAGTGACTACGAAAGGGAACAGTTTTTCTCCTAACAAGGAAGATTTCAGTTCTGAAACTTACAGGATATTCTTAGAGTATGATGACCTCTCGTATGTCAAAAGCTCAAGGTAAATTTGATTTCTAAATTCATGACCCCTTTAATCTGAATGCAAAGTTTACTAGTAAAAATGACTTTAAATGTACAGCATTCGGAACTGATAACATGTATTTGGTGTCAATTGTCATTCTTCATGATCAACATTTTTGGTTTGTACTTTGTACATAAGAAATTAAGATCACAATGAGGAAAGTTTTTGTCAAGTTTTTTATTGGTGTTATTTGTTGTTTTGGCAATTTTTCCATGGGAACATGAGATGGCTGTAAAATAGCTCAGGGTTTAGATGATGAGTTCAAAAACCTGATGGTGCAGATCAATGATGGTATAGAAAAACACTCTGCTCTTATTTCAGTGACATTTACCAAAATTAGAGCTCCCTCTACTGTAATAGCCCCATTCTATTAATCATAATAATTCATATCACAAGTGCCTCAATTATGCTGTCCCACACAGATGACAATGACATTTTAATTTTCAGAAGCTGAGATTTTCATAGAAACATTCATTTTAAGTAATCAGAAGCTTATTATAATGTCAAACATAGATGGCCGAGCATATAAAAGACTGCCTTATTAATAATCCGCTAGCTTGAGATAAATTTCATTGTTTGTCTCAGTTGAGAATTCTTTACCAAACCATAGGGTTTGTGCAATGTTTCCCCTTTGCATAGTAAGTAAATGTTAACTGTTTTTCCTTTGACATGCAGATACCTTGAAAAGCGCAGCAGGCTGTGTGGGCTCCGCCCCCAGTGCAATTACATCATGCAGCTCTCTGTTTGGCCAGTGATGGCATTCAGGTCAGGGCAGACCCTGCAGTGCCCAGCCAGTTTACATTTTTTAAGGGGAATTATGCATATATGACAGTGGTGATTTCATCATGCAGCTGTATACGCTGCGAGTCTAATGGATTGATTTTTTTACTTTTTCATTTGGGTTTCTTTGTTTCATTAATACTACAGAAAGTGCCTGCAATATAACATGCTGAAATAACAAAAAGAAAAACTGTAAAGTTATGCCTTGAAATGTTTGTCCGAAGAAGATATGGGTCCCTCTGATAGGACGTAGTCATTTAGCCCCTCGAAACACACATGGATGTGTTCCCCACCAACTGGAACTTCAAATCATTGTTCTTTTTTTAAATTAACAAATATGTTCGTCTTACACTGGTGACCCTCCTCTGCCATGCGAGGTCCACAGCTGAAGCTGGTCATGCCTGGGTCGGAACCGGAGATTGGGGCATGTAAATCGGAAGTCATGCCCCAATGAGTGGTACCATCCACCAACAGTTATCAGGGTTGCTAAAAGGCTCGAGACCAGAGGGCAAAGGAACGGGGGCAGCGCTGGAGAAGCAGTTCTACGTGACTTTGGATTAAAAATGTTTGATCATTAAGTCTCTTTCTTCTCTCGCTTTCTGTCCTTTTTTATTCAAGTAACGCCATTGCTGTCGGCAACGGCGTCAGCAGCAGGAGAAGGTACAGTCCAGCGGGTTCTGACAGAACCCAGGGGCACACTAGGCAAGGATGCAGTTCTCTTAGCCTTTAGATGGCACTGGCGTTAGGGTCATATCGTCTTTTCTTGACATTTCTTGGTGATGAGGACAAACAGGACAAAACAAACAAGAGGGGGATTAGTGCAGGCAATGCCAGAGACATCAACATACAATTTGCTGCCCATCTGACCGCCTTAACCCGCAGCAACCACGTGGTTGTAGTCTCAATTGGCTTCTTAATCAATTCAAATAATTAATCAAAAGCTGCCCGTAACATTTTGGTTTGACTCCTAACGCCGTTGGGTTACGGCGGGTAAAAGCGTCTGTCCTTCGCAGCGGCAAGGAGAGACACAGAGTGTCCCTCCGTTGACTGCGGGTGAGTATGTGTTAGAAAGACAACAAAGGATGCGGAAAAAGAACATTACCTTCTGGGAGAAAAACACGGACATAGACATAGAGAACAGCAAGAAAGAGTTGTACAACATCGAGGGTCAGAAAAGGACGTCACACCCACAACATGAACGACGACGATACCACCAGGAACAACAAGAAAGGCAACAAGAACTGCAACAACACCAACAACGACAGGGGTTTGACACAACCTCCCCGTAGCGTGGCTTGATGTGGGGCATCCCAGCAGTTTAACATGCACCTGTCCATAGAGAGGTTACGTGGGAGACGCCACTATCGCTGTGTAGGGGGGGTGACTGGGGTAGCATGCAGGTGCAGTGCAGCGCGTGTGTCTGTACCAGGTCTCTGTGAAGCAGGCAGTAAAGGCAGCGGTGCCGGGCGAGTCCGGGTGGGGGGTGAGGGCTCTTGCTCTGTTCTAGGTTTTCAGGGGGCCCAGGGCCTTCCGGGAGATAAGAGGGTGTGGCAGCCAGCCATGGCACAAAGGCTGCCTACGACACAACCTCCACCCCTCTCCGCTCAAACTCTCACCCTTTCAGACAACGGAGGGGGGATTGAGAGAGAGATCACGGCGAGGAGAGCGGGTCAGAAAGTCGTCATCCCTTCCCACCCCGTCCCGCCCCAACAACCCACCCCGTTTCTCAAAGCAAGGAAAACAACAAACATCCCTCCCTTCCCTTCACTTGAGGTGAGCCCAGCCTTTGTGCGATGCTCTGATAGCACTCCGCTTTAGCTCTGGCGTGGTGCCAGTCCGCATGCAAACTTTAAATGGGCTCAGTCAAGATGCTATGTGCAAACGAGCATGCTGCGGTGAGCTAAGTCCTCTTGGATAACCTCCAGATCTCAAAGCTAGCTTCCCAGAACTTCCTCCTAGTTGGGTCTAGGCTGGCCATTAGAAAGGTTTTACATGTCCGCAGACAAACAGTTGCTAATCTACATTCAGATACTGTTTTTGAACCAAATGCACCTGTAAAGTTACGCTAACAGCATGTTTGATGTTACACACATTTATTGGAATCTTTAAAGCTACACTATGTAACTTTTAAAACGTTACTTGACGAGGAACATTGTTATGGTAATTACACGAGTTGTGTTTCGGCTACGCTATTCTGCACGGTTGAATCTGATGGCTTGAGGCCAATTAATTAACCAATAAATACCAAAAGGAGACAGATATCCGAAAAAAATGTCTTTTGAGCAGCTTACAACAAAGTTGTATTTGGTTTTAGAGATTGGCACTGTTACCAAGATAAACTTTGTTAAATCAATGTACCGCGAATTTGATGCTGCGCAAACTAAACGTATTTCTGAAAAGCCAAGCTGGTGTTGATTTGTGTTTAAGTGTGGGCACCGTCACTTTCATTTTTTTGTTACGAGCACACCTTCCACTACATATGGTAGTAGCCTGACCTTCTATATGTTACTTATGGATATGATGATACGAATGACGTAACTATACAATTTCCCGCAAAATCCAGCCCTTCATTTTGAACAAAAAAGTGTTACATAGTGTAGCTTTAAGTAATCATACAAGGTTACTTTCTCCAACAATTCCCATCTTACTACACAAATTGGTCATGGCATTACTGATATTGTACACATTTGAAATGTTAGCATGTAATTACAAAAAAGGCTACACACCATTCTTCCTCATTATATTTTATATTATATATAATTCATAACTGTCATTAAACATCTTGCTCAGTATCCATTTTATAATTTTGCTCGCATGCATGTCAAGCGATAGGCCAGTCTGCACGAGGTTCTGCTACAGTCTACAGAGCGCTAAACCAATTAGATTCCATGTCTTGACGTAGACTAAATTTTTATTTATTTACATATGTAGCCAGTTCATTTTTGGATTGGTTGTCAAGAGCTAAACATCTAGCTAGCAAATGAGGTAAAGTCGTGTGTAAACAAGATATTAGCATACTTAAGAAAATGTTACTTTTAAACAACTTACAGGTTGTTAAAATGGCATTTATTGTTACAGAAAAGTCATGTACACTTAACGTCCCTTAGGATTAACATTTTATCATAGCATATAGCTCAGAATTGAAGACTTTAAATGATGACCTAGTTTTAGTATCTGTTGTCTATAGCAGAAGCCCAGGCCCTTGTGTGTGAATGTGAGTGTGTAGTGGTAAGTGTTGTGTGCATGTGTGTGTGTGAGTGTGTGTGTATGTTTAAGTGTTGGTGAGCCTGTTCCAGGCTGGCAGGCAATAGGAAGCATGCGGTGCAGCTCTTACTTAAATCCCCATCCCGTCCCCCCCAGCACTATGGCTGCCATCAGGATGGCCCCTGCGATGGAGCCTATGATAAGGTTGGTGGCGCTAGGACCTGTAGAAGGGCATGATGGGAGAGAAACATGACGTAAGCTACAGGGGGCACCTGCTTAGTATGCAGGGTACACACATCAAATGCTGGACTTCACTTATGTTATACACTCTTTCAGTCATGTGATTACTCAGGATGCGTGTGACATAGGAAAAGTTCGGGAAGCCGTAGGGTAGATTATGCTCAACTAACTTACCATTAATAGTGTGTGTGTGTGGGATGTTATTGGATGTGGGTTCTGGAGAATTTAGGGGCTGCGCCCCTAAATTTTGAGCTATGCTACCAACGCAGGACTGACGAAAAAAAATGCACAGACGGGCACACACCAATTCCCTCTAAATTTTTTTCTTGCTGAGCAAAACTTTTTTCTATTGGGCGGACATTTTTCGCCACCTGAGCAAAAATATTCTTTATACCTGACCTGTACAGCATACGTAGAGACACAATGGTTTCAACATTTCAGTTATAACTTTTAACTTGAATGTGCCATTTCTATTTTATTTGACCCTTGATGTAACTTATTGGTATTAAATCATATTTTCGAAAAACAAGCTTCTTAACAAATTAAGAAGTCACTAAATGAAGCACATTTTAGGTTACCTGATATATTTTTTTACAGTACTGTTAACTGTACAGTCTTTACCAAGAAATCCTATGAAAAATAATTTACAAAATCTTCTGCAGGACAGTTCAATTCTTTAGAATAATAGAATATAGTATGAAAGTAAGCTGTTACACTGAGATGGTTTGGGAAAACCATAAAGTGTTTTTGTACAGTCAATTAATTGTGTACAGGAAGCATTAAACGATCAAAGTTAAATGATTGTTTATTGCTCATGAATTTCCAATATTTTCTTTAGCAGGGGGTTTCAAACTTTTTAATGGCAATGAACCCTAAACAATACCCTTGTGTGAGATTCTTTATTTAGGCTTATAATATAATACAATATAGGCCTAATATAATATAATATAATATAAAAAAACTAATTGAAGTATTTGAAGTGATATAATATATCAGTTTAAATGCTTCAATTTGTTTACATATTATATTATTATAATATGAAAACAAACTGAAGCATTTACATAGATCTAATAGCTAAATATTTATAAGAAAAGTGAATGTAAACTCTTTTATAATCTAACCATCCCTGAACCCCCGCCCCCCCCCCCCCCCCCACACACACACAAAAACATCTATTTAAACTAATGATGTATTTTGAGTTTGCACGCGGGTGGGTGTGTAATTGTTACCGTTCTGTGTCCATCAACCGTTATTTCCACCACTTTAATCAAACCACTCTCCTTTAAAACATTATGATGTGATTTTATTTCACATGTCTTTGCGTTTGGTCTATTTGGTCCACACACACACGACTCACTGCCAATCACACCGTTCTCTTTCTATGAAACCTGTAAACTGCATTCACCAGTTTTCACTCTATAGCGGTTGACCAGAGCACTGAAATTATTTCTCACTTAAACTACAATCAAATGGATTTCCCCACACATTTCGCGTCAGTCCTCTGCGTGGCATTTTATCCTTTTCTGCGCGGCCGCCGCTTCAGAAGTGTGCGGCCGCGCACGCGCGCAGCTTAGAGGGAACATTGGCACACACACAGACGCACAAAGAAACACTAACCTACAAACACACTCATGGTGAACTTTCACCCACTCACGTACACATCGGACCTAGTTAGAATGGAATATTTAGCTCAGCTCAGAAAGTGGGCCAGTTCTGAAGGGATTTTGTGTCCGTTAAAAATCCTATCTTATGTCAACGTCAGTCCAAGTCATCTCATGTTTTTCCACCTTCCTCGGTTGTTCTTCGTTCTTGATCCTCGCTTTGAATCTTTTGTTCTATGTAAGTGCCCAACATGGACCAGAGAGGGAAGCGCCGCAACACTCCATTAACAGAGGGTGGTAGTCAAAAAATATCCATGATAATAGCAGCCAGGGGAGAGGAGAAAATAACCAATCAATCAGTCCAATTACACGACAAAAATTACAAGGCACCATCACATTCAACACAACGGACAAAGCCACTGGGAGAACGCACGTACACGCTCACACACAGGGGATCACAGGATCTCCCTCTTGCTGGGGGAGTGGCATTAAAGGGTTAAGAGGTGCTTACTCTATTCCCCACCCTGTGCCTCCAAAAATCACCCCCAGGGCCAGAATGGTCCCTGCCACTGCCCCTATCAGCCTGTTTGTGGCCACGCTCACTGTGCAGAGGAAATAGGGGTGATTCAGCAGAGAAAATGTCACTCAAGGCCCCATTAAAAAAAATTTGTACACGTACTTAGTACTACTAGTGTTTGCAAAAGTCTTGTGAGTGGGAAAAGTCACAATATCAAGATGGGCACCTACAAAAAGCAGTGATCTTTGGAAATGGCTTTGAACTGGATTTTGGAGATAAGTTGTGTATGCAATTGAGGACTAGTCTGTAAGTTTTGTGTATGTAAATGGGATGCGTTTTATGTTAAGGAGAAGTCACGAACCCTTGGGACCCGGGTCCTCGATGACAGGCGGCTCTTTCGGGGGGTCGTGCATGCTGCAGTCTGTCCCTGCCCAGGTAGAATCACAAGTGCAGGTTGCTTCATTATTGCACACCTGAAAGATGATAAACAGTAGGAAGGAAATGTCAATATGCTGTGGTGTAAGCCCGGAGTTAATATTGTGAAATACTATTACAATTTAAAATAACGGCTTTCTATGTATAGATTTTAAAATATACATTATTCTGGTAAAGATACATTTTCAGCATCATTCATCCCGTCTTCAGTGTCACATGATCCTTCAGAAATCATTCTAATATGCTGATTTGCTGCTCAAGAAACATTTCTTATTATTATCACTGTCGAATACAGTTGTTCTGCTTAATATTTTTTGTGTAAACCATACTTTCTTACATGATTCAACAGGATGAATAGAAAGTTCAAAAGAACATCATTTATTTCAAATAGATTTTTTTTGTAGCAATGTAAAAGTCTTTGCTGTCACTTTGATCAATGCATCCTTGCTGAATAAAAGTATTAACATAGTCACAAGGCTATGGATTATATATCGCCTAGAAACCACGTAAAATCACTCCCTTTATAATCACTAAAAAGCTGTTCCACTGATCAATTAAGCTGACTGCAAAATGAATCTCTTATTTAGCCTACATAATGTTTACACTTTGCTTGTTATAAGTTAATTTATTACAAGAGGATTTGCAAGTGTGCAGAACTGGACTGGACAAAAACGCCTGCGTTTTGAAGGGTGAGTGGATTCTAACTTAAACATGTCTGATTGGCCATTGCGTTCATGAACTCAACAGATATGTTTGTGATTGGCTACATTGCTCAACGCAACAAAACACATAGTAAATTGAAATTCTTGGGAGAGGCTGCTCACTGCAGACCTAATGGGTGGAGCTTGACGTCCGGCTCCCCCTCGCTGGAAGTAATGGGTGGGGCTAGACGATCAAACCACACCCTAATCCTACCCATAATCCTATCGTTAAACATAACTCCACCCATTAGGTCCACAGAGGGGGAGCTGGATGTCATTTGGCTCTGCAGTGAGCACCACTTGAATTTTTAACGCTCTCGTCTCCAAATCGGTTTCGACAATATGCTATTATTACGGAGAAAACTGATTCTAGACCAGTTGTTATGGGCAGCTTTCCCCTCTAAAATATTTAGAAGCAGCAACAGTACGTGGTTTTAGTGAGAAAATTCCTTTTATGCCTTCCCTAGCCTTATACACGTTCCTCCTATGAGTTTTAACTTCTTTTCTCTTTTTATGTCTTACTGACCCAAAACTGTTGAAAGGCAGTGTACCTTCCATTATATTTTTGTAAGGTCATTTGCAAGCGGATTGCCATATTTGAAAGGCCTTGGCATTGAAAAGTTCAAAAACCCCATGCTTAAGGGATTTCAGCAGTTTCCTCTCACCAAAATTCAGCCTTTCTAAGACATGTAAACAAACCTGATGTCAGCAAATCCCAAAACACTACAGGCAGAGAATGTGTCTGATTTGCTATTTTACTGACTGACAATAAGAGGCAACCCAAAAAAAAGTTAAGCACTTTTATGCATAATTGAAATAAAAATCAGCCCCCTTCTTACAGATTTTGGATACCCATGACAATGTCTTATTTTTAGTTGTTGTGGAATAGATTATAATTCCTCTGGATATAAATTGAATGCATGGGATTAATTAAATCCCTGTCGTTAACATTCTGGATTAAATTTGTAAGTGGATTTGAGTGGATTCCTGGCTTTAGTGGGTGGGAATTCAAACAGGATTATTTTCAAGGGTGACTGTTAGGGCTGTCACGGTACCAGAAATCTCAGTTGTCTGTACCAATTTCGGTACCAGAGCAAAAACTGTTGAATTAAGTACTTTAAAAAAGTTTGTCCCGTACCTTGGTTATCACTGTCAATCTTTGCAGTTTCCGATTCAATCACGCATTTAAACAGTTGTCAATCCAGAAACGTTGCAGTGTATTTAGGAGCATAAAAAAACTAAACTTGTCTTCAGATTGTGAATGGTTAATGAACAGAAAACAAGAGAAGAGCCCTCCCTTTATAATCACTTAGGCTGTCAATCTCTAAAGTGCAAGCTCACCGAATTCTGCACTCTCGTGAAGACTTTTATAGAACTTGTTATAGAAAAAAAATGTCTTAATTGTACAATGAATCTGTTTACACTTTGCTGGTTATAACAAAAAGATTTGCTAGTGTGCAGCTTGCGTTGAACAAAACCTTGAGCAGTTTTAGCCGTGTTAAGCAGATTCGGACTGACTAGCACCTCTGATAGGGGCATTGCGTTCACACGCTAAACAGATATGATTGTGATTGGCTACCAAACACGCTGTGAATAAAATACTTTGACGCTCAGAGAGCGCTCAGACAAACACGAACAAGAGTGTTTGAAAGCAGAGTCTATTAGCGGGTACCAAGTACTCAGTACTACCGATACTGCAGAAATACTGGTTCCTTCAACTTATACCGACTGGTACCAGTACGTTTGACAACCCTAGTGAGCGTGGTGTGAGATGAGTCCAAGCAGCAGTGAGTATCAGATGGTGATCACTCACGCCGTGAGAAGAGCAGACTCGGCCACCGGGGCCAGACGGACAGGCTGTGAGATTCAGGGAGGAGATGGGAAGACATTTCCGCTCAAGGCACATCATAGAGGGGCCGCACGGCATACCGTCTTCCACATACCCTAGATCAGTGTCATCATCCAACAGCACATGTCCCCCGCTACAGAACAAGGAGAAATAGAAAATGTCAAAAGACATTTTTTCAGGAGGTTCGCCCTGATTATTTAGTGTCGAAAAGATTTGCAGAGATCCAGGAACAGACCTACAGTCCACCAGTCGCCCCTGATGGTTAAAGGTGGTGGGAGTAACGTCACCTTTCAGTGTCCCGATCCTTGGGATTCTCCCAATATTAGAGCACAGCAGGTACCCACAGAACACATCGCTGTAAATCCACAGGATTTGGAAAGTATTAGAGATGGTAATGTGATCTTGTCTAGACAGTAACCCATGTTCTGCAAATTTCATGTGGGATTCACATACAGATTTTTTCAGTATTTATTGGCAAACATTTGCTGCTGTTCTAATTTCCTTACACCCACGTAGATCAAGTTGTTGCAGATATTATCAGTAAACATATCATATTAGTATCTATATCAATAAAACAAGGCGCTTAACTCAAATAAATACCCATGCCAATCACTGGTAATGGCAAAGATGGGGTTAATCTGTAATCAATTAAATTAATCACATTTTATTATTCTAAAAAAATAAATAAAACAGCAATTGTCATATCTCGTTGAGTTTGCACAAAAACAAGTCTTGGCGTTAACATTTGTACAAATGACATTGTTTCACTGGTATATGATATTTTATACTTGAGCATTGATAATAGTTAAATTCCATCATACAAAGTCTGCAAATTACATCATGATTGGATTCAATATATAAATTAATATTTAGCCCTACTTCTAACATCAGAACAGCATTAACAATACCTGGTGTACATACATACAACTTAAAGGGATAGTTCACCCAAAAATGAAAATTAACCCATGATTTACTCACCCTCAAGCCTTCCCATGTGTATATTTCAGACGAATATAATCAGTTATATTAAAAAAATGTCCTGGCTCTTCCAAGCTTTATAATGGCAGTGAATGGAGGATGAGATTTTGAAGGCCAAAAAAGTGCATCCATCCATGATAAAAGTAAATCCATACGGCTCCGGGGGGTTAATAAGGGCCTTCTGAAGCGAAGCCATGCGTTTGTGTAAAAAAATATCCATATTTAAAACTTTATCAACTAAAATAACTAGCTTAACTCCGATTGTATTCGTCTGAACGAAGAAAGTCATATACACCTAGGAAGGCTTGAGGGTGAGTAAATCATGGGGTAATTTTCACTTTTGGGTGAACTATCCCTTTAAGAAGACACAAAGTTCTCAATGCTTTCCATCATTTTCAGCAGGTTTAAAGAGTGTGAAAGGCATTTATTGCAAAGCAAATGCCTGAGAACTTTGCAGAACAAGAGTTACCATCTAGACTTACTTGACCTGGTTTTGTACCATGGTGCCACATATTCCCACTCTCCAAATAATTGGGGGAACTGACTCACTGTTTGCTGCAGGGCACCCATTTGTCTCCATCTCTCCCACAATTCCCTTTTTCTGTCCCCTCTGTATTTAACTTCTCATAGCAGTGCTTCTCTGACCCTCCAGTCTCTGAGAGAAGAGAAACAGACAGAAAGAGCAGCAGGACAAAAGAATGCAATTAGGAAAAAGAGGAACCACAAGAAAGCGTGTATTGAAAGGCAGAGCAGGGGGTTTGCAGCTTTTTTTAGTGTTTTCTTTGGCAAGAACAGTTGAGTAAGTACTCTGAAAGCATCAGTGTCACTTACTTGAACCCCAGATGTATTTACACTGACTGTCCCGGGTCTTACATTCACCACTGTAACAGCGGCCCTGGAATAGTAGCAAATAAAGTGTGGAGGGTTTGATCAAAAATAGCCTATATTTTGTTCTGCCATGTTTCTAAATTGCTTTATATAGATATTATCTGACCTGATTGAGCTGACACGAGTAGCCATCTTGCTTATGAAGATTAGGGGGGCACTGTAAGAATAACAAAGATCTTTAAAAGATATAAAAAAAAAAAAAAGATATAATTGAAGTATTTTTGCAATAAAAATTAATAAAAAAGATACCCAGTATTTTTACTATTTAGTTCAGCATTATTTAAGTTTTAGTATTTTCTGATGATACTAAATGTGATTTACTTGAACAAAATGTAGTTTGTGTGTCCAGTAACTAGAGCCTTGGTGTGAAGATTGTGAAACAAGTTATGTAATAGTACTTGACAAAATGAGCGACAACTGACAACTGTTCACTAAATGACTGCACTATCAAAGTTAATCTTTCAGCCCTGCACATTTTTTTTAGAAGTGTTAAAACTGCAGGCGGGCTGTCATTTAGTGAACAACATGCCTTCTGTTATGGCAGTTATGGCTAATAGAGAGGCTATAGTATGACATCAATATCACTAGCTATGTTTCCATCCAAAGTTGCAAATCTAACTTATGCGAAAAATGTTAATATTGCATAAACATTTGCAAATAAAGCAATGTTTCCATCCCATGTGTTCAAGAGAACAAAATAGTCACTTCCTGGGAAATCGGCGCAAAATATCTGCAATAAAAATGTAAGTTTCTGCAATTGGGGAAGCCACTCTGGCTCTTTTTTCCTATAAATTACATGCATCTCAGAGGCGTTTTTCCCCCCTTTAGTCTAAACCAGTTCAGAGGAATTCCCGCCCTACAGCTAATTTAATTGGTTAAGGTTACAGTGACGGGTTTAGGGATCAGTACAGTGATTGAAATGACCAATGAAATCTTTAGAGTTAGCTGCAGGGCGGGATTTCCGCTGGTTTTGGAAATAAAATCACACGTCTCAGAGCGTGCAGATGAAACGCAATAAATGATATCATGTTATCTATTTTGTATTCGGATACCTGGTTTTTGGGAACGCGATCATGTGAGACGCTTCTGGGAGGGAATTAAACCAAATCATTATGGTGACAGACTTTGACTCTTTCATTTCTGAATGATCAAACCAACATTTGAGATGCTGTGTGATGAAATTGGCCCACTGGTTTGTCCAGTTATCTAACCACATCCACTGCCGAGGCAAAGAAAAGAGGGTTTTTTTTGTTGCGCACTGAGGGATTTATTCGGTAAATATGTTTCCATCGTAGTTCATGCACAGGTTTTTTGGGGGGATAAAAAATGTATTAAATTAATAATAATAAAAAAATGAATTAAAAGGTTTATGCGCGTGCATTTTGGCCTTTCCATCCAGATTTTTTTATGCGATATCCCAAAATGCACTTAAAAATAGGTGGATGAAACATAGCTATTGTGTTTGCCATGTTGTTACTGATGCATCTTCAGAATAAATTGTGGCTCATTGTCAGAAAAACGGTGCCAGTTGTGTCCTATTGTGTAACCATGACTTACTATAAATATTATTTACAGGAAAAATCAGATACGGGATATTTCATAGAATTAACTCTCACTTTAATTTATTTATTTGTGTAATGCATTTTTAATTGTGTACATTTTATTTTTTAAATGTTTGTGTTCCATGGGAATGTCAGCAAATTTGCTTATCCATCACCATTACATTTTAATGGTATATACAGAAAATAGAAAAAAAAAAGAAATACTACCCAAATTTAGCTTTTACTGAAATTAAAATTTGCTTTTAATATGTAGTTTTATTTATATAAAAAAATATTATGCACTTTCTGTTTGGCATTTCCCCTTTAAAAATGTTTTAATATATCTTAAGTCATATTTAAATAATTGACATCCTATAAAGAACATAAAAATAAAAGAGCAAAACCTGTCCCGAGTCTCCTGAACAAGTCTCTGATATGTCACAATCATTTACAGCATATCGACAGCTGTATCCCCGCGGGTAGAACTGAAAAAGGTGGAGGGACAGGGATTGAGAGAAACAACTGATCAGTGCATGTAAGACACTCAATAGTTGACGTTGGTGGAAGTCATGATGAATGGTGAGGCAAAAGTGAAGTGTCTTACTAGGCATGTGCCGTTGCAGCAGGGGCCGTCACTGCAGTGCGCTCCATTAGACAAAGAACATTTTTTACAGCAGTCTTTATAGCACTCCTGCACAACCAGAGATAAACATATGCACACAGACCAAACATGGTTAGCAAAGCATGAAATTATGAAAAATGAAATTTAAAAAAAGTGCTTACCATTCGGGCCCCACAGTCACACTCCTCTCCCACTTCCACGTAACCATTCCCACATTCTGTAGCCTCAAAGAGCTGCCGACACAAAGCACAAGATTTATCCAGCATCACGTCCAATGATTTAGCTTGAACTTGATTTTTGCTTTAAGTTTGCTGTCAATGACAATCAGTCACAAAACATGTGAGAACTGATGACATTTGGTGTCACTGAGGTAAAACCTGCTTCAATGTTTCAACTTCAGCTTTCTGTTGAAAACCTATTTTTTGTGGGTTGCGGGTACATGAACAGAACAAACAGAGAAAGGCAAGTAGATCCAAAAATAGATTAGTAGGAGTGTAGGATCCAAAAATAGAGCAAAACTGTAACATACATTATTAAAAAGAAGTGCACGCCAAGACAGCAGGATTTTAAAAGAGAGTAACGTTTGGAGCATAGGTATGGAAACTTGTTTCTGCCATTTAAATTGTGAGTTGTGAGATAAAAATGTGCATTTTAGCAATTCTATGGCAGAAACAAGTTTCTATACAGAAGCGATGCAGTGTTTATTCATTTATTAGCTGAAAAAATAGAAGCTGTAAAAGATGTACAAAAAAAAAATTGTACTGAAAAAGTGCTATGAAAAAATATATCAAAAAATATTTCGCTTATTTTCTCCCCCGACAATTAACGGGGGAAAAAATGTAATGAAAAAACAATGAAAACTGCATGACGAGATGGTGATTGTAACTGTCGAGCTAACTATGTGGAAAAACAGGCCGTTGATATTCACTCAAAGTCTTGTGCAGTTCTTTTTATTTATGCACTTCACATTTGCGGGCATGTGTATGCAGGTGAAGTTTTTTTATTTTTTATGTTTTTGTATTTTGTCCAAACTATTCTTCAAGCCTACCTTGTTGGGTTTGTTAAACAGACATGAAGCACCGCCTCTTAGAAGGAAGTTCCTGTAGTCAGAGATGCTGCATTTGGAAAACCTGCGTGGGTGTTGCACTCTATGGAGGAGAACAGGGGAAAATAAACCTACACGAATCAAGAAATACGACGGGAAACTAGAAGCTAAAATGCCCGGAAAGTAGTCGGGAGAGGCTATAGGATAATGTGTGTGTTTAACGATACCCAGTGTCTTCCATTATACATCCCACCCATGAATCCATGCAGCCGCACTCCTCTGAGAGAACACAAGAGTGAGCGAGAAAGTCAGTGAGTTCACTTTAAATCCTAAACTCTTACAGTGAACAAATAAGAAACGCAGCAGTTTGACACCAGGTGGTGAAACAGACTTACTCCTCCTGATCACAGGATCCCACTGGATACCAAGATTCTGTGCTAAACTCTGAGAGAGAGACATGGCCATTGTCCATGTGCTGCCAAACTGAAAAAGAGAAACAGATACAGCAGTGCACGGATCCAAAAGTAAGATGTCACTTCATTTGTCATTTAAAATTGCTGTAAGGTTTAACTAAAATGCCCAGTCTGTCTACCCAGAATGCTGTGTGTGCCCAACCTCACCTCATTAACACCGATTCCTCTTCCTTTGGAGCAGACACCGCTAATATATGCAACACTGCTCCGGCCATAATGAAATGTCACATTCCTGCAAGAAGAAAGAGATTTTTTAATTTATCTTTGTCACCTGTTCCCTTTTTCTGTAAATGCATTACCAAAGAATGGTATTCAGCCTCATTCTTAGGAAACTGTGCCATTTGTGCCAGGAATTTATTGTTATTATTATTATTACTAAACCTAAAGCAAACAGTAATGTGCTATTTTATTTTTAACCCCGATTCTGAGATTGAACAGATAATAATAATGGCTTGGTTTTTGTTACCTAATATGATTTCAATTTTGTTTAATGTAAAAAAACTGATCACTACAATATTTTTTCCAAAATAGATGTACTATTGATTTGACAAGACCAATAACAGTAAGCGTTAAAAAAAAAAAACAGTAGAAAGAAACCATACAGCCAAAATAATAATAATAAGTTATCATGATGTTGAACAGAAAGAGCTGGGACAAATTATGCATTGTGATATTCAGCATTTTACATATACAGTGAAAGTAAAATATTATATTTTCAATGAAAGTACAATTCATTAAAAAAAATCTATATACAACTTAAAATGTAATGATGAATGGTGATATGCAAATTGCAAAATGAATGGTGATATGCAAAAAATGGTGATATTTTGCATTATACACTAAACAGAGTTAAATAAAATATTATGACTAAGTCCAGTATTCTGTTAACACACATAAATTGCACAATTTCCTGAGAATGACCCACACATATTCAGAATTCTACAATATCACAGAACGTGAATCATCATCAAACAATGAAAAATTCACAACAATCTTTATCTCGTCCTGCAGCTCCCACAACTGAACCGAATCCTTTCTGTTACTGGCAAACCAAGCAACTCACGTGAAGAGGTGCACGGCATCGGCGTTAATGTTGATGTTCTGTTGTCGGTACTTTGAAAAATCTCTTAACATTTCCAATGGCTTCACGCTCAGAGGAATCCGGTCCCTGTCAGTCCAAATCTCCACAGCAACCAATACCACACGTGTATTCAGCTGCTCCTTAAAAATCTAAAGGGAATTTGATTTGAATCTTAGATTAAGATGAACACAAAATGAGTGGATATTAGGGTAACATTTTGCCGCAAAAAATATGGAAACATACAGCATCTACAAAGTTGACCACTGATTTGGCAGAGTTCCGGGTGTGCTTTTTACTCTTATGCCTTTTAAACTGTAAAAACAAGAGATTCAAATAGAAAAGCAGTTTCAAGGTTCTGCAGTACATGAAAAATATGGTAACATTTGTTATTCAGTGCCCTCTAGTGGATCATTCATGCAGAAATTTGTACTTATAACAAATTTCAGTGCTTTGATTCAGAAATGCATAAAGACATTTTCAGACTAAGTTAATTCACGAGGGATGCCTGGATAAACTCACCGTGTTGTGGTCGGCGACAATCATTATTTCCAGATACTTCATTTCCTCAAAAACGTTACGTGGCATCTAAGAAAACCATTACAAAATCCAAATGATACAATGTTGAAGTATGAGGTATGAGCATTGAGAAACAGCGGAGCACATGGAAAAGGTCGAGGGTCATTTTCTTACAGCTCTTTTCTTCCTTCTCTTTAACCAAGGCATGCGAGCGAAAATATGTTTTTCCTCTTCTTTTTCCTCAACTGGGTCATCAGCAGCTGAGGGAAACAGACATGAAGGTAACCATGGAGATGAGGGTGGTGATATAATATCTTGCTACATGTCTTTAGGACCTTGGCACACTTACCCCAGTCACCTGGGACAGAGGTCACATGGAGCGATGATGTTCGTCGCAAAGTGTGGGGTCGTGCCTCTGTTTCCTAAAAGGTACAAGCATGGTGACATTTGTAGACAACACTTGTGAATCAAGGCCGTAACCATGTCGTGAACATTGGGGGGGGCCGAAGTTTTTTTTAGTCTTTTTATTTCAAGAAATTCAATAATTCAAGGATTAAAAGGGATTTAAGTGAATAGAGAAAAAGAATGGGGGTAGTGAAGTAATCGATTTAAAAAATACTCGCAAATAATGTTTTATTTTTAAAATATGCACACATTTAATCGTATGTCTAATATGTCAAACGTTCCTTGTCTTATTCAGTTATGAACTATAAGAATCATGTAAATGATAACATTTTCAATTCAAAATGGTGAAATTTGATTTAAAAAGTTGAGTATTTTGCATCATTGGATATAACTGTCGGTAGTTTAACATTTCTATTGTAAAACATTGTCAAATCATAAATGTTTAGCTACTTAAATCATACCATACACTCTTTCACTCGCACTCGTTTCCTATGAACAGTAAGGCCTGCCTTCTTTGATGTGATTGGCCAATCATTGGTTGATTTGATTTGGTCATTTCTAATTATTGAGAGGAACCTTGTCCTCATCAATGTCTGTGGTGGTTACGGCCCTGGTGTGAATAATGAATCCCAAAAGACGATAAGCTGTAATGATGTGATCTTACCACGGTGTGAGTCAGTTTCAGAGGCTCGATGAGATAGACAAAATTACCATCATCAAACATCCCACTAGAAGAGTGAAAATCACAAGAACAAGGGGGTTGGGAAAAGAGAGTCAGGGATGTCAATTGGAAAACGGATACAAGGACAGATAAAACCTCAATGAGTCATATCACTTGTCAAGTGACAAGAAAACCAAGAAGAAAACCACAGCCACGCTTTTACAACCGAACAAACGCTTCTGCTCTTTCCCTTGACTGCTCTCTGTGACACTCAACCACACACTAACATGGTGACATTCAAATCTTTTCATGTGTACCAACTGCCATCTGGCCTCACAGTGGGTCTCCAGGTCAGACACACACACACACATACAAACAAAAACAAGGTTTCTTACTGAAGTCCATTGCAGGTGGATAAAGCTACACGGGAGTCTTCTTTTCCTCTCACGTGGCCGTGGTAGTAGCAGTGTTCACCGCCCTAAACAAACGCACATTCATCACTGCTATGTAGTGGTTATTTTCAGGGTTCTGTTTGATATAGGTACAGTATGTGCTCTTTGTGTCTTACCCTGGAGAGAACTGGCTTATCGTTCTCATAGTGGATCTCCATATAATCTGAAGAGAGCAGATCACTAAAATAGAAGTGTGAGAGAGAATTTAATCTCACATTAATTATCCAACAACTAAATAATAACCTCAGCAAACAGGGAGTAATGTTATGGCAAGGTTAATTATGGCACTTGTTAATTTATTATCAATAAGACATCCCAAATAATTTACAACATTCTTTGATTCTATTTCAATATCTATGATCTTTAACCAAAACAAAAACCCCCAAAACAGTATCATTGCTTAATCTCTAGAAGCAAAAAAGAATGGCCTCAGTCTTACCTAAGTGTAAGAAAATAAGAAGCTTATTATCCAAAAACGAATTGAACATCTCTTGTAACTGAATAGCCATTTTATCCCACAGGACTCCTTTATTTTGTGACTAAAATTGCTGCATCATCAGAATAAAGAAAAAGCTCCTCCAACATGCTGCTTTAAGATAATTTATACATAAAAGAAAAAATAAGGGACCTAAAATACTCCCTTGAGGAACTCCACAAGTAATTGATAATGAGCTTGCCAATACACCTTGGCTTCTGTCTTCAAGATAAGACTGTACCCACCTAATAGCTTTCTCATTGAAATGAATCGCCTTTTAGTTATACAATAAAAATGCATTTTTTTGCATTTATAAATGCAAAATGATAACATGGAATTTTCCCTTAATATTCGCACAGCCAAAACGCTTAAAAATAGGATGTTTTGAATGTTCAGAACATTCAGAAATAATCTTTTCATAACTTATGAAACGTTTGCAAAACGCTCATAGAACATATTTTTGTTAGCTGGGAAGCTACCGCCCCAGATCCCATGCATCCGTATAAAAATGCAATAGATATGTATTTGAAATAACAAATTGTGGCTATATTAATGTCTTATGATAAATATATTAACAACAGCATCAGTAGCTGAAGTCAGAGTGATTTTTTTTTAAACACCTTGACTTTTGATTCATGCACTAAAAAACCCGAGACATTTTTTTTTAAATAATTATTTTGTGTTCCACAGGCAAAATTTTAAAAATAACAGAATTAAAATTTTTCATCCCTTTAAACAGATAAAAATGTAATCCCTGGCCTTGGCTATTTTTGGTTATTTCTGACAAATTGCTTGTGATGTTCCTCATTTGTAAACAGCCTTGACAAAAGCATCTGTTAAATGAATAAATGTAAATGTAATTACTAGGGTGGCAGTTAATCTCAAATAAAACACCTAGCACCTTATATGCTGTTAACCATAACACTGTGACAACGCAGCATTCACACTTCTTACAGGGAATAGTTTAGATGATTTAAACCACAATGTTCTTAGCTCTTCAACGAATACCTTTAACGTAAAGGTGCTGACAGACAATAAATGGCAGGGAGGAGAGGACTGAATAGGAAAGTGGCACACCATTCACACACATTTCCGTGATAAGCAAGGAAGAACTTTAGCGAGAGATTTTAGGATTTTAATACAAAAAGGAGAGAATATAGCAGTGTTCAACTGAACAATGTACAACTGAACACGGTGTTCTTAGAGGCAGACCTGTCTTTTACTTACAGACACACACACTTACTTGTTCAAAGTGAGGTCCAGAGTGAATGTGGTGCCAAAGGCGTCCAGCTGGAAACTTGCTTGGGCCAGGTGGACGTCCTGTGGTCAGGGAGATAAACAGGGGCTCATTAACACTTCACAAAACAAACATATGTTGCTACATCAAATGTGCCGGCAAAGCCCGCAAATGTAATGGGTAAAATTTCATGTCTGTCTTGCACACACATTAACTCATATGTTCAAAAAGCAAATCTCTGCAAGGGCATCTATAGATAAAACACCTGCTCTAGTCTAGAGCATCATAAATCACACAGCTGTGCTGTATTACAGCAGAAATACTGCATTGGCAAAAGTAAAGTGAGAGTGTGTGCACAATGCAATCCCACAACGTCTGTTCAGTATGGAGAGCGAGGGAGAGAAAACTGCCTCTTTTGCGAAAAGTGCATTAGATTTGTGAGGGAGGGCCTGTGAACCTGGATCAACTCTGAGCATTGGGCATACTGCACCATTCCCAGCAGCTGCTAGAGGTATGAAATGAAGCAGCTTCCTTGCTTCACAACTCCTTAGCGCATGAGTGTTGAAGACCTAAATGCAGGGGGGAGGGCTCTTCATATTTTGCGTCTCACCTGTCCATCCCCGGCCTGGTTCCTCGCCCGAGTGTCCAGATCATGATACGTGCTCTCCGAATCCTCATTCAAGTAGTAAATGAGCCGGGAGGGATATGTGACGGTGACCTCATGCTCTTCCGATTTTCTTCCCGTGGAATTGCCCTGTGCCGCTGCTGTCGCTTCTCGCGGGGTCTCAGACACGAGCTGATCCCTGAGATCCTCATTCTGCACGGCGCTGGAAACTGCAGGATAGGAGGAAACTGTTTACTGCTTTACAGTCTTCATCTCGGAGAAGGATCCCTTCAATTATATATGAACGTGTGCCAGCCAGCAGTTGCAGCCCTGTGATGCTGCAGAGAAGCTGCGCACAGATCTCTCTTATGCAGATCTCAGTGTATCGAACGGAGGCACTACGGCTTATAACCAAATAAAACACTGAAATCGGATCACACATTTATGACAGTGGACGAGAGGGCGAGACATGAAACATGTAATGGCAACAGAGACATATTGACAAAACATAACCATATCATTTTTTTTTCTCAACTTTATCAGCTGGATATTTGGATATCTGATATCTGAATTGTAAAGGCATTAGACACGCATCATGTCAGCTAATGATAATCTATTGTCATGGTAATCGAATTAAGATTCAGTCCTTATACCACGTTCTCATACAACACCATACTAATGGGGCTGTCAACCCTTAGAGAGGCCTTCAAAAGCTTTTACCCCCCTCTGCAGAGATTGACATGTATAAACGGTCGTAAACACAGTTAAGTAATGGAGGCTGCTCAATCAAAGCCTACACAGAACCTGCGTATTTTGCTGGGAATTCCTGCCGCAACAAAAGGCGTTGGAAAAACAAATTGCGCTAAAACTAACGTACAGTAGAGCAAATATCGAATAATATTATTTAAATTATAAAGTTACGCAACGTAATGGTTATACTTACCCGTTGAGATTGAGGCGATAGAAGATGGCACGGAAAGAAATATGCTAGCGAGCAGACACAGATGGAATATCAGACGCATGATTCATATTTGAAGACTAAATAAAATGTCATTAGCGCATCAATTTACAGCGAGTCCATTATTATGAGGGCGATTTTAGTGCGTATCCCGCGGGAAGTGGGGGAAATCCTTCATGCAGCATCGGAGACTGAGGGGTGGGTAACACGGTAGGGATGCTGAGGGGTGGGGAGGACTGGGAAAGAAGGCGAAGGGGTGGTAGCACGGGTGGATGGAAGGCGGTGGCCAAGCAGCTCATATCGGTAAGGGAAGCCACTGCGACTGCGCAGTGTATCTTCTGCTGCGCTGACGCGTCATCCATCCTCACTTTGTACACAGAAAATCAGAGATTTACTAATGACTTCTCAATGGTCTAATAAATTTAGACAACTAGAATGGTTATACACTAGCCCACAACCTAAGCCTGAAATAAAAGCTTTGGTCTTTTATATGTTAATGAAGAAAGACATTAGTTTATCCGTTCATTACAAGTGTAAGGCCACATGGACAGACCATCGTTCAAATGTTTTGGGGGAATTCTTTTTTTTTTAGTCATTATTAGCACACATATTTTATATTTATTATTTGCATCATATAATATTATTGCTTTATTTTGATGGTCACTTTTGAATATTCTGTTGACTAAGCATCATTGCAACTACTTTTCAACTAACTCTCCTTAGAGTATTAGTAGACTGTCTGCTTAATATCTGCTAACTCTTTATTGCGATGGTCCTCCAACAAACATTCTACTGACTATAACTTTGCAAGTACGTCAACTTATTCTAACCCTTACCCTACCAGTCTACTAATACTCTACTAATACTCTAATGAGGGTTAGTAGACATGTAGGTGCAACGTTACTTATAGTCAACAGAATGTGTTAAAGGGACCATCAAAATAAAGTCAAAATAACCTTGCTACCTTATATAGATGTATTTTTCTATTGTAATTATATATTTTTTATTTAATTTTTTCTCAACCCACACCACTGCATTTTGTAAAAGAAATACTCTGCTAATGCACAGTACTTGTATCCCAAAACTGTAACTTGTTTGTATATATTGCTCTCTGTGAGGTGTTTTATTATGTCTACCGACAAATGAAGTGTTGGCCTTGTAAAGACCTTTTAAGTATTAAACAATTCCACACTGCAGCTCAGGAGACACTGTATTTCATGTCTTCTCCTGCCATACAGTATAGAAATGAAAAAAGGGGGGAAAATTCCCAAACCAACTTTACTTGACTTGACTAAATTAAATGCAATACTTAAAAAAAAAAAAAAACCACCAATGTTGCCACTTCTGCTCATTTTCATGGAAGATCCCTTCCATCACCATGATGCTTTGACCTCATCCATTTGGAACATCTAAACTTTTTTAAAGGGCAGAGTTTAAAAGGCCCATAAAGGCACTTGTATTGATTGTTTGTGAGAGAGAATGAATGGCTGATTTCAAAAGAGCACATTCGCCTTGTGTAGGATGCGTATCGTTGACTTAAGCAGTTTTTGCATTTGTTATTTTGTATTTTAAAGACAATTTGATATAGTGCCAAAACCCAAAGAGAAAAAAAATGCTAATATACTTATGAAAGACAAAAATATTAATTATAAATTTAATTTACAACCATTAATATCAACCTTTGTGAAAATACCCATTAGAAACTTAAAAAAATACTCATTACAAGTTAAGAAATGCATATGACAAATAAACAAAAATATACAGACAAAAATGAACTTCAACTAGAAACAGTCAGCTGAAATTCAACTGTGCAAAACTATACAGCATTTGAAGAACAGATGACAGCTTATGCTCATGGCTGGTATCTGATAACGTTCAGTCTGCTATATTTACAGTGGCGGTCCTCCCCCTCACTCTCTTCTGCTGACTGGCACTGAGCATTGTATTTATTTGTTTAGAAGAGGCTGTAATAACCGGCTGAATCGCCAGTTTAGAGGAATCCGATGATCTAAGTGTGGCCCTAACAGGGTTCTTGTTTCTGGGAGATGTCCTACATTCTGCAGATATATGGGAGCTAACAGTTTGCCGGAGATTGCTTTGTGATTTTCCTTTGCGCTGTGGTTTAGTTGACTTCCTCTTAGTCCTATAAGGGGGTCCCGATGGTCTCTTGGCTGGAGTCAAAGGTCCAGCCCTCCGTAAGCTACGTCTGATTGGTGTTTGGTCAACTGGTGTTTGTTGTCGGTGTTCCTCTTGTTCCAGTCCTCCAACCTTGTAGGAACTGCTTGCACAAGAGTGAGCAAGTGCTTTGGAAGAATCATCCACATGGGCTGATGGAGTGAGGTGTCCAAGGAGGAAACAACTGCTACTTGAGATAGAGGAGCGGGTGAATAAGGCTTTTCGGCTGCTAGACAAAGAAGAACCAGGTTCTGAGGGGCCACCGCTCTCCAGAATAGAGTCTGAGGTGGAGGTACATAGATCAGCCATGCTTCTCCTACCACGACCCTTTCGAGATCCTCCTGATGATTGCCCCTGCTCCAGGCCCTGCCTCTCCTTATTAATATCCGGACTAAGGCTACGGAACAGCTGCCGGACATGTGAAAGAGATTTGGAATTAGAGGGTAAAGACATGCCTTTTGGTGGACTCTTCAAGATCCTATTGGTCAAAGGGTCGTAGAACTTAAGAGGTGTCTTTTTGTACTTGTACTTTGGTCCAACATCACTATCACATGACTTTCGCTTCCTCCCTGCTTTCTTAATAGGAGTGGGCTTGGAGATTCCTTGACCCCCATCTGGGGAAGAAAGCACATAGACCACAGTTTTAGGCTGTAGAGGACTCATTAGTTTGCAGTAAGAAGCAGGAAGCTTTAATGCACAGAGTCTGGTCTTCATGTCAGGGGTCCTTTCGGGGCTAGGGCATTGCTGGGGCTCTTCACTGTGTGTTGAGGGGAATGTTTCTTGTGTTGATTTCGGTCGCACCACAGGGTAGCTAAGAGGGATGGTCTGTGTACCATGGCTTACCTTTACCACCTGGCAACGTGATGCTAGTCTGTAAACTTTTTGCCTCGTTTTCCTCAAAAAAACAGCTGAATGTTTGGGGTCTTCTTCGTTGTGTTCCAAAAGCGGCAAGATGTCTGTAGGCTCACATCCAGCAGTATCCGCTTTATCTTTTTTGGCCTGGTTCTTGTTCTTTCTCCTTTTCTTACTGTGTTTTCCAAACATAGCCAAGGATTCACTGTCAAAATAGCAACGGAATTCGCCTTGTTGGAATTCTTGAACTATAGAGTCTATCTTCATGTCATCTTCAAACATCACCTGTGTCCACGTTTTTCCAACAAAAGACTGTGGTATGTGGGGAAGATCGGGAAACACCTTCTCAGCAGCACTCTCCTTGGTTTCCTCAGGTGTTCCCACACAGTTTAGAGCTGTGTCCAGCTGAGTCTGGTATCCTTGGTCTTCAAGGTTTATATGCACTTCCAGTAATTCGGCTAAATTCTTTTCTTCACCCTTTGCCTTTCCCAAAGCCACCTGTACTGCATTGTCCCATTCTTCACTGCCTTCAGATTCACTCATAGACTGAGGACTCAGAAGGAAGCTGCCATCATCCTCTTGCTGGTCGACTTTGAGACTGTAGCCATAACAGTATTTTTCAATAACCTCCTCTATCACATCTCGAATCTGGTCAGATAGATGACTGAATGTCTGTTCCCTATGAAGGCCTTTCCAAGGTGGCAGTCCTGAAATCCACACTGTGGACGACTCAGCCACTGGTTGAAAGGTTGCAGGCTGGTCCTTCGAGGTAATGCTCTTTGCAACTGGTGGTGCATGGGATACTGTAATGGAGTCGCTCCCCTCATTATCCCTATTGGTTTTCTTGTGTGCTTTCCTGTGTTCAACAGCTCCAGCCTTGGCGACTGGTGGCTGCTTTGAAGCACAGGGATGTCCAGAGTGTGTTTGTGAGCTTTCTCTCTGAACAAGTAGTGTCAATTGGGATGTATGTGGTTTTTCATTGGCAGAGCTGCCACTAGTCCTGTGCAAAAAACCCTGTGTGGGGGAATACTTTTCAGGGGGAGGTGGTTCAGGCACCATTTTTCCTATTTGGGAATCAGTTTGTATGTGTGTAGTTGCAGTGATGTCAGTAGTCACTGCTGGAATTGAGGCTGCAATTCGCAGCATTTGGCACGACTCTTCATCAGAGGTAGGCATCTCCTCTCGTGTCCCAACAGAGACTCCATTATCATCTGATCCACAGTACACCTCTGAGAGCACCTCCTTTGGGACAAGTGGGGTGGTTAGGGAAGGTAGATCAGCATGGGTAGGCCTACAGAGAAAAAGAAGTGTCAAAAGCAGTGACTGAACTTTTTTTTTTTTCAATTCACAAATATGTATGTAATATATCGGTAACATGTCAACAAGGCTAAATAAGAAATCTAATATATTAAAACATAGCATACCTTGTATCGCTGTAGTGATGAGGATGATGCTGGAGCACATCCTGGAGGAATCTCTCTAATAAACTTCCAGAAGATACATTTGTTCTAGCAGCTCGTACCACTTCTCTATGTTGGGCACTCAAGATATGCTGCAGAATACAACAATAAATTGTTTACAATAAAGCCCTAATAACTCATAATATTAATAATTATAAAGATGTCTGAATATCATAAAAGCATGATATTAGAATACGGAAGTCACGAGATCAACTAACATGTACTATAACGCAATATATTTATAGTTCTTATTAGCCATTGATTTGTTTAAATAGAACTACTAATCCAAGCTTAACAAATACATTGAACAAAACAGTAATTAAAGGGGGAGGAATGATGGATGCCAGAGTTACGCACCTGTTCCACACTATTGTACAGAACTTGACAGCAGCTGCAGTAACCTTGTCTTTGGGAGCCAGAAGGACCAGCAACAGGCTGTTCTCCTCTACTAGTCCTTCAGATGGGGTAAAAAATAGATTTTGATAAATAATATTTGCTTAAATTTGCAATTTAATTACTACTGAGAATCCAAAATGGAATGGCTAGTGTGTTGGTGCAAATGTTGAATTTATTTTCAGACAACTCACCTGCCGGACATAGCAGCTGGACACCTCTCTGCATCTACAACACATGAAATTTTGTTTACATGCATTCTCTGAATCAGTGGTTCTCAACTAGTTTTGCTTCAGAAGCCGGATGTTACATTGGACATCAGTAATGACTTAACACAGGACCAAATCAATTTATCTTATAAAAGTTAAGAAAAATGCCC